GCAAAAGAATGAAGCTGGACCCTTATCTTGTACCACATATAAACATTAGCCCATCACTTCTCAGCCTTTGGCTAAGATCAAGTGTAGTATCTGTTCTTATCAGTTTAATATCTGATACGTCCTCTATCCGAGGAAAATATATTAAATGGATTTTTGGGATTAGGAGATGGAATAGGAGCTTGTTCTGTCCACTCCATGCATCAACCTGGTATTGCAGTACCTCCAGGAACGGTGCACCAAAATATAAAAGTAAAAAAATAAAAATTAACCCAAGATGGATAAGACCTGCCCAGCTGGTGTGACCCAGTGGCTGAGCATTGACCCACGCACCAGGAGGTTGCTGGTTCGATTCCCAGTCAGGGCACATGCCTGGGTTTTGGGCTCAATCCCTAGCAGGAGGCAGCCAATCAATGTTTCTCTCTCATTGGTGTTTCTCTCTCATCAATGTTTCTATCTCTCCCTCTCCCTTCCTCTCTCTCTAAAAATCAATAAAAACATTTTTTTTAAAAAGACAGATAAGACCTAAAAGTATAAGTCAGAACTCTAAAATTCTTATAAGAAAACACAGGAGTAATAAATCTCTGTGACCCTGAGTTAGGCAACATTTTTTGAGGTATAACAACTAAAGTACAGCAACCAAAGATAAAATAGAAAACTGGGTGAGTTCATCCAAATTAAAAACTTTTCAGTGAGGGCGGGGGAAAATCAACAATAAAGATAATTTTTAAAAAATTAAAAACATTTTTGCTTCAAAGGACACTATAAAGAAAGTAAAGAGAAAACCCACAGAAAGAGAGAACATTTTTACAAATCCTATCCTATCCTATATAATAAAAGCATAATATGCAAATCGACCAAACAGCAGAACAACCAGTTGCTATGACGTGCACTGACCACCAGGGGGAAGACCCTCAATCCTGGAGCTGCCCCCTGGTGGTCAGTGTGCTCCCATATTGGGAGCACTGCTCAGCCAGAAGTGAGCATCAGCCACAAGCCCAGCGGCGATGGTGGGAGGTCTCTCCTGCCTCCACTGCAGGCAGCTGATAAGGAGCAAGGGGTCCCAGACTGTGAGAGCCCTGGACTGCGAGAGGGATGTCTGCCTGCCGGCTTAGGCCCAATCCCCGCCCTCCCCTCCCCGCCTCCCGGGGGTCCTGGACTGCGAGAGGGCACAGTCCAGGCTGAGTGACACGCTTTCCTCCCACCCCACCCCACTCCAGTGCAGAATCTCGTGCACCAGGCCTCTAGTATCTGACAAGAGTCTAGTATCCAGACTAATTAAAGAACTGTTACAATTTGACAACAGACAAATAACTAAAAAATGGGACAGAATGAGGACAAGGGCTTCAAAGTGAGTGTACCAGTCTGGGTCCCTAATCTTCCTCAAAAAGACAATAAACTCTTACCTGTGCAAGCTACTGCAGTAGGGTTTTGTTATATGCAGTTGAATATAATCCTAACTGATAACACCACCTATAGCTAAACTAAATGATGCTTAGTAGACAGAGATGTGAACAGGTCCTAGTGGCCCTGCCTTTGAAATCAGTCCCTTCTCCGTCACCTCGCCTCGGCCAACGTCCTGGCAGAACCCACCACACCTACCCCGGACACTGCAGGCTTCCTACCAGCTGGGCCGCCCATGCTCCCCTCACTGTGCTCACCAGTGTTCACTGTGAAATGGAACTGGAGTCCTGCCAGTCCCTGACCAAACACTCCGATGCCTTCCTATCTCATTGAGAATAAATGCCAGCGCCTTTACTCCAACTACAGGGGAGGCCCTGAATGGCTGGGCCTCCTCCTACCTCTCTGACCTCACCTCCTACCAAGAGTTCCCTGTCTGCTCAGCAGGTGTAGCTCAGGGATGGAATGTCAACCTATGAACCAGGAGGCCAGGGTTTGATTCCTGGTCAGGGCACATGCCCAGGTTGCAGGCTTGATCCCCAGTGTGGGGCATGCAGGAGGCAGCCAGTCCATGATTCTCATCATTGATGTTTCTCCCTCCCTCTCCCTCTCTACATTCAATAAAAAATCTTTTAAAAGAGTAGTTTCCCTCTCACTAATTCAATCAGCCAAACTGACCTCTGTGCTCTTCCTCTTTGGGCCTGTTCCCCTGCCTGGAATGCCCATCCCCCACACCTCACGGCTATTTCCTTGACCACTTCAGTCATTTACTCAAAGCCACCCCCTCCGTGGACACCTTACTGACCTGACGCTGCCCGCCCCTGGCCTGCTCTGCTGCTCCTCCTCCTGCACATTTACCGTCCCTCCCCGCGGCCCTCAGGAGCAGGAAGGCTCCCTGCGCGCAGCTCTCTCCGCCCACGGCTGCGGCCTGCCCCTGTGAGCACAGCGCCTCCCTACATGGATGCTCAGTAAGTATTTATTGGTGAGTAGACAATTACAGTCGGGGGAAACGAGGTGGGAATCTGAAGGAGAAGGAGAAAGTGTCAGAAGCAAATGTCAACTGCCTGCCAAGCTCGGGCGCCCTGCCTGCCAGTCCCACACAGGACCCTGCCTGCTCCGTGGAGCCAGCCAAGAGCAGGCGCTCAGGTGCCAGTGCGGCCCGCGTGGCGGTGACACCACAGCTCCGCACACTGCCTGGCTCGGGGCGCACTGCTCTCCATGCACCACTTACGCAAACCACAGGTTAAAACACAGAGCAAGAGCCATAAAAACAGACAGGCACTTTCTAAATTGCTTCGGCCAAATCTTACTTTGGGGAACGGATTTTTCAGCTGAAGCATCAGAAACAAGAAATGCCAAGATCCAAACTTGTAATCAATGAGTTTGTTACTCAAAATTTATGAATACCTGCGTTCTCAACAGCGAAATACATAAACAATATGATGTTTGTGCATTTTAGTTAATAGAACAATAATTAGGCCTAATGCAGTTTACTTCAGAGCATGCTAAGAACCTTTAAAAGTTACTCTGTTGAAATACTTTTGTTTTTGCCGAAACCGGTTTGGCTCAGTGGATAGAGCGTCAGCCTGCAGACTGAAAGATCCCAGGTTCGATTCCGGTCAGGGGCATGCACCTTGGTTGCGGGCACATCCCCAGTGGGAGATGTGCAGGAGGCAGCTGATCGATGTGTCTCTCTCATCGATGTTTCTAACTCTCTATCTCTCTCCCTTCCTCTCTGTAAAAAATCAATAAAATATATATATAAAAAAAGAAAGAAATACTTTTGTTTTTAAATAATTTAAAATCTAGCTTTACATATGCACGGGTTACAGCTGGAGGGACTCACGGGAGGGCGTGTACTGCGCTTGCCTCTGGGACAGTTAAGCACTTGGGAAGAAGGAGTGGGAGTGAGACTTTCCATTGTTACCTTCGGAATTGGCATCACATTAATGTGCTGCTTACGCAAACACAATAGATCATAATTTTAAATAAGTCAGTCACACATTACCTTAAAATAAACGAATGAAACAGAAGCTATCTACTCCTCAGGCCTGCTTTAGAAGGAAGTCACCTTATACCCATGTGTGAAGATAAGGAATTCGGCAGGCTCTGTCAAATCAGCTAAGCACAGAGGGCGCACTTTAGGATGGACAGCGTCTGGCCAAGCCACCAGGGGCAGCAGTAAGATCTCGCTCCCACCCAAAGCCCTGGGGCTCGGTTTACACAAGAGCCTGGCGCTGCGTGAGATGACAGGCACCTGGAGAGGCACGGCATGGGTTGTGACTATAAGTCGCTTGTTGCGGTCATCTATAATAGTAATAAAATTGTTTTTTAAATTTTTCTCTAAGTAGCCAAACAGGTTTTTCACCTCTTAGAACAACAAATAATTTATTTCTAAATTTTATTCTAACAGATAAGCCAACATTACTCCGCAAATCCACATTTTTCTAATTAAACTCTCGGAACACCGGCAGGGCCATATCAGAAATATAAAGAACAAGAACACATGACAGAGGAGATCCGTCTGAACAGTGAGCTCCTTAAAGGGGCTGCCGTCTGGCACACCTGCAGGTCAGCAAGAGAAAGCCGGGGGCGGGGGGGGGGGGGGGGGTCGACCGGACTGCAGCGCAGGGGCTTCGGGGGACAGTACGCGGGTTCTGTGCGCAGGTGCTCGGACGGCCTCTCTTTTTCTGTCTCAAAAACCCTCGCAGGCACAAGACTGGGAGACCCTCAGTACCCAGGCCGGACCAGGATGTCGGCAGGGACGCTCCGGGGAGCCGTCCGCGGTCTGCAGACACCCGCGTCCAGCAAGCTGTGCGACGACCCCGGTGCAACGTCCATCCTTCGCCCAGCGGTGGCCTCTCCCCCCGCGCGGCGTCATTACCCCCAGGAGGGCGGGCAGGGGCTGCATCAGCTCCCTCACCCCGTCGGCTTTATTACTTCCCACTTGTTAATAACCACCACCCAAGTAGGTCACCCCTTCCTTCCTGCACAACCAGGACTCACTCAAGAGCGTGCAGGCCAGGCCTGAGCTTGGGCAGCGGGTCTCTCTGCTGATGCTCCAGGTCCCCGCTAAATGGAGGGAGTGCCCGGGGGGGTCGGGGGGGGGCGTACGGCGAGGCGGCCGCCAGCCCAGGGCTGCAAGGGGCCCGCGCAAGAGCGTCTCCACGGGCCGCGGCCGCACCCGCCCAGCCCTAAGGCATGACGTCATGCGCACCCCTCGGCTTTCCGCTCCGGCGCCCCCAGCCCCCCTCCCGCTCCCAGGAGGAGAGGGAAGGGAAGTGGCCGGAGGAAGCCACACGGGACGCGGCCTGGCTCTGCCGAGTTCTGCTCACAACACACCCGGTTCCTTGCAAACACAGGGCGGCAAGTTCCTTCCCTAACTTCGCACGAAAAGGAAGGCGGGGGGCTGAGGCCGGGGCAGCCTGGGCGCCGTCCGGAGAGGCTGCGCCTGCCCGCGGGCGAACCGAGACCCACGCGAGGGGCCGGAGAGCGGCCGGGCCGGTCCCGCGGCAGGAGGGGCAGGTGCCGTCCGCGGAGGCCCCGTGGCTGCGGGCCCGGGCTGCAGGGACAGGCGGGGAGCTGCCGGGGCCCGCACTCACGGACGGTGCAGCGGCTCCTCGGCCACGGCCGGGCCGGGCGGCGGCGGGGGCGGCGGCTGCGGCTGCGGCTGCGGCGGGGGCGGCTGAGCCTGTGGCGGCGGCGGAGGCGGCGGCGGCTGCTGCTGCTGTTGCTGCTGCTGCTGGAAGGACTTGAGGGACTCGAAGGCCTTCATCAGCTTCTCCAGGGTCGCCATGGCGATCTCCCACCCCGCAGGGACAGCGACCGGAGCCCTCGGGCCGGCTGGCGGCGCCGCTCAGCAGCGCGGCAATGAATGGAGTTCGCGGCCGCTGGCAGGAGCGGAACCGAGGCGCCCGGCCATCTTGGACCCGTCCCGGCAGCCCCCGCGGCCCTGCGTCCCACGACGCTCCGCCGTGGGGGCGGGGCCAGGCCGGGCGCCGGGATTGACAGCAAGAGGCAGTGGCCTCTGCCAATGGCCAGCCGAGGCGCCGACCCGCCCCTGCGCGCGACCCCGGCGAGAACCCGCGGGGCCGGAGGCGGGACCTGGCGATGAGGGCGGGGCGTGGAGCGGAGGGCGGACGCTGCGGAGAGGGCGTGGCGCTGAGGGCGGGACCTGGCGGTGAGGGGCGTGGCAATGGGGGGGCCTGGTGGTGAGGGCGGGACCTGGCGGTGAGGGGCGTGGCAATGGCGGGGCAATAAGGGCGGGGCTCCGCGGCGGGGGCGGGGCGATGAGGCGGGACCTTCGTGAGGGGCGGGTCTTGTTGGTGAGGGGCGGGCAGGTGGGACGCCCGGCGGATCGAACCCCCCACGGACGCCTGGGGTCGCAGAGCGGCCAACCTTGTCTAGACCCGAGGGCCGTGCTTGCCCACCCGCGGCGCAGCCTGGGCTGAGGGCGGGAGGGTCGGCCTTTACCTGCAGGAGCACGAAGTGGGTGCGCCCTGCTCACGTCGTAGGTGGAGGAGACCTGCGGGGAGGGGGGGTCCTCCGGCAGAGGGAGCCCAGCGTGGGCCCCCCAGCGGAGAGGGAGTGAGGGAGAGGAGGGGACCTGCCCGGCCCGTGCCTCTGCCCAGAGCCCTCCACGGAAGGACTGCCGAACCCGAGGGAGAGGACTCCTGCCCCACCCCGCGCGGTGGGCACCTCCTGCCTGGTGCCAGCCCAAAGGGGCCTAGCTCGGGGGGCCTCACCACCGGGAGGGGGAGCCCGTGCGGACGGTGCGCGCACCCGCCGGGCAGCTGTCCGCCTGCCTCCGGGAGAAGCGCCCTGGGGGAGGCCGTGCGCACAGGAGGACCCTCCAGGGCCGCTCTGGGCGGAGGCCTGTCCTGGGCACGAGCCTCACCCAGGAGCCCTGTCCCCAGGGGATGGCAGTGCCCCCTGCAGGAAAGGACCGCGCGCGCTAGCCTTGAGGTGCTGCCCTGCTATTGACAGAGGCCTCACCCCCATGCCAGCCACGCCCATCCTCGGCCACCATGGCCAGGGGCCCTCTCCCAGCCCATGCCCTGGACAGTGAGTGCCCTTCCTTCGAGTGGGGCTGCCCCTGGGGCTGGCTTCTAACCAGCATAGGGAAGAGGCTTTCCTGGGACTGGGGCACAAGAGTCTGAGGCTTCCATCTTGCTGTTTCCCTCTTGGCTGGCATGTGCATGAAGCCAGCCCTGTTGAAGAGGCCCCATGGCCAGCAGCCCGTGGGAACAGGCTTCCAGTCCCAGCGGGAAGAATGGAGCCCGCCCGCCCTCCTGCCCTCCCGCACCACCCTGGAGCCTTCCTGCCCTCCTGCCCTCCCGCCCTCCCGCACCACCCTGGAGCCTTCCTGCCCTCCTGCCCTCCCGCCCTCCCGCACCACCGGAGCCTGCCCGCCTGCCCAAGAGCCTCAGGGTGGAGGATGGTACTGATTACAGGCTTTGGGAGCGGGAAGTGGAGGACCCGGAGAAGCAGAACCCAGATTCCTGGTCACAGCACCGTGAGCCCCTGAGTGAGTGTCACACGGGCTGGCCACCAGCCCCGGCCATGAGCTGGTTGGCTGGGGCTGCTCTAACAGGTGTCACAGCCTGGGGCCCAACAACAGAAACCCATCCTCAGGCCTGGAGGCTGGCAGCCCGAGGCAAGGTGTGGACAGCGGTCTCCCGGGGCCTCTCCTGGGTGTGAAGATGGCGGTCTCCTCCTGTGTCCTCACAGGGTCTTCCTGTGTCTGAATCCCACCCCCTCCTCTTATAAGGACACCAGGCATACCCGATGAGGACCCACCCACAGGGCCTCGGTTTTCCTCTTTAAAGTCCCCGTCTCCAAATACAGTCACATTCTCAAGTGCCAGAGCTGAGGACTCAGCGTGAATTTTGAGGGACACACTTCCAACCTCCTTCAGTGATAGGACCCGTTTTCATCTGGGCCCCTTTCCACTTGGTTAAAATATGACACTGCCCATCCGTTGCTGTTCGAGGCTGTAGCCATGTGACGGGACGAGTTCTGGCACTGAGATGGAAGCAGCATGGACACGTGTTCCAGAGGCCCCTGCTGCCTGAAACGGATGTATTGTTGGCACCTGAGCAGTTGCAATGGATCATGATGACACCACATCCTGGGACAGCAGCCTGGAAGCAGCCAGGGCCCAGACGACTGGGTGATGCCCTGCCAGCCCGGCCTGCCCATCTCATGAGAATCTGGGAGAAAAGTCTATTTTGTTTAAGCCACTGTTGCTTTGGATTATTCTGTTTCTATGCTCCTAAACCAAATCTGAATCAGTCTAGAGAGGTCATAGGTCATAGAGACCTAATATTGCCACAGCAGACTGTGACTGCTCCAGCCACAGCGGAGAGTTATCTGCCTGGAACGGACTGTAATCCAGACAAGAACTCTTACAAGGAAGCCTTACAGCAGTGGTTCTCAACCTTGGCTGCACATTAGATCACCTGGGAATCTTTTTAAAATCCTGATTCCTGGGCCTCATCCTCCGGAAATTCTGTTTCTTTGTTACGGGGTGAGGCCACAACATTAGTAACAAAGAAACAGAATTTCCAGAGGATGAGGCCCAGGAATCAGGATTTTAAAAAGATTCCCAGGTGATTCTAATGTGCAGCTAAGGCTGAGAACCACTGGTCTAGTCCAAAACAGCGAAGATTAATGAACACAGCTGCGTGGGCCATTTGGCACGTCTCCAAAGCCTTAACAATGGCACGTTCCTGAACAGCAAAGACACGTCCAGTGACTGACCCGAGAAAAATCATGGTGTGTGTGTGAAGATGGGCACTTCCTACAGCAGCACCTTGGACAAAACGAGGAGACAACATAAATGCTGGGCAGGAGATGGGCTAATGAGTCATGATAGATCCATAGGACAGAAAACCACAATCGTTTTTATTTATTTTTAAAAAATATATTTTATTGATTTTTTACGGAGAGGGAGATAGTTAGAAACATCAATCAGCTGCCTCCTGCACACCCCCCACCAGGAATGTGCCCACAACCAAGGCACATGCCCTTGACCGAAATCGAACCTGGGACCCTTCAGTCCACAGGCCGACGCTCTATCCACTGAGCCAAACCGGTCGGGGCACACAGTCGTTTTTAGAAGAGCACAGATGACACGGGCAAAGGTCTCCCGTGCATTCGCAAATTGCACTCTGTGCAGCAGGATCCTGCCTCTCTTTTTAAACAAAGGGAAACACACACACACGCCCTGGCCAGTGTGGCTCCGTCGGTTGAGCATCATCCCATGCACCAGAAGGTCGCCGGTTCGATTCCCAGTCAGGGCACATGCCTGGGTTGTGGACTCGATCCCCAATAGGGAGCATGCAGGAGGCAGCCAATCAATGTTTCTCTTTCACATCGATGTTTCTCTCTATCCCTCTCCCTTCTTCTCTAAAACTCAATAAAAACGTATTTCTAAGTAAAAAAGAAAAGAAAAGCAATAGAAAAGAGACCTGGTCACCAGGTTAGTGGGCAGGGCAATTAGGTGATTTGTATTTTAATTTGTGTGCTTTTCTGCAGTTTTCAAATCTTCAGCAAGGAATGTGTACTATTCAGGGGAAAAAACATAAAAGAATGGGTTTTGTTGGAGAACTAAAAACAAAAGCCTAGCAACTAATTTGTGACGGGTCCTGCCCAGGAGGAAAGGCCAGGTACCTACATATATAAAGCAGCGTGGTATCACAGCCCCCCCACATCCCCCACCCCTCCCCCACCCCCGCCACACACACACACACACACACACACACACACGTCATCTGCCCTGAATGCAAGACCAGATAGGAATCTGTGAGGGCCAGGCCTGGGCCAGAGAAAGAAGGAAACATGAAGCAAAGCCAGGAGGGACAAATGACTGGACCAGCACATTTTAATTCTACAAAAACACACCCACACTGCAAAGGGCATAGAAAGTCACTGCTGTTTTGAGCAGTCAACATCTATTTCCACAGACTCCCATATGTGCCATTTCTATTCCTCTTCATTCCTTCCTGCCCCTGTCATCTTCCATCTGGGGTCATGTCCTTCTGCATGGAAAATGCCCTTTAGAATTCCTTACAGTGGATCTTCTATTGCTGAAATCTCTCCATTTCATTTATCTGAAAATGTCATCATTTTGCCATCATTCCTAATGGGCTTTTGTTTGGGTATGGAATTCAAGGTTGGCAGACACTTCCTGTCAGCAAATTAAAGATCTGAACATGACTGTCTTCCATTTCTCATTCTTGTTCCTAGGAAGTCAGTCGTTGCTCCTTTGAGTGTAATGGTTTGGTTTGGTTTTTCCTCTCCGGCTGCTTATGGTTTTCTGTGTCTTTGCTCTGTAGTTCCACATCAGGGTGTGTGAGGAGAGACGGACCAGCTTGTCTGGGAGTTCTGGAATGCAGGTTCTCCTGGGGAGACAACGGGGATGAGGCTTTTATTTCCAGGTGCTTACCTTGGTTGGTATACTTAGAAGCTATAAATGTTCTCTTGACCATCAAATCCATTCCCCACGCCTGAAACCTGCCGTTGCAGCATGACAGGCCCAGTCTCCCTATTCCCTTCCAGTTCCCCTGTACGTCCAGAGAGCGGGCAGCTTCAATCCCCTAGTCAGGGAGAGAGAGAACAGACTAAATCAGTGCCATTAGTGCCAGCCAAACCCAAGAGCGATGAAGTCCGGGAATAACAAAGAACAAAAACAAGCAAACAAACAAAAACCCTATTAGAGCCAGAAAAATCCAAGATAGAGGTGAAGCTGACCAGAGGATGTCCCAAACCCCACTGGACACTCCTTTTGATGCATCAGCACATTGAAAGACACACCTGAAAGGCTGATGAATATTCTGACTGAGACGCCCCTAACATTCCCACCTACAGAAAACAGGTAAAATCCCTCAAAGGACCCAAGTGCATTCGTGTTTTCTCCCTTTGCTTTTATCGATCTGTTGGTTTTTTAAGAACTTATTTGTGTCAGTTTCTGTTCAGTAGCCATTAACTTTTGTCCTTTAATTTCTTCCTCTGTTTTTCTCGATGTTTTTTCTATCCTTTGTGTTAGAGGTTCAATTCTTTTATGGCCAGATGCTTACTTTGGTTGGTGTGAGTAGGAGCTATAAATGCTCTCTGAGCACTATTCTAGTTGTGTCCCATACACCCAGACTTATAGGGATGGTGGTCATTTTCTAGAAGTTCTATAATTTTGGATTATCTCTCTTCTTAGACCCAAGAGAATTTTAGCAGAGGCTGTCAAATTCCAGGTGCCAGAGCTTCTGTGCTTTCTGAGTCTGTTATTCAGTCACAGGTTTACCACATTTGGAATCAGATACTCTTGACTATATCTCTTTTCAAATTTTTTATTAGGATTTCCTTTATGATATAATATATGGTCACTTTTCATGCATGTTCTATGGGCACTATCAATGAAGAATGTGTTATCTACATGTCATATCAATATATAGTATAATTATCTATCTATACATATGTATCTACACACTCACATTCACAAGATGCACCTCACCATGCTCTAGGTCTGCTCTATCTGGGACCGAGAGGTGGCTTAAGCTGTTCCGCTCTGCTTTAGGAAAGCTACGGCTGTTACTTGTGAACAGTTACTTCTGACCAATTTACCTTGTTTGAGAACTGCACCTTCAGCATTACTACGTGCCCTTCTGCTTGGCTCACCACTTTCGGGCTGGATTCTACCTTGTCTGAGACTCAGACGTGACGGCTGCAGTACCGACGCTAGTATTTCCCTGGGATGCATTTGCAATGGTTACACCTGAACTGTTCTCACTCGCTTTTGGATTTGTCTCAGAGACAGCCCAGTTGGGTTTTGCCTTGTGACCCAATCTGCAATCTTCCCCTTTAATTGGTGAGTCAAGACCATTTACATAAAACTGACCAGTTTTACTAAGAACAATTTTGCATGGTTTACCTTCCACTGACCTGGCATGCTTCTAATGCTATCAGAATCATCTGGGTCGTGGCTAGCCAGTGTGCCCATGCGAGGATGCTCCGCGCGCGGCACCCAGTTCAGCCATGTGGCCACTGCGGTGATGGGCGCCAGGCTTGGCGCATGGCCTCGTGCTCGGTTCCAGGCCCGACCAGTGCTGGCCAGGATGACCAGCTTCGCTTCGCCTTGTCGCCTCACCTTCAGAGTCTGCTTGCACCCCAGCACGGACTCCCACTTTCCATGACAGGCTGGAGCCTAGAGTGCGTCGGCTCCAGCACATCTTTTCCGTCTTCTCTGCAGCCACCGTCTTCCTGCCTCAGGTGGGGGACAGCCCCCAACCAGAGCAGCTGCCAAGACGGCCGGGAGCAAGAAAGTGATAAATTATTTGATGTTATGACTACTATGCACACCTCTCCCACTGTAACGGATTTCCTCCCGGGACGCATTTGGACAGTGTCTGTCCCCGAGGGGAGACCTGTACCAGGAGTGGGAGCTGGAGCCGTGCGTGCTAGAGCCGCTGCATCCAGGACGCCTGGCGGGATGGGGTGTTCTGGAGCTCTGTTGTTGCCCCTGCCCTTAACATCTTTCAAGGTGATGTGTAACGACAGAGAAGACCTGAGTCACATTCTGCATGCCGTCACACTGCATGACGCCCATCCCGCCAACAAAACAAAAGACTGTGTGCCCCAGCCCCCTCCTTAAAGTGCCCGAGGCCCCCCCACCCCTGCACAGCCCGCTGCTCCACAGGCCAGGCCCATCCCTCACGCAGTAAGAGCGCAGCCAAGTCTGAGGGGTCTGTGCAGAGCTCCGCGTGGGAACCGTCCTCCCTAATCCCAGGGGATGAGCCCCTTCTCCCTTCAATCAGCCCGAGCCCTGGCCTCGCCTGGGCCCCGTCTTTCACCTTCGGCTCAGTTACCTGACCCCCATTCTTGGAGGCACTGCGGTCACAATCACAGGCCGCTGTCACAGAAACCCTTTAACACAACCCAGGGTTGGTGAGTCACCCCCGACAGCCAAGCCCTGACCTCAGGGTCCTGGAAGCAGCCTCTGTCACAGGAGGGGCCGGAGCGTCTGGCAAGCAGCGCAGACCCACACACGCAGGGAGAGGCGCACCTCAGGAACGCAGACCCTCGTGACATCGTGGAAGCAGACAGGCGACTCTCACGCCGTGCCCTGGACCACGAAGGCCCGACCGGCCGCTCCCTGCGAGCCCTGGAGGAGGGGACACTCCAGGCGGTGCCCAGGCCCCCGCTCCTCCCTCTCCATGGGCACACGAAGCTTGAGCCCTGCCACAAGGGGCTTTGGGACGTCACAGCCATCCTTGAGGGACCTCTTCAAGCCAGCTTTAGGGAAAAGACAATTCAGCTGTTAGCGTGGAAAAACCTGCAGACTCACGGGCACATTTTAAGATGTGTCAGACCTGTTTATTGCAATTCACAGAGAGGACGAACACTGAGCCGGCTCCTGGGGGTGGGGTTGGCTCTGCACAAGCAGCACAGTCCCGCAGGCAGCTCCTCCTCGCGGCTCCAGGGTTAACTCATGCAGCCCTGCAACACACGGCCAGGTCAGTCCCTTTCTGATGCGAGCTGGCTTAACTGCCCCCAAGGGAAGGGACAGTGGGCAAACCTTGGGGCGCGAACTGGAAGGCAGGCAAAACGCTCACACGTTCTCTATTTCGTGACGTGCAGTGTTTTCGGTGCACACAGCCCGCTGGGTGGCTCTCCGCGCTCCTGTCGCACAAGCGCTCCTATCACCCACCCCTGCGCGCTCTGGGGATCCAGCAGGCGCGGCTTCACCCTGCACAGCACCCCCTCAGCTGCGGTTCCCCAGGGGGCGTAGTGAGGTTTTCACAGGGCTCTAGGAGAGCGCCCGGAGGAGCTGGGCTTCACAGTTCTCAGAGGGAGCGCGGTCATGGTCAACGCACTCCGAGACTCGCTCCCCCTACAGCGTGTTTTCATCGAGTGTTAGCGGACAGCTCTGAGTGAAGCCCACGAGAGTGGACAGGGGACAAGCAGGACCACCCACTAGTCCGAGGAGAGAACTTCACTTGGAAAAAATGCTCACTTCATGCTGCGACAGAAAACCTCTGCAAACCACTCCCATGTTCAAGAGAAGCAGCTGCCCCGTGAAAGCGGGCGAATGGGAACCAGTAACGTAGAGATGGGGGTGATAGGCGCCGTTTGAGGTTTGCTCTGTGAGACTCATGGCCGAGCCCAGCGGACAGTGCTGCCACGGGCAGAGGGCGCCTGTGTCCGGCCGTCCTCCCCTTGGGTCAGAGCAGAGTCCACACGCACAGCAAAGAGCGTGAGGGGCTTCCTGGCTGGGCTCAGGAGCACCACAGCGGGCTCCTCACCTGTGCGCATGCCTGACGTAGGAGGCATCGGAAACGAAAAGCTAGTTTTAACGCAGTGAAGTATTTTCTTAACACATCACATTACAAAGCCCCAAACCACAGGGACAAGGCCTGGGCCCTCACCCATCTGCTGAGGAGTCTGTGGAAGAAGCCTCTCTTTCGCTTGGGGGCTGGCTTTGGTTGGCAGGTTTTGTCTCCCTGATGCAAGTCCCGAGTCTCCTCATTTTCACTTTCGTTGATGTCCTTGAAACATTCCGACTCGATCATCTGCATCCGCAGAAGGGCAGGACAGAGCAGCGGGCAGGCCCCAGGTCAGCCAGCCCCCGGGGCCCCTCTCCAGCCCTGCCCTCCATTTCTGCTGGCCCTGCCTCCTGGCCTCTTCTTGGGTCCCTTGGCCTCCCTCCCCCTGGTGCCAGCCAGCCCTGCTTAGGAAGTGGGACTTAGGGCCGGAAGCCCCCATCGGACCCAAATGGCCACCTTCTGCCCGCCACCTGTGAAGGGACCAGGGACAGCTGCCGTGGATAATTCTACCTCTCAACACCCTCACACAGGTGTGTGTATGTCACAGCTAAGAAGATACCGTCACACACACGTACACACGCGTCCTTGTCATTTCCATCCGTCACCCTCGCTTGGGTAGCGGCGCATGCTGACCAGCAGTACCTCATTCTGCCAGGGGATGGAGACAGAGCCCGTGACAAACTGGCTGTAGAAGGTGGTGTCGGCGGCGTCCAGGTAGATGCCTCTCACCGTGGAGAACTGCTCGATGTCCATGATGTCCTTACAATACACCGCACACGGCTGTGCACGGAGAACAAGGAGGCACCGGCCGTGAGGTCACTGGGCCACTGGGTGCCCTTAACCACTACGGACACCGCACATGGGGCCGAGGCCTGCACACTTCCTCGGGCCTGGTTCTGCCGAGCCTCTCATTGGAAGCATTCTGACCCCTTCCCTGGACACTGTCATTAACCTGTGGACACTGTCCGGCCAGGTCTCCTGCCCACACACCTGAGAGCCACGCCTCCCTCTTCTGCAGTGGACAATGGGTCACAGGCAGGCCAGGGCGAAGAGGGTGGCCAGGTGCTCTCGTGGGGACATGGCCCTGATCCTCACGCCCACCTCACACTCAGCTTCCTTCACAGCGACACCCGCCTCGTCTACGTGAGTAACGGTGGGCCCGTTCAGAGCTCATCTCAGGTGCCCAGCCGAGGGCGGCTGGTCTGCACACCCTCCTCGGGGCCCGGGACCAGGCTGCTCTCCTCAGGAGCCAGCGGTCAGGAGCAGGCGGGGCGTGTCAGTGTGGCCGCCTGCTTGGCTGGGAGTGAGGAAGAGAGTGCAGCAGCGGCCTGGCCCAGCCAAGGCAGGGGCGCCCTGCAGCTCCGAGCACGCACACCCCAGAGTGATGACCAGGGGGTCCTGTTCCCGATGCCAGGTAGGAACTTCTCTGAAAGCAGCTGCCACCACAAGGGGAGACAGTCCAGGGGGAAGCTGGTGGAACCGGGCCCCAGCCCCAGGCCCAGAGCCTGTACTGATCCCCACTCAAGTGCAAGTGCCTGACACGTGACCATCAGACTCTGCTGTCACCTGGCCCCCGCAGGCCCTCTGGCTAAAGTCAAGGGAACTCCCAGAACCGCCCAGACCTCTGGCCTACGCATCTTAGCACCGCACCCATCATCTCTCCCTCCTCAGAGAAGGCTGTTGGCTGACCTTCCCTGCACAGGCCCCAGGCGGCCCCAGGCCTGGTGGAAAGAAGGCTCTCGGGCCCAGCGGTCCATCGGAAGTCTCTGCCTGGGGTTCTGCTCCTGCTGTAACGGACTCACCGCTCATCTGCGCAGCCTGGACGAGCTCCCTCAGGGGAGCCGGCTGTTCTCCCTGTGCCGACACTACAGCGTGTCATCAGCATGCAATTGGAACCAGTTCCAGGGAAGAAGCCACTCGTGTGAGATATACGGATATAACCGAGTCCCGAACTCTGCGGCTAGACACCTCACGGCCATCACCCTGCAGGACCGCCTCACACCCGGCCACAGACCGTTGTCCAATCCGTCCACGCCTGTGTTCCCACCGGCACTGACACGTGCCCGAGCCTGGGTCGGTGTCCCCCCACACACACACTGAGGCGACCACTCCAGGCCCTCAATGTGCAGCCAGGACCTCTGAGACACACGCTGGCCGGCACTGACATCAGAAGGGGACACTGCGGGGGAGGTCTGAGGACAGCTGTGGCCGGGCTCAGCTCCGATGGCCCACGGCGGACACCAGGCCCCAAGCCCGAAGCCAGAGTGCTGCTGAGAAGGCCTGTGAGGACAGGCCTAGGACTATGGGGGGTGGGGAGGGAGGAGGAACCAGATCCTAGGGGACCTGAGCGGAAGTCACACCCACTGGCTGCACCGGGTGACCTGGAGCTACTGGGGTGAGGGCTGCCTTTTCTGGGACCCCTGCTACTGGGCCACATGGTACTCACGTCAGGGCAGAACGGGGGCTCTATCATGTGTACTTCCAGCCTCTTGAAGTTAATGTTCTTGAACAGGGGGTGCTTTCGCACACCAGCTGCTCCATCACCCTGGCAGCCCAGGCGCTGCTTGGGGTCCTTGGTGAGTAACTGGAAGAAGCAGAAATGGAGTCAAAAGCTCCGGGGTCAAAAGAAACGCAGAACAGCTCCACAACAGTCCCCAAGGAAGGGGCAAAGAGCACCCGCTTCGAAACAGAGGCCTCAGATTTCAGTGTCCACCCAACTTCATTAATTCAGACTTGACTAATTAAACATGCGGTGCTTCAAACGGAGTTAAACTGAAGTTTTCCTTTGAGCTGTCAATAAATAAAGAGTTGGCGAATAAATCCCTAAGAAAATAAATTTTTATCATGAAAAATGAGCAAAATCTTTAAAAGAAATAGAAACCGTTCAGCACTTCCGAGCAACTACTTACAGCGAAGTCACACCTACACGTAGAAACCCCTCACTCCTGATCTGCTCACTGAGGCCGCGGGGTCTCAGCGAACACTTCACCAGCCCGGTTCCAGAAGTCACACACGCTTACAACTAACCGTGTCCTTACTCACGCATCTGTAACTGTCACAGCTCGGAAGAACTTCCTCCACAGTTACAACCAACCAAAAACGTTTGGCTGGGCTCCAAGCAACACAGGAAAGGCCTGGAGCTTGAAAATACTCCTGGGCCGGGCCGGGAGTGCAGCCCGCCCCACCCTGGCTGCCTGAGCTGCCTGAGCGGCCGGTTGCGAGAGCACAGCGGCCCAGCGGGGTCAGCGGCTCTGCTGCTCTTGCACTGGCAGCGGGATGATGAGTCCTGACAGACACCCGAGCCCCGAGGGCCTAAGCAACACTGGGCCTCTGGCCCCTCCAGAAAGGTCTGCGACCCCTGCCAGACTCACAGCCAGCACCTACCGCTTCTCTGAAAATAAACCCAGTTTCCAGGCAGAGGCCAGAGAGCACTCTGGCTCGAGCTTACCTGCTATTTATTTATTTATTTATTTATTTATTTATTTATTTTTAACCTGCCTTCACTATAGTCGTTTTTCCGTGTTTCAGCCACCGGGAGCCTGTGAGGCCTCAGGGCAGGCTCCATTTCCAAGCGCCTTCTCACATCCCTGCAGCCACCTGAGTGCAGCAAGCACGCAGGCAGGATCTGTGAGCTGCACGGAACAGCAGCTTGGCCAGCTCCTGACTAAACTGTCAGCTCCAAGCAAACGAGCTGGAAGAAAGGCCCTGAGCCCAGTGCCCGTGAGAGGCAGGAGCACAGCCGCTATCCACGGAAACAAACGGAGAAGGAAGCTGACATGGCTACTGCCAGCACCAACCACTCCCCTGGGTTACTGACACACTTCAGTGACAGCGCCTGCTGGAGATTCCAACATCCCCAGGAACCTGCCCCCCCAGTCCCCCCAGCCACTCCCCCTGGGTCACACCCCGACTCTACATGACCAGCAAGCCCTCCTCTGCCCCCCGCAAGCAGCCTCCCCCGTGTGTGCCCGTCTTTCTAATCTAACTGGCCAGGAGGCACCGTGACTGCGCAGGCTGTGGCTCCTGTAACGGCAGCCTGACCCACAACGGGGGCCTCAAACGCTCCCTTCATTTCAACCCACATGGCCCTCTGATGCTGCAGGATCGCCTCCCCTCCCTGCATCTCCTCTCCTCTGCACACCGGGCCTCCTCAGCTCCCTCCCACCCGAGCGGCCAATGGCCTCTGAGACCAGAGGCACAGAACGTGCATGAGCTCCCAGTGCACATCCACGGCCCGCCCGGCACCACGTCTCCGGCACCATCTCTCCCGCGCTCCGCCTCTCCTGCCTGCTCCACCGGGTGCAGCCAGGTCTGAGCTGCTCCCGCCGCCCCCCTCCCCAGTCCCCGAACTTCTGCCAAGGCTGGCTGGCCCCTCCGTCCTCCTCGCAGCAGCCTCTCCCCGGCAAGTCCCTCCCCTGGAGCCCTGTGCCTCCCCGTGAGTGACAGTCCACACCCCTCCTGCCTATCCCCGCTCCTGCAGCAGAATGAGCCCTGGGGACGGGTCCTTGTCTGCTTGCCTCACTCAGGATCCCCAGTGCCTAGGACAGTCCCACGGGAGATGCAAATGGGAAGGAGTGAAGAAATGGACGCAGAACATGTGAGCACTGGCTTCAGGGAGGACGGAGCGCCTTTCACCCCTCAGTGTGGGCTGGGCAGCAGGGACCATCACGCCATTCCTCCCGGGCGGCATCCGGAAGGTTCCCTCCTGCCTGACTGGGGAGGAAGCCCCTGGCATTCGCCTCAGGAACACGAAGGCCCTCGGCGGCCTCCTGAGCCAGGGCCTTGCTCACTGGACATGGACAACGCGGGGCTGCCATGGCCGCGGGAGGGAGAAGCGCACGCCCGAGCCCGAGCCGACCCACCATCCGGCAGATGGACTCCGCGTCCTCCGAGAACCGCTGCGAGTACAACTCCGTGTCCTCCTTCACGCGCCGCTCCACCTCCTCCCGCTTGACTTTCTCTTTGAATTTTCTGAATGGAGAATGTCCCTGAATCATCTCATAGAGCAGACAGCCAAGCCCCCACCAGTCGGGGCCATAGGTATAGGCTTCATTATTGATCACTTCAGGAGCTAGGTAACAAATACAGGAAATGCTAATTAAATTTTAAATTTTCTGGTAACTAATTCCAAATAACACACTATAAATACAACATTTGTCCCAACATGCATGAACCTAGAAACAGGTTAAGCGAAAGAACCAGAGCGAAAGGCTGACTAGCGTGTGGCTATTTCTATGAAGCAGGCAGACTGGCCAAGTGCCCGGGGACGGAAAGCAGCTGCGTGGCTGCAGGCTGGGCTGGGAGGGGACAGGAGCCGCTGTGGATGGGCACGGGGGTTCCCGTTCTGGAATGAGGCCGTGGTGGTGGGCGCGCAGCGCTGTGACGGCTGAGACCATGGATGTACACGTCGGGTCGGCAGGCTTCATGTGCGTGAAGTATGTTTCAGTCCAGCTGCCACTGGAAACTGTACATCACAGAGCGGGCAACGAGTCCCCACAGAGGACCCACCGGGAAGGGTGCTCCCTCCAAACACAGCCACAGCCACGGGGTGCCTTGGCCGAGGGGGCTCCCTTCGGCCAGCACTGGGAGGGAGAGGCGCTGTGCCCGACCTCCGCCTCCCCACCCCCCCCCGCCCCCACTTCCAGCTCTAGTGCTGAGAATACAGCTCTTCTCAGTGTCTGAACAATCTCCAAAATGGAAATGTGTATTTTTGCTAGGAGCCCGTTTCCTGTGTTTTTAATATAAATAGTGTACACAGACTGATGGAACTTTAAATAAACGGGAATTAAGTATTTAAGAGTTGAAAAAAAAAGGGGACCATCATGCCATTCCTCCCGGGCGGCATCCAGAAGGTTCCCTCCTGCCTGACTCGGGAGGAAGCCCCTGGCATTCGCCTCAGGAACACGAAGGCCCTTGGCGGCCGCCTGAGCCAGGGCCTTGCTCACTGGACTGTCCCTCATCTCATCAGGTCCCCGCGGCAGGTGACAGCAGAGCAGCAGGCTGTGGGAGTTGCTGCAGGCTCTGCAGGGGCCCTCGGCAGCCCCTCGGCATGTGAGAGGCCGCCCTGGGGTCAGGTTGGCACCCGGCTGGAGCTGTGAGGTCACTGCTCTGGAGCTGACCAAGGCAGGCCCGCGCACCCAGACTTCGGCATGGCCAGGGGACACAGTTCCACCAGGGGTTTGCGAGGCCGTGTGCACCCGGCGTGGCAGCGGCAGAGTGCGATGGGCTGCCTGGTCCCGACCCTGCCTTCACGGAGCCCAAGATGTCTATGGGCCTCAGTCCCACCTAGGAGAGGAGTGGACAGGAGGACTCCTCACACTCCCACGCCGCCGGCACAACTTCCAACGCCACCTGTGCCTCAGGTAGAATGTCTCTGTGTCCTGAGAACCCGGGCACCTAGACAGAAAGGGCAAGGCTCGCTGAAGGGGTCCTCTACGTACCCATGTAGCCGACTGTTCCAACTCTTCCTCGAATTGTCTCCCCTTCTGGGACCTCCATGGCTAAACCAAGATCTGAAATCCGGATATGTCCTGCGTGTGTTCAAATACATGACACAAATCACAGGGGGGCGTGCTGACGCCTCAACTCCCTACACCTGGGGAGAGCCACCTACAACGGGAGTTGCAGCGGCCCACACTCTCAAGGACTGAGATCTAAGTGACAGTGACCTTTCCACATCTGCTGAAGTACCACCCAGAGCGTCAGCTCCACTCACAGCAGGACGTTAGGCTTCTGCCTGGCTCGGGGTCGGGAAGCCCTCTGACCATCGACACCAGCTGACAAGCTCTCCCGGGCACTGAATCGTTCCCGACCGGCCTGCACAGCGCTCGGGACAGGAACGGGGACCCGGGACTGAGGCTGCACCGCATCACAAATCCCATCATGCCCTGGGCGCGAGCCCACCCAGGAGGCAGGAGGGTGCCCGAGTTAGAGCAGATTCTGGAGCCCTGAGGCCTGGGTTTGAGGCCCAGCTCTGCCACATATTAGCGCGTCTGGGTTTCCTCCTTCACAGAGAAGATTCCCTCAGCAATGCAGCTTTATAACGTTTATGTCTAAGTAGAGTACACGCATGTTGCAAAATTTCAAGTTCCCCTGTCTCATTTTACTTTTAAAAAGAGAAGTGAACAGTAAACCTTCTGGAAAAACTGCAAGTTTGAGACATGGTCTGTGGGCGGTGTGTGCGGACACAGGCACACCCATCCTTGCTGGTGCAGATACAAACAGCACAACAGCCTTGCCCGTGGGGCTCAGTTGGCTGAGCATTGTCCCCTGCAATAAGGGGTCCCTGGGTCGATTCCCAGTCAGGGCATATGCCGGGTTGCGGGCTCCATCCCCAGCAGGGAGTGTGTAGGAAGCAGGTGGCTGATGCTTCTCTCTCTCCCTCTCTCTCTCTCTCTCTCTCTCTCTCTCCCCCCTTCTCCCTGCCTCTGTTTAAAAACAAACAAACAAAACAACCAGCACAACCCCCGATGGAGGGATTTGGCAGAACTGCACGTGACCTGGCCTTCAGCCTAGCACCCCACTCCTCTGGCTCTACCCCAGGGCTGCACTAGAACCACAGGCATGCCATGTGCCCAGGCTGCACGCTGTGCACATGAAACAGCAGAGACTGGGGCAGCCAGGCCCCCCCGTGACAAGGGGCCGGGAGATCTCTGAGTGTGCGAGAGTGATCTCTGCTACATATTAAAAAAGCAAAGTGAGGAAAACAGCATAAGGATGTCAGTCATCAGACCCAATGTTCTCAGCATCAGAGAAAAATGCAAAGGGAAGAAGAAGGGAATGTCAATATGAACCCGTGATGAAGGTTTTCTTTAAAAAAAAAGAGAAAAGGCACATTTCCTCCGCCAACTCCGAAGGCCTAGGAAGAATGACCCGCACAGCAACGGGACCGCGGCGCCCACGTGGGTCTCGCGAGGCCGCTCTCCACACAGAGGACGGGCCCCGGGGAGACGGTGGACTCAGGTCTCAGGACACACACAGGGGACCCTGAACAGGATCACAGAGAAAACAAAGGGCGATGTTCAAATCTACGGGGCACCTGCTGACCAAGCGGGACAAGCTGACCAAAGCGAACAATGACTCCGATGGACAGAAACCTAGCAAAGCGTTACAACCCGCCAGTTCATAACGACAGCAAAACAGGAAGCGAACACCTCCTGGTCGTCTTGTGAAAACAAGGGGCGCAGAGCCCAGTGTTTCACCTGGTTTCCCTGAGCAAAGAGGTAAACAAATGCTGACGAGGCCAAGTTCTTTCCCGTAGATGAATCCAACAAGTGCGTGCCCAGGAGCGGCCCGAGTCCCAGGTATGACAGGGAGACACTGACCGTTAAGCCGTCAGCGGAAAGCTGCTGACCAAGACCCAGCCCCGAGGGCCGCTCCTGACACGATCACGGGCTCCCCTGCGTGGAAGAGCCCACGTGGCCATGTGCACGGCTGCCCTGGGACACACGCCCCGCAAAGAGGGCAGCACCGTGAGCAGCGCCCATGGTGAGGAGGGCGCGGAAACCCACGTCTCAGGAATACAGCAAGATGTGGGTCAAGAGCAAGAGCAGAATGTCCTCACTGTGAGTTCACCTCGGCCTGCTGCTCGCCTGAGCCCCGGGGTGACAAGGCCACCCATGCACTTGCAGAGGCGTCCCCGGCTCGCTTTGCTGTGTCTGCCTGATGTCTGAGTGGAGAGCACGCAGGGTTCTGCACTGACTCTCTGCCCCCAAGTCCCTCTCAACGAAGTCTGTGCTCCAGAGGGAGGCTCACTCACCGCGGTCGTCGAGGAGAATGTTCTCAGGCTTTAAGTCTCTGCAAAGGAAGAAGTGACAACAAAGAGCAGTTATTTGGAAGCTGACACTGCGACCATCAGCAGCCGCAGAAACAGCCCCGCGGTCTCTGCACCGACAACGGCAAGCCGCCCCGTGAGAGTGAGCGCACGCTGCCCGCGGGAAAGTACGAGGCAAGCAGTGACTAGGAAATCGAAGGAGCGGGCAAATACCCAGGAGGGACTTGCGGCCAACGGGCGGGGTGAGAGCGAGGGAGACCCAGACCCTGGGACTTTAGGAGAAAGGGCGAGGCTGGCAGGGCCTCCCAGAGAGCGGGCCTAGGTGAGATCGCCCAGGAGAGACGAGAAGAAACTCCAGCAGCTACAGGACGGGGGGCTGCCTTCCCTCAGAATAAGACACTGAACTAATGCTATTAATTTCGTTTTCTTACTAAATTCTAAGATGTAAAAACAGCAAAGTAAATGTGATTTTAAGACACTGAATTGTGTGCCATTTGCTGGAACTGAGTCCCAGTCCTCAGCAGCAGGTTCAATGTCTCAGATGTCAGAAACAGGTTCTGACGCTACAGAGCGGCACTGCCCACATCTGACCAGCTGAACAAATGAGAACGGCCACTAGGGATCAGAGAGGACGGAGAGGAAGCCGGGTCCGCCGCTGAGGGCCACAGGGGGAGCGCCCGGGCCCTTGGGCTCGGGAGGCACCGCCGCACCTGTACACGATCCGCTCCCTCTGCAGGTCCTCCAGGCCACAGCACAGCTCTGCCGCGTAGAAAACCGCTCTCTGCTCGTCAATGCCGGGGCTGCCCAGGTTGTAGATGTGGAACTTCAAGTCCCCTCCGTTCATGATGGTGAGCACCAAGCACAGGGCGTCTTTGGTTTCGTACGTGTAGCACAAGCTCACCTGGAGACGGCAGCATCGCAAACACAAGACACCTGCTCACCCCGGCCCTCCCCCTGGCCGACAGCATTCAGGGAGGCCTGCGGGGTACGGGCACCCACTCTGCCTCAGGGGCTGCACCCACACAGGGGCTTCGGGGCCTTTTCTTGCTGAGGACCCGGCGCCAGTTCTCAACTGAAGGGAGAGAACTTGCCACGCCCACGTGGGTGGGTGGGTGGCGCCACTTCACAGAGACACTGGATCACCATCCCAGGCTACCCTCACCCTCACCCCGCCCCCAGCAGTGCACGGAGGTCCCGCTGCTGCACATCCTTCCAACACTGCTGTCAGCCAGCACGGGTGGTGTTAACCTGCATGGCTCTGACTGTGCACACGGGGGCTACTTCTCATGCTTTTGCGTAGACTTAGGAAACCTATTTTGCCTGGTTTTCTATTGGTCTGTACGTCAATTCACACACACACACACACACACACACACACACACACACACCCGCTAGGGCTATGACTGGACTGCACTTCATTTAATCTCTGCATCAATTTGGGGGGAAACTGACATCTTCACAGCACTGGTCTTCCGACCCATGAGCCCCCCTCGTTAGCTCCTGTCATTTTCTTTTCTTTTCTAAGTATTCTCTCAACACCATGTTGAAACTTTTTAAATTGATTTTTTAGCAAGAGAAAGAGAATACCGGTTTGCTGTTCCACTTGTTTATGCACTTGCTGCTGCTTGCTGTACGTGCCCTGATTGGGGATCGAACTACACCCTGACATACCGGGAAAATGCGCCAACCGAGCTGCCCGGCCAGGGCTCCTGGAACCTCTTGTACTCACATTTTATAGGTCTCAGTGGAGAAGTCTCGCACATTTTCAATTTTTGCCTAGCTCTCGATGTTCCTTGATGCCATCATAGATGGTGTCAATTTAAAATTTTTCATTTTCTAATGTAGCTAGTGGCACATTTAATAAATTGACTAACTTCCCAATCAGTGACTCAGAAAGTCTCGGACTGTCTACTGCACAATCGCGCTGGGGGGGTGGGGGTGGGGGGAGACGGGGGTGACGTGGCCGGGCAGGACCCGCACCACTGTGTGCAGGGAACAGATCCCAGGGAAGGGAGAATATTTCTAGGTTCCTTGGGAGCAGCCAAGAAGGCAGAAACAAAAACATTTCATTTAAATAGAATAAACCGCAACTACTTCTATGTCCCTTTCATTACGTTAGAGTGTGGATTTTTATGTTTCAAGGTAGTTACCCGAATATGTGTAAAGCAGCTCCAAAATGAGCCCATTTTTAAAAATATATATTTTATTGATTTTTTTACAGAGAGGAAGGGAGAGGGATAGAGAGTTAGAAACATCGATGAGAGAGAAACATCGATCAGCTGCCTCCTGCACACCCCCTACTGAGGATGTGCCTGCAACCAAGGTACATGCCCTTGACCGGAATGGAACCTGGGACCCTTCAGTCCGCAGGCTGATGCTCTATCCACTGAGCCAAACTGGTCAGGACCAAAATGAGCCCATTTTATTAAAGATTTTCAGGTGACATGCGTCAGACTGTCATGGCAGACACATAAAGTCTTGCTATTAAATTTATACGATGGCCACCCACTGCTGGGAACGCTGCCCCCCAGCACAAAGCAGCGGACCTCACACTGAGAAATCAATGACTTGGAGGAAGTGACTCGAACACTACAAATCACTTTATAAACTACCTGTCACTCTCTTCCTTCAACCAGACCCTCACACTGCAGTAGATGCTGCAGGAAAAACGCGGTCAGGGGGCGAGAAACCAGGTTGGAGATGAAACCACGCCACTCACTGCTCGGCCCAGGCCTGGAGCGGCCCTGAGCCCACCGACCCCAGAGAAGGTGGACGGAGAGGCACCATACAAGGGGGTGCTCACTGAGGACCACGCAGTAAAGGTGCAGGCAGCAGAGAAAGGGAGAGACGGGATGGCCTGAGGCCCAGAGAGGAGGCGCTAGAGCAGGTCTCCAGCCGGAAGCTGGCTGCCGGGGGAACGGGGGACACCTGGCCGGCGCAAGCTTGCAGTGGAAGTCACCGCCAGACCAGGCCTGGTGGAAGCAGCGGATTTGTTACAAACCCAAGTTCCAAGCAGGCTCTCCACTGTCGTATGTTTGTGTCCAGTTAAGGAATTGAGTAAGAAAAGAGAGGGCTGTTACTAAAGCAAAGCCGTTCCCGACACCTATGCCTGTTAACAGCACAAGATGGCAACCGCACACGCACTAAACCAAGAAATTCCCACGGCTGGAAGGAGGGGGCTTCGAGGCAGGTCGTTAGGGAAAATGCTGGTTCCCACGGGTCCTCAGTGAGGAGAGGAGGGACTCGCTGCAGATCCACCGGGCTCTCTCTGAGGCCCATGGGAGGCGCGAGGAGGTACTTACTACAAATCTACTTTGCACTTTTTCCAGGAGTCTTTTCTCATTCAGGGCCATGGCTTCGCCGTTCCTCCTTTTGATTCTTTTCTTTAGCATCTTTTTGCAGGCATACATTTTCCCTGTAGCTCTCACTTGACAGGCATAAACCTAGTGTCAAAGAGAAAAGGAGAGGTGGGTCGGAGCTGGGATTCCCAGGCTACGGGGAAACCCGTCTTCTGTGATCAGCCTGTCAGAGCAGCAGCAGAACTGGCCGAGCCACGACCACTGCCACGGTCACTGCTGAGAGTTTCTGAGCCGCCCCCTCCTCCCCTCGGCTTCCTCGTCTGCGGCAGCGCTGGGGCAATCACGGGAAATACATGCTCTAAAACCCAGGACAGTGGGCAGACGGGACTTGTTCATCTGTGATCGTGGTGCAACTCTTTAACATGTCTCCCTCCCTTTTTGTACAAAAGCAAAAGTTTTAGAAACTAGATTCTTGATTTTTTAGAAAGTTCAAGAATATTAGAAAATATATTTTACAGAAGTCATAGACTTTCATACATTTATTATACTTAGGTTTTTTTTTTGTTTTTTTTTTAATATATTTTATTGATTTTTTACAGAGAGGAAGAAGAGAGAGATAGAGAGTTAGAAACATCGATGAGAGACAGCCATCGATCAGCTGCCTCCTGCACATCTCCCACTGGGGATGTGCCCGCAACCCAGGTACATGCCCTTGACCGGAATTGAACCTGCAACCTTTCAGTCCGCAGGCCGATGCTCTATCCACCGAGCCAAACCGGTTTCGGCTATACTTAGTTTTAAAGGCATATTTACATATTAGTTAATTTTATATTATGAACATTTTCAAACATATAAAAGTGCCCTGACCTGGAATCAAACCATGATCTCCTGGATCATGGTTGACACTCAACCACTGAACCACACTGGCTGGGCACTTCCTAATTTTTTTTAAAAGCTTTTACTAACATACCTTTTGCTCAAAGTTCAATCTTTTTAAAAAAAATATGTATTTTATTGATTTTTTTTACAGAGAGGAAGGGAGAAGGATAGAGAGTTAGAAACATCGATGAGAGAGAAACATCGATCAGCTGCCTCCTGCACACTCCCTACTGGGGATGTGCCCGCAACCCAGGTACATGCCCTTGACCGGAATTGAACCTGAGAACCTTGAGTCCGCAGGCCGACGCCCTATCCACTGAGCCACACCAGCCAGGGCTCAAAGTTCAATCTTAATGCTCATGCTTATTCCCCAGATACATGTTATGGAAGTACATGTGCAACTTCAGTGGGTGCGTTACCTGAAGCGAGTGTCTCAAATACCTGCTGTATAGCATGGCGCACACTGGCCACATAATACTTACCTCTCCAAATCCGCCTTTTCCTAGGACTCTGTAATGTCTAAATGTTTTCTTTGTTACTGGCTGCCTAAGTAATAAAAAAGAAGTTTTAGGTCTCACATCACATTGTTACTTTAAAGCAGAAAAGCCCACCTAGCTCTTGTCCCAGACTTAGTTATGGAACCCTACTGGTCTAGGGGAGGACAGGGTGCCTGTGCTTGGGGACTGTGGCCCTCGCGGGGGACAGCTCTCAGCTGCACTCAGCAACAAGCACACGGAACATTTTTCATTGAAAACACTGATGACAGATGCAAAATGGTCCAGTTATCTTTACTCATGAAAGACAAGTTTGCAACTCGCCCACATGTGAAGTATTATGTATTCTCAGGACCCCCTCAGGCCCGTCAGAAAGCTGCTGAGGAAAGAGGACGGGTCTACAGCACGCTGTCCTTTGAAAAACCAGACATCTCGAAAAACATGTCTGAACTAGAACTGGAAAAGTGGTCAATCTATAGACAGTATGTCCTCGGGTGACATCGGAGATCCGCTCCTATGGCGACGTAATGCAATTTTCGCCGTAAGTCGGAACCCACCTACATAAACACCTTATGTCACTCACATGGAGCACAGACACAGCAGTAAGGAAGGGAAACAGTAAACAAAATTTAAATGAAGATAACAATCCCTGACCTTTACTTGTGGTAAATAAATAATAAAAAATATAAAGCACATATGTACATACGTCAAAATCATGGAACTTTTTTTATAAATAAAGGGGCGATGGTGACGTAACCACGAAACAACATACGTCAAGTTCGATGTAACCCAAGGACTGTCTATATATAAAAGGCTAAGCAACTGGCCAAGCAACTGGCCGACCAGCCGACCCAGCCGGTAGGTATGACATGCCCTGACCACCAGGGGGCAGACACTCAACACAGGAGCTGCCGAGCGGCAGCAACTTTGCAGAGTGCCCTCTCACACTCTGGGACCCCTTGTGGGATGTCGGACTGCCGGTTTCTGCCCAAACCCCGCAAGTCAGGCCCAGGGACCCCACCTGCCGGAGGGACCCCACTCACTCCGCAGACGCCCTTTGAGCCCCGGCACCGCCCCAGGTGCAGCTGGCTGGGAGGGATCATGGGAGGTTGGCTCCAGGGCGTGTCCGGTCCATCTCGCCCAGTCCCTCCCCGCTGGCCACCTTCTAATTTCCTTTCAATGTGCATGAATCTGTGCACCAGGCCTCTAGTCAATAATAATTGTAGCCCTGGCCGATGTCGCTCAATGGTTAGACTATTGGCCCAAACACTGAAGTGTCAAGAGTTTGATTCCCAGTCAAGGGCACGTACCTGGGTTACAGGTTTCATCCCTGGCCCTGGTTGGGGTGTGTTCAGGAGGCAACCAATCAATGTATCTCTCTCAGGTCGATGTTTCTCTCTCTCTCCTCCCTTACCCCTCACTTCCAATCTCTCTAGAAATCAATGGAAAGAATATCCTCACTCTCGGGTGAGGAGTAAAAGTAAAAGTAATAACAATTGTAATAACAAGACTAGTGGCAGCTAATACTTTGTGAGCACTTACTCTGTACACGAGACTAGGAAGGCTAAGCACTTCACACACATTTCTCAGGCGACCCGGGCATCTAGTGGTGTGGGTCATGCGCACCTAGACTTACAGAACCAGGACCTGAAGCTCACAAAGGCTGTCACTTGCCTGAGATCACACAGCTGCAGGAGGCCGCACAGCTGCAGGAGGCCGCACAGCTGCAGGAGGCCGCACAGCTGCAGGAGGCCGCACAGCTGCAGGAGGCCAGCACAGCTGCAGGAGGCCACACAGCTGCAGGAGGCCAGCACAGCTGCAGGAGGCCCGCACAGCTGCAGGAGGCCAGCACAGCTGCAGGAGGCCGCACAGCTGCAGGAGGCCGCACAGCTGCAGGAGGCCAGCACAGCTGCAGGAGGCCGCACAGCTACAACACGCCACACAGCTGCAACACGCCACACAGCTGCAGGAGGCCAGCACAGCTGCAGGAGGCCGCACAGCTGCAGGAGGCCGCACAGCTGCAGGAGGCCGCACAGCTGCAACACGCCGCACAGCTGCAACACGCCGCACAGCTGCAGGAGGCCAGCACAGCTGCAGGAGGCCGCACAGCTGCAGGAGGCCGCACAGCTGCAGGAGGCCAGCACAGCTGCAGGAGGCCGCACAGCTGCAGAAGGCCGCACAGCTGCAGGAGGCCAGCACAGCCTGAGACCCACAGCACTGTATGTCTGTGACCCTAGAACATGCTTTATTTTTCTAACTACTGCACCAAGAGGGCTGACAACCATTTAAAAAGACAGAACAGAGTCAAATGAATGAGAAGAAACTACTAACACACATTAATAATCTCTGTAGAGAAATACCACATGAAGGCCAAGATTTCCAAGAGTACTTTGACAGATGGAAAAGTATACATCAATCAGGGTGAGTATGAGAAGTTACCATTGTTTTCCCTGAATCTTAAGTGAGAACATACCTTTCCAGCCATTTCCACTGTAAAAATCGAGAAAAATATGGGCTCTCTTGGTATTCTTCAAATGGCTTTCCACTTAAATAGCGATGGACAACTCTAGAAGAAGATGGCGTGCAGTTATACCTGCTTCCTTACAACACGGAAACAGCTGTGTTAGCAACAGCAAGCCCTGGGCATGGGAAAGTCTATCACACACACACTGCTCAATACTGAATGCGAAATTACAGGAGTCACAACAGGCTCTAATGCTATCAGTGAAAACAGGGAGGGAAGATTCAAAAGAAATGAAATCAATTTACCCTCCCAAAGTCAGAGGTTCTTTTTATGTATATGGACATCAGAGAAATGCTTTATAAAAACAATCTATCAGCCGAAACCGGTTTGGCTCAGTGGATAAAGCGTCGGCCTGCGGACTGAAGGGTCCCAGGTTCGATTCCGGTCAGGGGCATGTACCTGGGTTGCGGGCACATCCCCAGTGGGAGATGTGCAGGAGGCAGCTGATCGATGTTTCTCTCTCATCGATGTTTCTAACTCTCTCTCTCTCTCTCTCCCTTTCTCTCTGTAAAAAATCAATAAAATATATTTTTTTTAAAAAAACACACAAAAAAAACAATCTATCAGTAAAAAGACAATAGTTTAAAACATATTCCAAGTGTGTGTGCACGCATAGGCATGTATATTTCAGGAGGGAATTTAAACATTTTGTAAATAAAATGGAGGAATGTCTAATTGGTAATAGTCACAAGGCAGAAAATGTTAATATGTGACACACCTGTTGTTTTAACACTGGAAATGAAGCAATCAATTATTTTACGCGACACACTTTCTCAAATTTTATGCACTTGGCCTTGCCACTGAGGTTTCATTTATAACTCTATTTTAGAAGGAATAAAATGCTCACTTGGGGAAGCATCTCTCCCTGTCCTGCTGAGTGGGCTGCAAGCACGCGCCGATGCTGCAGGGAACACGATGCTGAGGTCCCCCAGGCTGAGCCTCTCAGGGGAGCTCGGCAGCAAAGCTGCGTTTACAGTGACACTAAGGCCGCACGTATTCTGAACCCCATTCTCCCAGAGGGCTCTCCAGAGGCTGCAGTGTGACAACACCGCCGCGGCTCTGAGAGTGGGATGCTCGTGTCTTATTTTAAGAAGCACGACCCACATGAACAAAAGCTCTCCGGGTCCTCCACGCGTTTTAAGAGCGGAAGGTCCTGAGAGGAAAGGTCTGAACCGGCCGCTACGTTCAATCTGAGAACTAAACGCTGCTCCGGAGGCTTCCCGGGCTGCTCCCGGGCGCTGGGGGCGCCTTCCGCGCAGGAGCAGGTGGGCAGCTCAAATGCAAACCTTTCTGAACCGGTTAAAGGACTCGATGCCGCCGTCAGCTACATCGTCTTTATCAAGGCATTTAAGAATTCCCATGAGAAGCACAACACAGACAGAGCTTGTTCTACAGGGTGAGGCAAAAGCAGGCTTACAGCTGTTCGTATGGAAAATAACACAATAATTAGTAAATAATAATACAGGACTAAACTCTGTTTCGCATACTCACCGCTGGAAGCCCACTTTCCCTCACCTGTATTATATTTGTGTTTCAGAGTCTGTTTAATCAATGGCTACCATCAGCCTACCAGCGCTTCTCCATTTCACTTCCTCACACACCTCCCTCAAAACAGCCAACTGCTGCTCAGCTCTAGTCTGGGAAATAAGGCTCCCGCACGCATTTCAAACCATTATGACATTTGAAACTGCACAGTCCTGGCTGCGTTTCCGGTGGTTAGTGTCAGCCTGTGAAGCAGAAGGACCTTGGGCTCGATTCCCAGTCAAGGGCATGTACCTGGATTGCACGTTCGATCCTGGCCCTGGTCCGGGTGCGTACAGGAGGCAGCCAATCGGTGTGTGTCTCTCTCATATTGATGTTTCTCTCTCTTTCCCTTCCTCTCTCTCTAAAATCATTAAAAAAAGCAAAACATTTTATGGAAATCTTTCATCCCAGACACCAGCATTTTGGAAGGCTGAGCAGAGGGCCAGGAGCTGGCAGAGTGCTGCTACCACCCTGGCCCTCCGATGTGGCTGCCTCCGTGGGTCCCTATGCAAGTGTCCTGACGGCTCCTTCTGGTGGAAGCGGCATTTCATCTCGACAGCGCTCTGTAAGAGCTAGCTCATGCCCAGAAGCCCCGTCTCAGGGCGAGCCACAGCGATGGGCAGGGTGGGCACAGCCCCTTACCTGACACATTCCTTGAACAGCTCTTTGGAGGGGATCTCCTTCAGTCGCAGCCTGCACGCTCTCACAGCATGGGCAGAAATCCGGGGTAAAGGGGCTGCCGCGTTCTTACAGCACAAACCAAAGACATGAAATTAGTGATTTCACAACTTACCAATTATGAGCAAGACCTAACGCCTATTGTAAAAAATGAAAACACCAAGGACATGAGGTAAGTCTAGGTACCACGGTCACTCTGCCCAGCCTCATCTCCCAGGGTTCAGTGTCACCTTTCCCCGGGACATCAAAACAGACACTGCACCCCACATCACAGCATCACTCACACAACAGCCAAAGGCAGGCGCGACCCAGCGTCCATGGGTAGATGTGTGGGCCAACAAAGTGTGGTCCACCCGTTCAAAGGGCATTATCCAGCCTTCAATGGAAGAGGATTCTGACACCTGCGACACATGAATGGACCTTGAGGACAACCTGCTAAGTGAAATATGCCAGTCCTGGAAGGGCAAATCCTATCAGACTCCACTTATACTCCGTCCCGACAGCAAATTCATAAAAGACAAAAAGAAGAGTGGGTGCCACGGGCTGGAGAGGGGGGGCCTGCTGTTTAATGGAGACAGGGTTTTAGCTCCGCATAAAAATGTTCTGGAGAGAATGCAGGTGACGGCTGTACAATGGAACGTACTTAATGACAAATTTTATACGATTTTTATCACAATTAAAAATGCAAACATACACACAAACGCTCAGAAATACACACACTTTTTCCTCATACAAATGGAATAAAAACTGTGCATAGATGTCCCTCAATTTATGATGCAATTATGTCCCAACAAATCCATCCTGAATTCAGAATATCATAGGTCAAACCTACCTAACACGGTAGCTCAGCCAAGCTGGCCTGAAACATGCTCTGAGCACTTACATCAGCCCACACCAGGGCAGCTGTCTTCCACTGCCTTCCCTCTTTCCTCACAGAGGAGACACGGGGGAATTTTGTAGACATGATGGGACACAGAAACACAAAATAAAATATCCAGAAAATGCTGACAACACAGCACACTGCAGAGCAGGTGTGGGGAACCCTTTTTCTGCCAAGGGCCATTTGGATATTTATAACATCACTAGAGGCCTGGTGCACGAATTCGTGCACCGGTGGGGTCCAGCCAGCTGCCCTCTCCCACCCCACATGGGGTGATGGGCCAGCTGGGGGGAGGGGCCACGGGAGAGCAAATTGGAGGCGGGGCTGGTGGGGGGGCAGGGCCTGGAGAAGATCCACTGAGCTGGAGCTGAGCATGGGCCCCAGGCTTCCCAGGGAGAGCGGCCTCAGCAAGAAACAGAAACCACCAGAAGCCTCTGCGACGCCCCGAGCCCCCTCGGGCCAGGCGGACTCACAGCTGGTGTCTCCGCGCGCACATGAGACACGGCCGGGCACTCGCCTTGGTCTGTCGGTCAAACCGTGGGACACTGGTTCCCCTTCTTCTCTCTGGGCCATTGGGAGACGCAGGCCCCAGCAGCAGAGCCGGGCCCCACCAGCAGCCAGAATGGAGGCCTCAGACAACTGGGCCGCCGCCTCCACGGACTAGAACACACGGCTGTAGAGTCTTAATTCTCCCCTAAAACATGCCCAGCTGCTCCTCTTCAGCCGGATGGACTGAACTAAGGAACCAAAGACAAGTTTCCTCTGGGGCGGGATCCACGGGGAGCCGGCTGGTGGCGAGGCCCCCCACAGGCGGCTGCTGCCCCCCACGCTCGGGGAGCTCTGGGCTGGGGGTGCCGGGTCCCGGGCGGCTGGTCCACAGGGTTTCTCTCCGCCGCCTTCCTGGCCTCCCGAGCCGTCCCCTCTGCCCCACGCACCAGGCTCTGTCGCTAGAGCCGGGACTCGGAGCGAAGGAGCTGCACCCCCACCCGCTTCTCAGTCTCGCCCGCACGGATCGGGCCAAAGCCCGCTGCCCAAGAATGGCACCACATGGGGAGGGTCGCAGCGGGGAGAGGGGCGCCCTGACCTGCCAGCCTTGGCGACAATCATCTCGATGCCCAGCTGACTGAATTCGTCCCACAGAGCCTGCACCTCAAGCTGCGCTCACACTGGCCACCTTCACCGGCGCCTTGGCGGCTGCCGCGCAACTGGCCGCAGGGCCCTCGGGCTCACGTCATAGCAATCGGTCGTTCCAGTCGGTCTCTCTGCCGCACGGTCCCTGGGCTTTTATTATATAGATTTCCGGGCCATACAAAATCATCCCCTTAGAATTAGCTGCTATATTTGGTCAAACATTTAATTAACTCACCCCAATGCCTGGCAGGGCCAGAGCACGTGATCGCACGGGCCTTCCATGCCCCTCAGGCCACATGTCCCCACTCCAGCTGCGGAGTGTCAGCTGTTGATCCTGTGATCGGTGGCACCACGAGAGCTTCGTCCGGCATGTCCCAAGCCAGAAACGATCAAACTGCGAAGTGCACTCTACCACCTGCCTAGCGCTTTCGCACACGCACATAGGAGGGCGGGAAAGCCGCGAGTCGGGGCTGCCTGCAGTTTTGTGTGTGCTGATGCTGGGAGTGACTGTGCTCTCTGGCGGCCGCCTGGCTTGGCAGAGTTCACCTGCCTACGAAGCGTTCCAGTCACCAGCTCTCTCCTCTTCCCACACCACTGCCACCAACACCTCTGCACACCGGTGTGATGGGATAGAGTCTAAAAGGAGAACTACCAGCTCAAAGGACCCACGTTTTAAATGTTGATATTGATTACAAAACTGCCTCCAATAGGCTGTGTCGCTCACTCCACGCTCCCCGTGTGCCAGTTCCCACTCCCTTCACCCCCCTCCCGAGGACTCTGGGAGAACACATAACAGAACTGCTGTCCAGCTCATGCTCAACTGCACGTGTCATTTGTCAGCAGAAAGGAGGCGTGCATTGTAGACTGATTTCTGCCTGTGGTATTCCTGCTACCAGAGCAAAACTGTGTGTTTCCTGTCAGTCAGACCAACTATTTCAGCAAAGTTGAACTATTAATAGAAATATACATTGAGAAAACTCACATTAAAAAGATTATTATAATTGACCATCATGATTACTAGCTGTCATTTAAATGATCTAAAACAAGCCCTAGCCAGTTTGGCTCAGTGGATAAAGCATCGGCCTGCATCCCGAAAGGTCCTGGGTTCAATTCTGGTCAAAGGCATGTACCTTGGTTGCAAGCTCCTTCCTGGCCCAGGCCCTGGTCAGGGCTCGTGCTGGAGGCAACCAATAGATGTGTTTCTCTCTCATCAATGTTTCTGTCTTTCCCTCTCTCTTCTACTTTTCCTTAAAAATCAATGAAAAAATATCCTCAAGTGAGGATTAACAAAAAAATAAATGATCCTAAACAAGTGAAGCCTCACCACACCGGGTGGACGAGGTGTGGACCGCTGCAGCGCGTTCCACAGCAAGAAGAGGGAGAGCAGAGACCACATCATGCTCTTGGACTCACTCCCCAGACCAGGCTCCCCTACACGCAGGCCATGACAAGGGTAAGAGGGTTCATTCCTTCCACCCTTCAGAAAAGAAGTCTGCTCATTCATTTACTCAACAAACACACCTTGTCCCAGGCATAGGAGACAACAGAAAACAAGACAAAATTTTCCACAGAACATAAAGCCACCAAATTTCAAAACTGTCTCAAAAAAATGTATTTTTAAGAAATCGTTCTCAGGGTTTTCCACAGTTTTAGGTCCTTTCCCAAGGTCTCAGTTTTCTGTAGCTAAATAGCAGGTTAGTTCCATTACGCGGTTTAATGATTAACTTTAACTGGAGACCCTTTTCTCGGTAACTTAGGACATTTTTATTTAAGAATAATGTCTTCCCACAGAAAGGACAAGCAGTGCTGTGATCCTCCCTGAGCAGAGGCAAGGGAAGGCCTGCTAACCGTAAAGTCAGACAGACCTTCTAGGCCTTCAATTCAGGAACAAGAGTCCTTCTCAGAAGAGGGGGTTGCCCTGCAAGTCCCAGACGTGAAGACCTCGGATGGGAAAGTCCACTGGAAGGGAAGGAGAGGGGTGAACTGTGCAGAAATAGGCTTCTTTTTCTGTGTTAAAAACACAGACTTTCGAGATGGCCCCGGTGAGGTCGGGACGGCCCCGGTGAGGCCGAGACAACACCAGCGAGGTCGGAACGGCCCTGGTGGGGTTGGGACAGCCCCAGTGAGGCTGAGACGGCCCTGGTGAGGTTGAAACGGCCCCGGTGAGGCCGAGACAACACCGGCGAGGTCGGGATGGCCCCAGTGAGGCTGAGACGGCCCCGGTGAGGTTGAAACGGCCCCGGTGAGGCCGAGACAACACCTGCGAGGTCAGGACGGCCCTGGTGGGGTCGGGACAGCCCCAGTGAGGCTGAGACGGCCCCAGTGAGGTCAAGACGGCCCCGGTGAGGTTGGGACGGCCCTGGTGAGGTTGAAACGGATAATAAAGATCAATATAAACTGATTAACAAAAATAGATGCAGAGGCAGAGCAGCATTGAACAGACTGTCAAACTACAGTGGGAAGCCTGGGGAGGGTTGGGGGGGGGGTTAAGAGATCAACCGAAGGACTTACATGCATGCATATAAGAATAACCAATGAACACAAAACACTGGGGGGTAGGGGAGGCTGGGGGAAAGTCAAGGGGGGGAAAAGGAGACATACGTAATACTCTTTGTAATACTTTAAGAAATAAAAATTATTAAAAAAAAAAAAAAAAAACACAGACTTTACTCTTTTTTTAAACTGGGTTGTCTTTATTGTTGAATTTAACAGTTCTTTCTATATCCTGGATACCAGACCCTGAGCAGATCTTGGCTTTGCAGATAATTTCTCCCATTCTGTAGGTTGTCTGTTCACTTTCTTTATAGTGCTCTTTGAAGCACAAAGTTTTTAATTTTGATCAAGTCCAGTTTACTTACTTATTTATTCATTTAAAAAATTTTTTTTATCCTCATCCAATGAGTGCTGAAATTTTTTCACTGATTTTAGAGAGAATGGAAGGGTGGGGGGGGGAAAGGAAGAGAGAGAAGTATCGATGTGACAGAGAGACATCAATTGGTTGGCTCCTACACCAACTCCAACCGGGGGCAGGGATTGGACCTGCAACCCAGGTACCTGCCCTTGACAGGGAATCGAACCCACAACCCTCCAGTTCGCAGGCCTGTGCTCTAACCACTGAGCAACGTTGGGCTTAGGTTGCTGTCCTTTCACTGTGCTCAGAAACCAGTCTAAACCAAGGTCATGAAGAGCTAACTTAAAAGTTTTGTACCTAACTTTGCACCTCAGAGGCGTGCTCTGTGAGTTCTATGGCTTCCACTCTTCCATTGAAGTGTTCGATTCATTTGGATGATGCTTTGTGTGTGGTGTGAGGTAAGGGCCAGCTCCATTCTTTTGCATGTGGACGTCCAGCTGTGCCTGCAGTCTCTGGAAAGGTGACTCTCCCCAGAGGTGTCGTAGGCTGTTGTAAGTCAGCTGACTGCAAACGGATGCGCTGGCTCCTGCATCAGTCCCCAGCCCACTGATGGGGTGACTGTCCTTATGCCAGCACCACGCAGCTTCTCTCATCAGTTATTAGCTTCTGCAGAAAGGGGAGCTAGGGTTTCGCTCGGGATTATAATGAACCTACAGATCATGGTGGGGAGTGTTGTCATCTTAAAAATATCAAGTCTTCTAATCCATGAACATGGGAAGTCTATTTAAGTTCTTCAATTCCTTTCAATGATGGTTTTAAGTACAAAAGTCTTGCACTTTTTATATTTACTCCTCTTTCTTTTTGATGCTGTTGTAAATGGAATTGCTTTCTTAATTTCACTTTGGATTTTAATTGCTAGAAATACAATTGAATTTTGTATGGTGACCCAGTGTCCTGCAACCTTGACAAACTCATTTATTAGTGTTTTCTCCCTAATGTATGTGTGGATACCTTAGGGTTTTCTACATACAAGTGCTATGGTCTGCATGTGTCCCCTCAAAATTCCTATGTTGAGATCCTACCCCCCCCCCCCCCCCCGTGTGACAACAATGAGATGTAAGGCCTTTGGGAGGTGCTTAGATCACGAGGAGGGAGTCCGTGCGAGTGGGATCAGGGCCCTTAGGAAGGAGGCTCCGGAGAGCCCCACGTGAGGACACACAGTGAGACGGTGCCAGCTATGAGCCAGGGAGAGGAGCATTTATAAGAAAGTAACGATTTTAACAAACTTGTTCTATTTATCCAATTATATAAAGATGACTCGGCACTCTAATTACAGAAGTAAGTTATTTACAAATCTTATATCTAAAGAAGAAAACACACCTCATCAATGAAGAACGTGTTTAAGACTAACTGTCCGCGCTCTCTTCGGTCCTCGTCAGGGGAGACTTCATATTCTGCCTGAGTGCAGAGACGACAGGAAAGAATGTTAGCTGCGCTCCTCACGGGTGTCAGGCGGCTGCAAACCTCTGGCTCTGGAACTGACTGGCAGCCACGCCCAGAGCAGCCCCCTGTGCCAGGGCCTCCTGAGCGCTGAGGGTTAATGACACAGCAGAGCAGCACATTCCATGATGCTCGGTCTTATACTTTCAGCCACAAACTGTGGCCAAACAAATAAGCAGCTCACAGAAGTGCCCAGCAGGCACCTGGACACCTGAGTGCAGTTCCCAGGGACTCAGTCACCCGCCACAGGGACCAGGGGAGAGACTGCAAGAACAGACCACGCCACACAGGCCAGAGGAGAGGAAACAGTAAAATCAGAACCTGCATATAAGCATAACCAATGGACATGAGACACTGGGGGGTAGGGGAGGCCAGGGGATTGTCAAGGGCGGGGGAAAAAAAAGGACACATATGTAATACCCTTTGTAATACTTTAAGCAATAAACAATAAAAATTAAAAAAAGCAGAACCTGACCAATAGTTACACATCTATAAAGGACAGGCAAGGAGGAAGAAATGGAAAAAAGGTAAGAGAAGAAGCAAACGAGAGGAGACCACAAAGGCCTGGCTAAGAGCATTTCTAGAAGAAGCCACTCAAGGCCCACAGCCACAGGGACAGCAGGAGGGGCCGCGAGGCAGTCCTGGGCTTTGCAAGTGGAGAACTGAGACTACAGAGCCTGAAAGCCAGATGGCGCTGAAGAGAAAGTGAGGAAAAGCAAAGCAAAGAAAGTTCATCTACTGAACACACAGAAGTACCCAGGGAACGAGTCCTTGTGGGGGACCCCAACCTCGCCCTCCACAGGCCCAGCGCGGGGAGGAGGCTGCGCAGGCGGGTTCAGCGCGTGCTCCTGACTGGTGCGGGCACAGCGCTCACCTAAGAAACCTGCCAGCTTCCGGGTGAGTGGGGACAGTCTCTGGATGTGGGCAGGAACAACCAGCTACTCAAACACAAACGCACCGCTGCTGCGATGGTGAATGCAGTGGCTCGTCTGCATCGCTGGCTGCACGAGGGAGACTCGCCCAGACAGCCAGGTGGGCCTGACTCATCCGCTGAAGGTCTTAAAAAAGCAGAGCGGAGTCTTCCTGGAAGAAATTTCTGCCTAAAAGAGCGGCTTCACCCCATTTTGGAGTCCCGCCCTGCCTTCCCAATAGCCTGCTTAACAGCGGGCAGACGCTCCCAGCCAGACCTCACAGCCAGGAAAGCCAATTCCTCTTAGTAAATCTCTTCACATCTAACTCCTAATGGCCATGTTCCTTTCACTGAGCCTGACTGATACAGATGTCATAGATCTCTGAACTCCTAAAATATAGCAGCTTGGCCCGAACAGGTTTGGCTCAGTAGATAGAGCGCCAGCCTGCAGACTGAAGGGTCCCAGGTTCAATTCTGGTCAAGGGCATGTGCCTTGGTTGTGGGCACATCCCCAGTATGAGGTGTGCAGGAGGCAGCTGATTGATGTTTCTCTCTCATCGATGTTTCTAACTCTCTATCCCTCTCCCTGCCTCTGTAAAAAATCAGTAACATATACTAAAAAAAAAATAAAAAAAAAAAGTCTAAAATATAGCAGCTTGGCAAATATAACCCAACTAGAGGCCCAGTGCATGGATTCGTGCACAGGTGGGGTCCAGCTGGAGGGGGGGGCGGTCGATGGTGGTTGGTAGGCCCCACCCCCTGGTCAAACTCCCGGTTGAGGGGACAATTTGCATGTTAGCCTTTTATTATATAGGATACGTTAGACATACCACATGCTACTGGAGCCAAGTAGGCAGCCCCACTGCATCAGAATTCTACCTTTAAAAGGTAATTGCCTCCTTTACAAGCCTCGTCTTTTTCTAGTAAAGGTACCAGGAAGGAAAGGGGGAGCCCCAGGGAGTAGGGAGCAAACGACAAAATAGTCAAGAGCCTCAAGTGTTTTTCTGAAAGAATACATTATAAACACGTGTATTTTAGAAGCTACATCAGAGAAAACAGTGAGTAAACACTCAATGACATTAGGAAGTAGTCAATACATATTTGCTGATACACCCAGGACAGAGAAAGTGCCCTAGGTTTGGTAAGAGCTTTTCTGCTAGATTTTACCCATTTCCTACATTAAGTTGCCTTCTGAATTTCAGCTTCAAGCTTCTACACTTGCCAGAGCTCTCTCTCCAGATTCAGAAACGCAGGATTTCTGTACCTATCAGGAAATCTCAGGAAATGACAACCCTGAGAATGTGGAACATTTTATACGTCATATAAACTCCACTCGCCCTGACTATCCTTCTTACACTAAGTTTACTGCCCCGTATGCTTCGGGGCCAGTGCAGGAAGCAGACAGCACCTGCTATGACTGAGGAAGGCTACCTCTCAGGGGCTGCCCATAAGCACATGGTCTTCATTAGCTGTCCAACCTTCTCACAAATTAAAGCAGCAAGTTTCAAAGTTACTCGCTAAGCACAGGTGCCCTCCAGGCCTGGGATGCAGTCCTGCGAGTGGCCACTTTCCGCCAGAGGAGTGAGAGATGGGGCCACTCCCTCCCCCTCCCCCCACTGCCCGGTCCCCTCCAGCACAGAGCAGCTGGGGCACCACAGAGAAACGCTCACCACCGAGTCCAGGAACTCAATGCACCGCTTCAGGCTGTGCCGGGTGTTACAGAACTGCCGGAAGAGGAGCCTTCCTATTGGCTGCTTGTCGCAAAGACTGCTGTAATCCTTTTCTGGGTGAAGAAAGGAGGAAATGCAATGGTTACAATTCAGAAAATGCTATTTCTGAACCTTACACACCAGATACAATAAGAGTCAAAAATAGCATTTGCAGCATTTTTTAGGTCACTGTTTGGTCTACCCATTTAGACGGGCCTATCATGACGAATATCTGAAATACCTAAGCAGAGCCAAAGGTCGCTGGAAGAATTGGCAACTAAGGTGTGTGAAGCTGCTGGGTCGTCCTGCTCCCCAAAGGAAACACGCGGGGGGCAGTGTTCCCGAGGGGACCGGGCAGGGAGGTGCCTGAGACAAGTTACATGCGCGAGAAATACACCGCAGGAAGGCGCTGAATTAGACTCCGGAAACCCTTTCCATTTGGCTACCTTTCCATACATTCACAAGTGACAAATACTGTTAATGCTTAATGACTTAACTGGTCTTGGGACCTTTTTTCCTTGTCTTCTCAGAGAAATAATATGTTGTCCACCTTACCTTTCCCTAAACACTAACACTGTTTTGAGAACAAGGCACTAATATTTGGTCAAAGGGGATATAAACAAACACGTTCAAACAGGTTAAACTCCGGTGAGAAAATCAGCTGCCCTGTTAGCAGTGACTTTGAACTTGAAATGAACATAACCATGTTCAGTACTTCTGCAATGGCTCTAAGCTGAACAATGAAATGAAATTCATGAAAAGCAAGCAAGCCATGACCAACTCCTCAGCTGTGGGGGAGACGCCAGGGAGCGCAGGGAGCTACGCCGTCCGCTCTGGACCACTGAGCTCGCACACAACACAGGCAAGGGATACACTTGGGGCCCAGGGCACAACCACGGTTCCCACAACTTCAGCAAAGGTGCTGTAAAGTCCCACAACCCACTGTGTCCACTTTGCTACATTTTATTTTTAGGGAATATATTTATTCCCTAAATAACTAACTATAAAAAATATATATATTTTTTAATCATTTATTTACTTACTTGAAGCTCGATGCACGAAATTTGTGCAAGAGTACACCTTAAACCCCCCACCCCCCCACCCCCCCACCCCCGGCTGCCAGCACCAGCTTCCCTCTGGCACCTGGGACCCTGGCTTCCCTCCGGCCACCAGCAGGCACCTGGGCTTCCCTCCCAGCCCCGGCTTCGTCTGGAAGGTCGTCCAAAAGGACATCCAGAAGGACGTCTGGTCTAATTAGCATGTTATGCTTTTATTATTATAGATTTTTTATTTTAATCCTCACCAGAGGATATTTTTCCATTGATTTTTAGAGAGAGTAAAAGAGAAAGGGAAAGACAGAGAGAAATATCATGTGAGAGAAGCACATCGATCTGTTGCCTCCTGCACGAGCCCCGGCCAGGGCCCGGGCTGGGGAGAAGCCTGCAACCCAGGTACATGCCCTTGACCAGAATTGAACTTGGAACCTTTTGGGTCCAAAAGTCAACGTTATATCCACTGAGCCAAACCAGCCAGGGACTTACTAACTACAATTTTAAAAAAGACATGAGGCGGTCAAAAAGTGATGTTCCTTAAAAGTTATATTTTGCCCTAGCCGGTTTGGCTCAGTGGATAGAGCGTCGGCCTGCGGACTGAAAGGTCCCAGGTTCGATTCTAGTCAAGGGCATGTACCTTGGTTGCAGGCACATCCCCAGTAGGAGATGTGCAGGAGGCAGCTAATCGATGTTTCTCTCCCATCAATGTTTCTAACTCTCTATCCCTCTCCCTTCCTCTCTGTAAAAAATCAATAAAATATATATTTTTTAAAAAGATGTAAGGCCCTAGCTGGCTTGGCTCAGTGGATAGAGTGTCGGCCTTCGGACTGAGGGGTCCCAGGTTCGATTCTGGCCAAGGGCACATGCCTGGGTTGCGGGCTCCATCCCCAGTGGGGGGGTGTGTGGGAGGCAGCTGATCAATGATTCTCTCTCATCATTGATGTTTCTATCTCTCTCTCCTTCTCCCTTCCTCTCTGAAATCAATAAAGAAGTATATTTTAAAAAAAGATGTAAGTTTTGGCCCTGGCCGGTTTGCTCAGTGGTGTCAGCCAGTGAACTGAAGGGTCCTGGTCAAGGGCATGTACCTCGGTTGCAGGCTTGATCCCTGCCCTGGATGTGAAAGGCAACCACTCTCTCATACTGATGCTCCTCCCACCCCCCCTCCCCTCCCCTCCCCACCCTCCCTTCCACTTTCTCTAAAAATCCATGGAAAAATATCCTGGGGTGAGGATCACACACACACACACACACACAGGCCAGTTTTTAACGCTTTCCTTCCAAATCTGAAGGTTAAACACTGTCCCTAGCTTCCCGGTGAGGTGGCAGATGAGCACACAGGCAGGCCACTCTCCCTGCCAGATCCCCGAGGAAAGTGCTACAAGTTAACACAACAGCAGCCACAGGAGCCATGACGCCTCCGTGGGAAGAACACAGGGTGCCCTCACGAGTCAGAACATGAAGTTACAGGAGGAGAGAGCTGCTGGGGTCCGAGCTAAAGGAACATCAGCTGAGACCCCAGAGTTAAGCTGGGGCTCTCACAAACCTCTATCACGGGAGCCCCTCCCACCCTGGTCAGAATGGCTGGACCCACTTTACAGAAAGTGGGTGTCTGCCCAGAGATCCTGGGACCCCGCCGGGAGAGGCAGAGCCCGGCTGAAGGAACTAAAATGCTGGCCAAGCCAAGGGATTGTGTGTGCAGCCGCCGGACCCTCACTGGCGTACCCCCCAACCAGAACACGAGAAAGAGAGAGAGAGAGAGAGAGAGAGAGAGAGAGAGAGAGAGAGAGAGAGAGAGAGAACGAACACGCCCGGCAGGAAGCACAGCTCCGCAACCACGAGGGAAGCCACGCTGGCCGTGAGCGAACACACGCAGCCGTGAGCACAAACCCGAATAAACCGAAAACCTTACTCAGCTCCATCACTATCCAACGAGAAGACAAAAATGGGGGCATTTCCCACAACGTAAGAACTCACTTGCCCGCCCAGGTCTGCAGGCCCCCCGGGGGTGCGGACAGTGCCCCAACCACCCTCACCTGCCTCAGGGCACAGGAGACCTACACAGTCCCGGCACCGACGTCCATTCTCAGGGTAATCTAGGGCCCAAGACTCACAGAAGGTGAGTGACTGACCCCACAAGCAACTCAGAGGCTGAAAGGCGGACATGGAGGCAAATGTAGAGGCAAATGAAGCTTAAAATTTTGTTTTTAAAACCAGGGTCAGATTTCCAATAGCCTGATGCCTACAAAGGAGCTTCTCTCGACCCTCTAAGGAGCCTGCCACCTACGAGGGGACAACAGGCGAACAGGCGGCTCTGCAGCTGGGGGGCCAAGAGGCAGGAGGAGCGCCATCCCTGGAGAGGAGTGAGCAGAGCTGGAGGGAGGAGGGAGGAGGGAGGAGGGAGGAGGGAGGAGTGAGGAGGGAGGAGGGAGGAGGGAGGAGGGAGGAGGGAGGCGGGAGGCGGGAGGAGGGAGGAAGGAGGAGTGAGCAGAGCTGGAGGGAGGAGGGAGGAGGGAGGAGGGAGGAGTGAGCAGAGCTGGAGGGAGGAGGGAGGAGGGAGGAGGGAGGAGGAAGGAGTGAGCAGAGCTGGAGGGAGGAGGGAGGAGGGAGGAGGGAGGAGTGAGCAGAGCTGGAGGGAGGAGGGAGGAGGGAGGAGGGAGGAGGGAGGAGTGAGGAGGGAGGAGGGAGGAGGGAGGAGGGAGGAGGGAGGAGTGAGGAGGGAGGAGGGAGGAGGGAGGAGGGAGGCGGGAGGAGGGAGGAGGGAGGAGGGAGGAGGGAGGAGGGAGGAGGGAGGAGGGAGGAGTGAGCAGAGCTGGAGGGAGGAGGGAGGAGTGAGGAGGGAGGAGGGAGGAGGGAGGAGTGAGCAGAGCTGGAGGGAGGAGGGAGGAGGGAGGAGGGAGGAGGGAGGAGTGAGCAGAGCTGGAGGGAGGAGGGAGGAGGGAGGAGTGAGCAGAGCTGGAGGGAGGAGGGACGAGGGAGGAGGGATGAGGGAGGAGGGAGGAGAGCTGGAGGGAGGAGGGAGGAGGGAGGAGGGAGGCCTGGCGCGGGACAGTGCTGGCTCCTGGGAACTGACAGAGGGAGGGGCTGGCTGGGCTCCCAGGAGCAGAGAAGGGCTGCAGCACAGCGGCCAGAGGTAAGCGGTGGGTGGCAGACACCTCTTCACCTGCTGCTGTCTCCAGGGAGACCTTACCCACTGCCAGTCTTGTGACTCCTGGACGCCACCTGCAGATATCGCCTCGATCTACAGCCCAGATTTCTCGGAGCCCTACATGTACACCTTCCTCCTCCCACGGCGAGCCCCTCTCTGAATGGACCAGACCTAGACGTCACCTCAGTCCCTCCTCCCTCCTTCCACACAGAACTCACCTGGATTCCGCTTCCGGAAGTCTCATCATTCCTGTCTTCACCCCCCCACACCAAGCTGCCGTCTCCTGCCCGCACACCGGTGACCATTCCTGACCCTCTATCTCATTCCTCACACTGAAGCCTGAGAGACCCTTCGAAAATGTGAATCTGATTACATCATTCCTCTGCTAAAAACCCAACAAAAACCCTCAGCGGCTACAAACCCCGCCCTCTCCTGCCCCCCCCCCCCCCCCCCCGCCCCGCATTCGTCCTCAGACATGAGGGAAATGCAGCTCAGGGAGGAGCATGGGCCGGGAATGGACAGGGATGCGGCTGCTTTGGAAAAGGGTCAGGCAGTTCCTTGAAAAGTCAAACATGGCTGTTTCTTATAAAGGTGCCAATTCAATGCGAAAGAACAGTCATTGCAATGAATGGGGCTGGGACCACTGGATATCCAGAGGAAAAAAATGAAACTGGATCCTTCTCGCACCCCAACACAAAGATGAACTTCAACTGGACCAAACACCACATGTCAGAGAGAAAGCTGAGGTGCGCGTCTTCATGGCTGTGGATTAGGCGGTGGTTTCTTCCCTACGACACCAGAGCACAAGCAGCAACAACAAACAGGTCAGCTGGACTTCCTCGAAGTAGAGACTTGTGTTCCTCAAAGGGCATCACAAGACAATGCGAGAAAAGCACAAAGCGGGAGGAATATTTGGAAATCAAGTATCTGTTGTGGTCTAGTAACCAGAATGCACGAAGAATGCTCACATCCCAACAATGAACAAACGGCCCCATTTAAATACAGGCAAGGAAGCTGTTGTTAAATGCTTACCCAAGGGTTGATTTTTCAGAGTGGGAGGGAGGGAAGGGTAGAGAGAGAAAAACATCAATGTGAGAGAGACACATCCTTCGATGGCCTTCCGCACACACCCCCCCCCCCCCAAAGGGAGGAGGGGCGGGGTGTGAACACGCAACCGAGGCAGTGCCCTTGACTGAGAGCTGAACCTACAGCCCTTCAGTGCTCGGGCCAATGCTCCAACCACTGAGCAACAATGGCCAGGACTAAAAATGGGCAAAGAATTTTAACAGACATTTCTCCAAGAAAACATATAAATGGCCACTAAGCACATAAAAAGATGCTCAACATCGTTCGTCTTGGGAACTACAAGCAAAACACAATGAGACCCACTTCCCACCTACCCGGCCGGCTGCAGTGCAAACAGAAAGGAAAATAAAAGGTGCTGGTGGGGATGGAAAGAAACGGGAATCCCCATACACTGCTGTGGAACGTAAAGGCTGCAGCGCTTTGGAAAACAGTGTGGCACTCCCTCGGAAAGTCACACAGCACTCCCTGCCGCTCAGCAATTCTAACCCTGAGTATTTACACAAAAGAAAGTGGAAGCAGGGACTCAGATGAATGTTTCCACAGCACACCAACGTTCCCAGCAGCTTACTCACAACAGCCCCTTCAAGGGCAGAAACGCCCCCAATGCCCACCAACAGACGAGTGACCAAATCCAAATTAACATGTGCTGTCCACATGAATGCCCCTGAATTTTACGTTAAAATGGTTAAAATGGTAATCTTAGTATTTCTCACAATAAAAAATTTGTACGTAAATGTTTGTAGCAGTGTTACTCATAACTAGAGGCCTGGTGCACGAAATTCGTGCATGGGAATGGTCCCTAGGCCTGGCCAGCGATCCGGGTCAATCAGGTTCCCCACCTCCCTGCCTCCTCCTTCCCTCGCTCCCTTGGTGCTCCGCCACTGCCACCAGTCACCTACCCTTCTCCACGCCACCCCCGGTGGTCAGCACACATCATAGCGAGCGATCAAACTCGCGAGGGGACGCTTTGCATATTAGCCTTTTATATATACAGACATAAAAATAAAAACAAGTCAATGTCTATTAACTGATGAATAAATAAGAAATGCAATATATCCTCACAACAGACTATTACTTGCCAACAAAAGTGAATTAAGTACTGATTCATGCTACAGCATGAATGGCCTTGAAAATGTGTTAAATAAAAGAAACCAGTCATAAAAGATCACTTAGTACATGGTTTCCATTTACATGAAATATCCAGAAAAGGCAAATCCAGAGAGCAGATCAGTGGTTGCCTAGGACTGAAGGCGGAGGGAATGGGGAGTGACCCCAATGGGTATGGGGCTTCTCTTTGAGGTGATGAAAAGGTAAACTTGACTGTGGGAATGGTTGCACAACTCCATAGCTATAAAAACCACTGAATTGTGCACTTTAAGTAGGTAAACTGTATGGCATGTTAATCACATCTCAATAAAGCTGCCATTGTAAACACATAATGAGGCTGAAACAACTGGGTAGGTCTTGGGGGGAACTACCTTCTTTATATTGTCTGATATTATTTTATTATTTTTTAAAATATTTTTATTGATTTCAGAGAGGAAGGGATAGAAACATCAATGATGAGAGAGATAGAAACATCAATGAGAGAGAATCACTGATCGGCTGCCTCCTGCACATGCCCTACTGAGATCAAGCCCACAACCTGGGCATGTGCCCTTGAATGGAATTGAACCTGGGACCCTTCAGTCCACAGGCCAACACTCTATCCACTGAGCCAAACCATCTAGTGCTGAAATTATTTTTGATAGTTAAAATATCTAAACTTTCTTTAAAAAGGAACTATAATACTAAAGAAAAGATGGATTGATTTTTTTAAATATATTTTATTGATTTTTTACAGAGAGGAAGGGAGAGGGATAGAGAGTTAGAAGCATAAATGAGAGAGAAACATCGATCAGCTGCCTCCTGCACACCCCCTACTGGGGATGTGCCCACAACCAAGGTATATGCCCTTGACGGGAATTGAACCTGGGACCTTTCAGTCCGCAGGCCGACGCTTTATCCACTGAGCCAAGCCAGTTAGGGCTGGATTGATTTTTTTTTTAAAAAATTAATCTTTGGTGTCTTCCCTAAGCACAAGACTAAGTACAAAAACTAAGAAAATTGATATATTTGTCTACATAAAAAATTAAAACTTCTATATGGGAAAACATACTGTATGCCAAAAAAGCAGATATATAAAATATATTCACATTTGAATATCTAAAGATAAGTTCCTTTCATACAAAAAGAGCCTTTACAAATGAGTTAGAAAAAGCAAAAAATTTTGAAAACTTCATGAAAATGCTCAACCCCATCCATAAATAAAACGAGACTATTTTCAAATTATAGTTTATCTTTATTAAAAATACTGAAAACAATATCATTACTTTAATATGTTAACAAGGTCACAGGCAAAGAAACCTTGTGACATATTGTTGGCAGGAAAGTAAATTGATACAACCTCTTCGAAGAGTAATTTGGCAACATCAAAATTTTGAATGCATATACCCTTTGAACTGAAAAACGCATCTTTTAAAAATACAATGATGACTGCCCTGTAGACAGGGTCCACATCTGACTTCCTGTGCGCACATCAGGGCTGTCGCTAACTCTCACTCCTCACAGCTGCAGGGTCCAGGAATGGACGGGTCACCTTCCATCAGACTAATCCTTTCCTGAAGTCATCAGTCATTCTCGTCCACATGCACAGAGAACTGTGTGTGGAAAGAGACTGAGAAACAGTTAACAGTGTCACTTCTCCAGCCATACACTTCATAACTCCCATTAGGAAACCTACAGGTTTATTTCGCTGGGAAGAACCATGAAGACAGAACAATGTACTATATAATTTTTGAAACAAGAAAGGAACTCAAGACATAACACCTAACAAGCGATACCATGCCAGATGCGCCGCAGACACAGCAGAGCCGTTTACTCACCAATGGATTGTCTAAGCTCGTTGCACTGGCTAACAGGGGGCAGCTTCAGCATCTCCCTCCATTTTTTACTACGACCACTTTTTTTGCCATATCCTCCTAAATTTGGGGGGGAAAGAGGCACTTTTTAAATGGTCAGAAATATCTAATTATAACAATTATTTCCATTAATGGCATTTACTATAAGCCAGATACTTTTCTAGAAGTTTCACAAATCTACGCTCACTAAATCCTCCCACCAACCCTATGAGATATACTGTTGCTGTGCTCATCATAACCCTAATTTTACAGGTGAGAAAACTAAGGCACAGATATGTGAAATAATTTGCCTTGCCGGTGTTGCTCAGTGGTTGAGCAAGTCTTGTTCAGTTCCCGGTCAGGGCACATGCCTGGTTGTGGACCCCTTCCCCAGTGAGGGACGTGCAGAGGAGAGCCAATCGATTCTCTCTCACCATTGATGTTTTCTGTTTTGTTTGTTTGTTAATCCTGACCCACGGATATTTTTCCATTGCTTTTTAGAGAGAGTGGGAGGGGGAGAGATACACAGAAACATGGATGTGAGAGAGAAACATGGATGTGAGAGAGACACATTGATGGGTTGCCTCCTGCATGCCCCCGATAAGGGCTGGAGATTGAGCCTGCAACCGAGGTACATGCCCTTGACTGGAATCGAACCCGGGACACTTTGGTCCGTGGGCCAACACTCTATCCACTTAGCCATACCCACTAGGGCTCATCATTGATGTTTTATCTTTCTCTCCCTCTCCCTTCCTCTCCGAAATCAATAAAAACATTTTTTAAAAATAATAATTTGCCTAAAGCAGTTATAGCTAATAAACAGAGAAGCTGGGGTTTGAACCCAAGTAATGACACTAGACAGAGGGGGCCACGCTGCACTAAGGGGTCGTACTGTCACCTTCTTTTTCTTGAATTTAACAAAATAACAAATCACCCCCTTCCTCTCCAATTGCTCACTAATTACCAATTAAATGGCTAGCACTGACAGGGATACAAAATACGGATACAAGCTATGCCCTGCCCTTACACAGATTACAATTTAGCCGAAGAAACAGTCATTGACTACACTGTGTTAAGAACCCCCAATCCCCAAGGGACAGTCTCTCCAGGCTGGAAGAAAGCTACAAGAAGAGGAAGGTAAACTGGAACCCGAAGGACAGAAACAACTGAAGTAGGAAAAAAGCACGAAGCGCCCACTGCATAGGAGGGTGGAATTGAAAGCATTACGTACTGTAATGTGCCCGAATGAAAACCAAAGCTGTTCATTTCTACAACAAAATGCATTAAGTAGCTCCAGTCGTGGGAACAAATTAAGTGCAATGAAGGAAACAAAAAATGTTGGCTAACACACACACACACACACACACACACACACACACACACACAGGAGGCCCAGTGCACGGATTTGTGCACCAGTGGGGTCCCTCGGCTTGGCCTGAAGGGAGCGGGCCGAAACTGGCTCTCGGACATCCCCAGAGGGATCCCGATTGCAAGAGAGCGCAGGCCAGGCCGAGGGACCCCACCTGTGCAAGATCAGGCGCTGGGGAGGGACCACGGGAAAGCTCCAGGGCGCATCCAGCCCCTCACCCAGTCCCGATCAGCTGGCTCCCAGCAACAAGCTAACCCCAATTAAAGGTGGTAAATTGTGTAACAAATGTATTACATACACAAAACCCTAACTTTTTTTAAAGAATGATTTTTGTCTTTTATTAACAGTATGATTATTTCATACTTCCTAGAGTGTGCCTGGCATAAAGGCACATAAACAACTTCTTCAATGCAACATCATTTGCCAACATGAATATTTCCCTGTTACATTCAATCCAGGGTGGGGCAAAAGTACGTTTACGTTGCTTGCATGTAAAGTAACAAATAATTAATAATCGCACAAGAATAAACTGTTTCACGTGCTCACAACTGTAACCCTGCTTTTGCCCTGCCTGTATCCTGTTTCCGCGGACAGCATGGTGGAGGAGTTACATCACCGACAAAGTGACGGCCCGGTAAGTCCAGTCCCACCGCCCTGAAAGGAGACTAACAAACGCTCGGTTTGGGACCAAAAAGAGAGAGACTGGTTTTATTGTAAGTGAATCTAGAAAGTGACAGGGCCATTCCCAACCCACATACGAGGACTTGCTGCGCTCCAAGCCAGCGCTCCCATCCCTCTAAGCCAGCAAGCGGGTGCACCGGGGACCACTGCACACGCAGCGCCCAGCAGACCTTCCCGTGTCCACCCTGGACGCTCTCAGCGGCCGCCATGGCGGGCGACCCGTGGTCCGAGAGCCGCCTGGCCGCGGGCGGCTACTGCTGGGGAGGGAAGGCCGTCCCGGAGCGCCCCGAGGCCCGGGCTGCTCCCGGGATGGAGCGCTACCGCCTCCGCATCCCGCAGCCCCAGCAGCACGCACTCCGCTCCAGAGTCCCCCCGGGCACAGGCGGCCTGCGGCGGCCCCGACGCCACGCTGGGCGATCGCTCGCTGACCGTGTGGCGCTCCGAGTGCCGCCTCCGCCACCGGCTCCGCAGCTCCAAGCCCTCCCGGCGGCGCCCACGGCCGAGCAGGCGCCCCGCTTCCACCTGCAGGAACCGGGTGAGCGCGAGCCTCCCTCCCCCACCCCGGGACCCCCCTTCCCGCTCGCCGGCTGCTGCGGGAATCCCCGTCCCACGTTGGGGCCGGGCGTCTCCGAAGGCTGGGAAACCGCTGGAAATAAGATCACCAGTAATTAACATAAACGGGAGGAGTCAACAGTAATCAATATAAACGCGAGGAATCCGGCAGAAGGCTGGCCGGGACTCCTGCTATTCACACGGTGAAGATTTGCATTTTATCACCTGCCGCTGACTCAATGGCCTCAGCACACCCCAACCTGGCCATGTCACCGTTCCTAGGTCACACTGCTGTCTGTCCGCATCCGAGAGGCAGTCGTGTGTCCCAGTGAATAAAAGCAGCCGGGACGGAGACTCGGCGGAACTTGACTTCTCCAGCCGAGTCTTCCCCTGGCTCCCCCATAATTTCAAAATTAATATTTCGTCTTGTGTCTCAGTTTGTGCGTCAGCTTTCTCCAAGCCTTTGAACCCGAAAGCCACGCTGGCGGCGGCCTTTCACAGGAAACCGCTTCGTGGAATCCTCACGAGTGGGAGGGGGCTCAGCGCGGACACAGCCGCGCTCCGTCTCCCTCGAGCTAATCCACTTCCACCCCCCACCACCCCACCACCTCCGGTGCATCACCCCGCCCCGTGCATTACCCCCCCCCCCCACCTCCGGTGCATCACCCCGCCGGCGAGGCGCCCTCGGCGGACAACCTGCCCGGGAGAAGCCGCGTCCGGCTCCGGGTCCTGGGCGGCCTGAGACAGGGCCCGCGGCGGCACCCGGACACCGGCGCTCACCCACAGCCCGCAGCTGGTAAAACGTGGGTCTGCAAACCCTCGCCCGGTCCCGCCCGGTCGTGCTCTGCAGCTTCGCCGGCGCCCGCCCCGCCCCGCCCCCTCCGGCCGGGTCCGCGGGGCACCCACCGAGGCGCGCCTTCAGCAGCAGCGAGTTCGCCACGAGGTTCTCCAGCTCCATGGACCGTCGCGGCCGGGGACGCCTTCGCTGCTGCCGCAGCCGGGCTGCGCGGGCTGGAGGACGCGGGGCGGGGGCCTCCGCGAAGCGCCCGCCGGGCCCCGCACGCGGCCGGGAAGAGCTGCTCCGCCGCCACGGCCACCACCCGCGCCGCCGCCCCCGGGCCCGCTTGCCGCGCCGCCGCCGCCGCTGCGAACGCTGCTGCCGCCGGCCCGGGGCGCCGGCGGGGACGGGGACGGGGACGGGGACGGGGCGCGGCCGGCCTCCGGGCTTCTTCGCGGTCACCACCGCCGCGCCGCCGCCCTCGCTCTCGGCCCCATCACCCCTGTTCCGCGCGCGTAGCTCTCCTCAGGGCCCGGGGTCTCTACCGCGCCCGACCCCAGGGAAGGGCTCCCAGCAGGGCCACCGCCCCCGGCGGCGACGGCTACAGCCGCCGCCGCCGCCTCCTGCCCGCAGCGCGGCCGGCTCTCGCTAACGGCTCCCAGAGGGCGGAGCTCCAGCGCCCCTTCGCCCCCACCGAGGCGGCTGCGGCGCCCCGCGGGGCACTACGGCTCCCAGAAGTCCCCGCGCAGACCGGAAGCGGTGCGCTGGAAGAGCGTGGCCCGCTGGGAGTTGTAGTCGCTCCGCCTACTGGAGAGTAGGCTGAGCCTGGTGTGTCTCTCAGTCCCCGGCTCAGTTATCGCGACACCGAGGCGGGGACGGCTCCCTGATCCCGGCACGTGTCTGCGCAGGGACCCGCTCTCCGCCGGCTGTGCCGGGCCGTGGGCTCACCTCCTCCGGGTCGGCCAGGCCGTGCGGAGTCGAGCCGCTGCCTTGGGGTGCGGCGAGAGTTGGCCATGGGGAAGGCCAGGGCGACCGGGGCGCGCCCCAAGACCCCGGGAGCCCCGGCGGGAGCGCGGGGCGTCCGGGCCAGGCCCAACCCCAACCCGTTCGAAGTAAAAGTCAACAGGCAGAAGTTCCAGGTTCTGGGCAGGAAGACGCGCCACGACGTGGGGCTGCCCGGGGTGTCGCGCGCGCGGGCCATCCAGAAGGTAAGGGCGGTGGCCCTGGGGTGCAGGCAGGGATGGCGCCTGGCCCTGCGGGTTCACTCGGGAGCGCGGCGCGCCTGCCGGGGACCCCCAACCCCGCCGGGGCCCCCGGGATTTCCCACCCTCTCCCCGGAGCAGCACCGATCGGAGCCGGCCTGCGGTGCTGGAGCCACACGCTGGCTGGCCTGCTGCGGCCTTGGGCACGCTGGCTCTTCTCTGTGCCTCAGTTTCCCCGTCTGTAAGCACCCTGGGCAGCTGGGAGGATCGAATGTGTACATTGACCGTCCTTGGGACGGCGCCGGGCGCAGCTGGACGTGTCCAGTGCCCTTGTCCTCTACGTTAGACCGCGTTTCTCTTCGTGCCTCTGCGTGTGCTGGGCCGGCTGATCTCCCCCTGGACACTGCCCCTCCTTCAGACCCAGCACCTGCGCGACCCCTTTTCCAGCTCCCTCTGTGCTGGCCTCTCCCCGTTCAGACTGCGCTCTGTGTTTAGGGCCCAGGGACCCTTTCTTTCACAGGATAGGGGGCCACACAGGGTGCTCAGTAGGGTCCGGTGAGCGAATGCGGCCTCTGGGGCAAGTGCCCGGCTCTCAGGCCTGGCCCCATCTGCCCCGCCTGGCAGTGCCCCCGGCGCTCTGTGGTTCTGGGACCCTGGGGCCGATCACTGACCTGTTGAACACTATCCTTGTTCGGCTGAGGAAGACACGTGAGTAGGCTGGTGGGAAAGGCCCAGGGGACAGTGAGTTTCCTCGCACCTACGATTGCGATTGCGAGGGGCTGGGGCTTGCACTCAGCTCCAGTGTCTGCAGCCTTAGCGCCACCAGCACTTACATTTACGTTCTGTTCTGGCTGCTGGGGAGATAAAGATGCATGAAGACTCAGCCTCTGCCTTGGAGGGCACATGGTCTGTGTTCTGTCACACAGCGCGATCCAGTGTCTTCTGTTTGAACGCGATGTCACCCCACTGAAGGGGCTGGCAGTGGGAACAGTAGGCTAGACTCCCACGGAGTCACGGTCCCCGGGCAGGCGTGGGGGACGAGCGTGTGGGCTCCGACAGACACGTTCGTGTTCACCTGCGCCTCAGTTTCCTTACTTCGGAAGCGGGGCGCTGACAGCCTCGTGGTGGCTGTGAGGACGGAGTGGACTGCGCGCTCACACCTCTCAGCTCCTCACTCCCAGGCGCCTTCACAATCTGGACCCGACCTATTGTCCTTGTTTTGCCTTTTGCAACTCAATTTGTCCAAAAAGGCCTGTTTTATCCCCCAAATCTCCCAAAGGTCAGCCCAAGCCACCACTCTGATCCTTTCCCAGGCCCCCTGAGCCAGACAGGAGGGGTGCTCACGCCTCTAGCCCCTGGCAGGCTCTTCACCCTCCTCTGCCGGGGGCAGGTGGCCTGGAGGGGCACTCCTGCTTCCTCCAAATCCCCCAGGGCTTGGCCCACAAGACAAACTCAAGTACTAGAAGGAACCAGGACTTAGTGCTTCGGGGCCCACAGTGGCCGCCCGTAGAGTGGAGTGCCCCGAAGCGTGAGGTCCAGGGCTCAGAGCTGTCTGGCGGGATGCCGGCCGTCCAGTTGAGTTAGGTCACGATTTGTGCGGGGTCAGTGGCCGGTGAGGGAGGCTGGAGTGTGTGATGGTCCCTGGGAAGTGAAGGGCTGTCCGGACAAGGAGGCCTGTAGCTGGGACCCAACCCAGACTCAGTGCTTAACACTACACAGCATTAGCTGACAGCCTGAGTCAGGACCACCCTTCTCCCGGCCACAGCCGGGGCCCGGGCGGAGCGCTTGGCTGCCTGCGCCCAGCTGGGCGTGGAGCTGATGGGATTTGGTGTCCACGCTCTTGGCTGCACGTCCTCGGCCGCGCACACGTGTCAGTGAGTGGCCACAGAGGTGCTGCCCGTATTGGCTTGAGGTTACAAATGAACTCTAGCAAGAAGGCAGGCTTGCAAAATACGGGCACGCGAATAACAGGATTGACTGACATACAAATAAACGTGTGTCTGTAACAAGCGAGGAGGGAAGATGCTGCCACAGTCTGTGCCGTCACTGGTCATGCGTCAGACTTGACCCATGGCTTCCTGTCAGCTCCTTGTTGCGAATTTCCCTTCCTCTCAGCTGGGGACTCCGCTCCTCCAGCTTCTGAGCCTGACGGTGACCTCTGAGTGCTCGGCTCTGCCTTCTCCCTAAGCCTCAGTATCGGGCGCGTCCTGCAGGGCCCCCTGGGGTCCGAGCAGGCCTGCGGCCTCCCTTGAGGAGCAACAGCCCCCGATTGGCCCTGTCATTGGGCTGTTGGTGTCAGTGGCCTCGAGGACACAGAATGGCCAGTGGCAGTGTCACCTTCCGATGCACGAGAGCCGCCGTGGGGTCCCCTGGGGAGCATCTCCCCTTTGGGGTCCGAGCTCGCCAAGCGTGATGGATGCTCCGTTTCCAGCGCACGCAGACGTTGCTGAAGGAGTACAAGGAGCGGGACAAGTCCAATGTGTTCCTAGACAAGCGCTTCGGGGAGCACAACAGCCGCATCAGCGCGGAGGAGAAGATGATGCGAAGGTTCGCTCTGGAGCAGCAGGTATGGAGACAGCGGGGGCCCCCTGTACGTTCATTTGTGCTCCTGCGGGCACTTGCCTGCGGGTGCCGAGGGTGGGTCTTGAGTCCTGGGCCCAGGCTGGCGAGGCCGGAGGGGAAGGGCCGGCTGCAGACACGCTGGTGGATCCATCCGGCAGCCAGAGGGCTCGGCAGGGCTGTGTCCTCGAGTTTTCACTAAAGCACTGGCTCCAGCTCGGGTGGGTGGACAGCGAGTGGCCGGGGGGCAAGGCTGCGGACATGCCTGACCCGCTGACTGCTTGAATCTGAACCGCTGCTCAGATGGCGCAGAATAACCCTAAAGCTGCTGAGGCGCCACTGACACGCTGCACAAGTAGCAGAAAAATAACGGGTTTTGCTGTTAAATGGATGTGGGCATTTTAGGAAACTGACTCTCTTCCTCTTCTGTCAGCGACAACATGAAAAAAGAAACATCTACAACCTCAACGAAGATGAAGAGTTAACTCACTACGGCCAGTCCTTGGCCGACATCGAAAAGCTGAACGACATTGTCGACAGTGACAGCGACACTGAGGAGCGAGGAACGCTGTCCGGTAAGGGCAGGAGCAGGGACAGCCGCCTGCTCACCACTAGCCTGGCCTCCTGGGCGCCTTGGAAAGGGTTGGGTAGAAGTGTCGCTGACCATAAAGCTCCCGAGAAATTCTACACAAAACAGCTTTCTCATGCTTTCCTCCAGAGCCACAGAAGGTGGGCGGCAGGGGCAGGTGGCGGGAGGTAAGGCGGGCAGAGCTCCTGGGGGCTGAGGAAGACACCGTACCCTGTCTTTTTGTTGTTAATTCTTCCCCGAGGAGTTTTTTTCTTGATTTTTATTTTTTTATTATTTTTTTAATATGTTTTATTGATTTTTTTACGGAGAGGAAGGGAGAGGGACAGAGAGTTAGAAACATTGATGAGAGAGAAACGTCGATCAGCTGCCTCCTGCACACCCCCTACTGGGGATGCGCCTGCAACCAAGGTACATGCCCTTGACTGGAATCGAACCCAGGACCCTTCAGTCCCAGGGCTGACACTCTGTCCACTGAGCCAAACGGGCCAGGGCGCCCCAAGGATATTTTTCCATTGATTTTCAGAGAGAGTGGAAGGGAGGGGGAGAGACAGAGAGAGAAACATCGATGTGAGAGAAACACCGATTGGTTGCCTCCCACACTTGCCCCAACCGGAGTCAGGGATCCAGCCTGCAACCCAGGAATCGAACCCAGGACCCTTCTGTCCCAGGGCTGACGCTCTGTCCACTGAGCCAAACGGGCCAGGGCAGTGCCCTGCCTTATGTGGACGTCACCCTAGTTCACTGTAGCCGAGCGCTTAGAGCAACCAGTGCCTCGTCCAGCGTGAGCGCCAGGTGTGAGCGCTCTGGGGAGACGGGGGCTTCACAGCTCTGCTTCTGCTCTGCAGCCGAGCTGACGGCGGCCCATTTCGGAGGCGGAGCGCTCCCTCGTGAGAAGCCCTCCCAGCAGCCAGGCCCGGAGGCGAGGCCCAGGTCCCACAAAGAGCTCATCGAGGAGCTCATCGCCAAGTCCAAGCAAGAGAAGGTGCGCCGCTCAGTCGGGGAGGCGCTCCTCCCGCGCTGGGGTTCTGGGCTCCTCTGCGGGCGCTGTGCCGGCTGCTTTCTGAGAACGGGCCCTGTTCCTGTCCGGCTCCCGAGCACCGACTGCAGGGGGCTGGCTGTGATGGGTGTTTGGTTGCGGGTTGGCTTCAGCATTTGGACCTGTAGCAGGGTTTGCAGAACATCACTGGCGTTTCCCAACAGCGAGCAGCTCATGGCAGGAAACCAGTGCTGATCGCCCGCGGCCCCCTCCTGCTGACACGTGGGTGTGGGGGGACGGGGGGCACCCGCAGTGATGCCCCTGCTCTTCCTCCCAGCGGGAGAGGCAGGCCCAGCGTGAAGATGCCCTGGAGCTCACAGAGAAGCTGGACCGCGACTGGAGGGAGATCCAGAGCCTCCTGGCCCGCAGGACGCCCCAGGCCCAGAGCAGTCGCCAGGAGAAACCCCAGGTGGGCGCGGGGCGAGCAGAAGAGGTGGCGCAGGTCCTGGTCTCCTTGCTGGTGAAGGTTGTCAGGTTACCTGATACCTGACGTCAGGGAGAGCAGGCCACGGCCGCGCCCGTGGTGGCATCAGCCTCGGTGGTGCAGGGAGCGGCCCGGCAGCTCTTTGCTCCTGAAAGGGAGACCAGCGGTGAACCCTTCTCTCTGCCAGCCTGACGCCTACGACCGGGCGGTGCGGGAGCTGGGCTTCGAGATGAAGGCGCAGCCCTCGGACCGGATGAAGACGGAGGAGGAGCTGGCCAGGGAGGAGCAGGAGCGGCTCCGGCGCCTGGAGGTGCGGGGACGCTGGGGGCGGGGCTGTGGCCCTCCTGTCAGGCCTCCCGCCTCGTTCTGGGAGGGGGACGAGCTGCTCCTGGAATCCGTGGGACCTTTTTAGTCTCTTTAAAGTTTGTGTATTTTACTATAAGTGCCTTTTTAAAGATCTTTTCCTAATTATGAAAGTAAAAAGTTCAGATGACACCCTGCTGCCCTCCCTGTGGGCCCCACACGTGACCTCTCCCGCGCAGGCAGAGAGGGTGCGGAGGATGCTGGGGACGAGCGAGGACCAGGACAGCAAGGGGCCTGCACACGTGTCTGCAGATGACTTAAACGACGGATTCGTGCTGGACAAGGATGACCGGCGTCTGCTCTCCTACAAAGTAAGGCGCCAGCCTTCCCTTTCTCCTTTAGCGGAAGAGGGCACACTGGGTTTCTCACTTCCTTGGTTTATCTCGGGTGGAAACTGTAAATCTCCCCACACCTCCCTGCAGCTCTGTGCTTGCGTGTTCACGGTGTCCAGGCACCGAGACTGGGCAGATGGTCGCGTGGCGCTGCCCTCTCTCGGATCTCCTTTTGCTTTCCCTCGGTTGCTAACAAGTACTCCGACCACGGTCCCCGGGTCATCACACCTGTGGGTTCCGTATCCTTTTCCCAGGACGGAAAGATGAACGTCCAGGAAGCACAAAGCGGGGAAGCCAGTAACGGTGGGGACGAGGAGGAGGAGGAGGAGGAGGAGGAGGAGGAAGAGGAGGACGAGGAGGATGCAGAGGACAGCGGCGGCTCCGACAGCCACTCAGACCTGGAATGCAGTGTGGAGAGCGAGGAGGAGAGCGAGCAGCCAGAGCAGAAGCCGCGGCCACCGCCTGGGGGGAGGTCAACAGGCCGTGGTCAGGAAGCTCGGGACGCCGCCAGGACTGAGCTGCCCTACACATTTGCAGGTAGCAAACTGTCATGGTCCCTGGGTCTCGGGGCCAAGTCCAACCTGGCGGTCAGTCTGCCTCGCTGAGGCTGCGTGGGGGGGTGGGGCGAGCATGCTCTCTGGACGCGTGGAGACCTGGATTCATCCGGCGAGCGGGCATGATCCTCCTGTCTGTCCAGTGTTGCCTGGGGCCTGACCCGGGCCCTGGCGCCGTGGGGGCCTTTGTTACATGGCCACACACAGGATGCGCAGACACACCTTTCTGGAGAAGTGTCTTCGTGCTGTTGTTAAGTGTCAGCCTTCGGTGGGCAGGCCTGGGGGACCAGGGGGTCACCAGGGAGGGGCCGCTGAGCTGCATCAGACAGGCCAGTGTCCCTCCAGGACACAGAAGAGTCGTCCACTCTGGTCAGCAGTCCCACCTTGTCCTGTGGCTGTAGGTCATTTCCAGGGACGGTGGGCTCGCCGTGAGGCCAGCTCCGTGGCAGTGGCTCCGACAGGTGCGAGCCACGGCTACGCTCATGTGGCTCCTCCCGCCCTCTGTGGGCTTGGCTCACGGCGCACGGGGATGGAGGCGATTCCTCGCGGAGCAGACGCACAGGCCGCTTCCTCGCGGTGCCTGTTCTCAGGTGGTGGCTCCCCACGAGCCCGGACACACGGGGGCTTGTGATGTGACCACACGCAGCGAAGGGCATGCTCCTATAGAGAAGTCACGCTGTCTCTCGCGGCCGCGCGGGGAGCAGTGCCGCTTACGCTGAGTTCGGGTTTTGCGTCTGTCCCCGAGACGAGAGCTGGTCTGAGCAGTGAGTGCGCGTGTGCTCGGCAGCTCCTGAGTCCTCTGAGGACCTCAAGTCTTTGCTGGCGGGAAAGCCCGTGGAGGAGCAGCTGCTGGTGGTGGAGCGGATCCAGAAGTGCCACCACCCCAGTCTCGCCGTGGGGAACAAGGCGAAGTTAGAGGTGCGTGAAGACGGGGTCAGCGGTCAGTGCCGGGAGCGTCGGCCGTCCCCGAGCTGCGGCGATCAGGGCCCTGTGGTTGCTGGCGAGGTGAGGGCCGGGGCAGGAGCCCTGGGCAGGCCTGGAGGAGGCCCCCGCCGGGGCCCTCATGTCACCCAAGAGTTGGCCTCCTGTGGCCATCGAGCAGCCTGGCCAGCCCCTCAGGGAAGTTGGTGACACGCCCCCTCCCTCTGAGACGGTGCGGGGTGCCTGCTGCCACGCTGAGCCCCCCCACCACCACCACCAGCCAGAGGGGGCGGTGCGTGTCTGCCCAGGTCCGTTCCGGGTCAGCACTGAGCTGCTCCCCTCCGTGTCCCCCAGAAACTGTTCGGCTTCCTTCTGGAATATGTGGGCGAACTGGCTACAGAGGACCCACCAGACCTCAGAGTGATTGACAAGTTGGTTGTGTGAGTAGAAATGGCGGCGGGGCGCTGAGCTGAACAACTTTAGAGCCGTAAGAATACGTGACTGGGTGTGAAGGTCAACCTAGTTGGTAAATGGGACTCACGTGCAGCCACAACACAGCGCCTGTGACAGGCCACCTGCTGCTCCTGCCCCAGAGCTGGGCGTGTCCTCAGTTCAGAGCGACAGACATGGGTCTGTTCATGGTATCGATGGCTGACTCGCTTTCGTTCTCCAGCGACCCATCATGCTCTGCTTGGGCGGCTGAGGTGTTTGGAGCACGTGGTGCTGGGCAGGCTCCTGTGACCTGCAGTGGCTGGGGCAGGCCTGGGGTCTTCCACATGGGAGGTTAGTGAGAGCGGGGCCTAGTGGCCTCTGCCATTTCAGACGTGAGGTGAGGAGTCGCGAGTTTGTGGGGAAGCACGTAGCCGGTCAGCCGGGTGGGCGCATAGAACGTGCTCCCCTCTGGCAAACAGCATAGGTCAGAGGGGCTCTTATAGAGCCAAGCACAGGGGCAGCCAGGCGGCCGTCGGAGGGGGCGGGTCACCGGGGCTCTGGGTCCAGCCTCAGTCCGCAGTGACGCACAGGCGAGGTCCCGGGGTGGAGGGTGCCTTCCCGGCTGGAGCCCAGCACGGACCTGTGTTTCTGATGAACAGGCAGCTGTACAACCTCTGCCAGATGTTTCCTGAATCTGCGAGCAAGTCCATGAGGTTTGTGCTCCGAGACGCCATGCACGAGATGGAAGGGACGATCGAGGCCAAGGGCCGGGCTGCATTCCCGGGGCTGGACATGGTAAGTGGGGCGCGGGCTCCCTGGGCTCAGCGGCCGTCCACCCTCCGGGTGACCTGGGGGATAGCTGTCCGTTAGCGGTGGAGTGAGATTGCGTGTGAACGGGGCATGTTTAGTCTTCACGGCAGAGGTTTTAAGGCCAATGGGAGGAGCGATTTCCAGGGAGACCCAAGCCGAGGGCCGCTCAGCTCCGTCTCCGCGCCCACTAGGAGACAGTCAGCTGAGGGCGGTTGTGTCAATGGTAGTGAGTCTCAGTCCGTCATTCCATTTTCTGGACTTCGTGTTGAAAGGAATGAACAGTGATCAGCAGAAACTTAAAATACAAGACTTGTGATTATCCGTGGCTTTAAAAGGCTCCCCAAATAGCGTCTGAGCCGGTGTCCACGGCATTGCTGGCGACTTCGGTTCTGTGAGCCTCCGCCCAGCTACCTTTCCCCACGTCCGCCCGGGGGACCTAGAGCACTGGCCAGGGAGGCCCCGTCTGCCTCCTCGGAGCCTCTTTCTACCCAGGAGTATTGTGGGGGGCCAGTAGCAAGGCCTGGGCAGGTGCCTGGTCTTCAACCCAGTCCCTTTGTCGGAGCTGCGGGCCTGGCCTCCTCGTCTGTGAGGGGGTGAGGGGCACAGCTGCCTTTGGGTGCGTCGTGGCGGGGGAGCCTGTGGGCTGTGCCTGACCCGTGGTCCCCAAAAGTCACCGCTTGTCATCACCTAAGACAAAACAGATGCATCTTGGGAGCATGCAGGAGGCAGCTTCCTGTCGAGATGGTACAGGCTCCCCACCTCCCAGGACACGGCGGGCCGGGCAGTGCCCCTTCCAGCCCCACTGGCGCCATGCTGCACGCCCGCCTCCGCCTGCTCGGCAAGGTTCCAGTCTCCTTGCACCTGCGTTAGTCATTAGCGCCTGATGCGAAGGGAGACCTGGGAGCTTCCCAGAAATACTGCCTTTAGCGATGGGCTGTGGTCAGAGCCATTTGTCCTGAGACGAGCAGGTGGGGGTGGGAACTCAGCTGGGGACGGCGAGAGCCCGGGAGAGCGTTGGAGAACAGCCTCCCGCTCCCTCGCCCGGCAGCCCTCGGCCTCCTGGGCTGTGCGTGGCCTCGTGGGCTTGTTCTGCCCCGTGTGCTGTGAGGTGGTCGCAGGAAGAATGGGCGGGGCCGCTTCCCCTGAGCGGAGGCCTAGAGGCCGCGGGTGCACCGTCGGCTGTGACCTCTGCCCAGCGTGGGCCTGATGCCCCAGGCCGGCCGGTTCGGGGCCGGGCAGCCTCATCCTGCGCCCCCACCAGCCACCACGTTCCAGAAAGCCCAGCGGTGGGGGTGGGGGGGCGGCGGCGGGTGACAGCTGCTGTGGGGGCCCTGCCCTGGCCACGAGCCCGCAGCCCAGCGGGACCCTTGGGGCATCGCTGCTCTGACCAGGTTCAAAGCTGTTTTGCTCCTGCCCCTGTACAGGCAGGACTTCAAACGGCGTCTCCCGCTCTATAATCTTGGTGGTTCCACTTTCTTCCCAGCTCATTTACTTGAAAATTGCTGGGATGCTGTTCCCAACCTCTGACCTCTGGCACCCCGTGGTGACGCCCGCGCTGGTGTGCCTGAGCCAGCTGCTTACCAAGGTACGTCCTTCCGCCAAAGCCGATGGCTGAGGGGGTCAAGGACACAGACACTCAGGGTCGGGTGGGAGCTGAGGTCAGACACAGCCCCTCCCCGAGCACCAGCTCCAGCCCCAGATGTGGAGGCGACGGAGGGTGTGAGCCCAGAAAACCCCCTTCCCGTGGAGGAAGCATCACGTCTGATGGGGGTCCCGTGCCCTGGGCACTCAGGCGGGCCCCGCATTTTCGGGTCGGGCCTGGGCTGGGCACTCAGGCGGGCCCCGCATTTCCGGGTCGGGCCTGGGCTGGGCACTCACGCGGCCCCCGCACACTGGGATGGGCAGAGCTCCGCTGAGGCTCTGCCCGGCCCCGGGAGGAGTGGGGGCTCCCGCTCACCTGGGGAGCAGGTGGTCAGGATCCGGACCGTGTCCTGACCAGTCACTGGTTCTGTCCCTCTGCCAGTGCCCCGTGCTGTCCCTCCCGGACGTGGTGAAGGGCCTGTTCGTGTGCTGCGTGTTCCTGGACTACGTGTCCCTGTCACAGAGGTTCATACCTGAGCTGGTCAACTTCCTCCTGGGCATCCTGTACATTGCAACCCCCAACCGGCCAGGCCCAGGTGAGCCGCCACGGCTGTGGCCGCGGTTGTGCTGGGGCTTTGAAAGCGCTGAAAGGAAGCCATGCTCATTGTAGCAAATGTAGGGTATGGAAGAGGGGGCGGGAGACAGACATCGCAAGTCCTCCCGCCCAGAGTAGCGCCTGTTCCGGGTGTGGGCGTGGAAGAAATCGGGGCGCTCTCTCCCCGCGGTGGCCAGAAGCCACACGTGGCGGGTCTGACAGACGTGCCCTAAGTCAGGCTCACCCAGGCAGCCGTGACTCAGCCAGAAATAGTCTCAGCTTTACGTTGATGTGTTGAAATATTTCCCTATTTGGGGCTAAGTAAAGCACACAACGAAGTTTTTTTTTTTTTAAATATATTTTATTGATTTTTTACAGAGAGGAAGGGAGAGGGATAGAGAGTTAGAAACATCGATGAGAGAGAAACATCGACCAGCTGCCTCCTGCACACCCCCCATTGGGGATGCGCCCGAAACCAAGGTACATGCCCTTGACCGGAATGGAACCTGGGACCCTTCAGTCCGCAGGCCGACGCTCTATCCACTGAGCCAAACCGGTCAGGGTTTTTATCTTACTTTTTTACGTGGCAACAAGCACGTGCTGGCGCGCTCACGGGCTCCGCTGCAGGTCCGCTGGGCAGCACGTCCGCGGGGTTCCGTCTCCCAGACGCGGGGCGTGGGGGCGGGAGGTTTCTGACGAGGAAGCGCCCCGTTGGTCCTGCTCTGTGCTCAGCTCCACTCCCTCCCGGGCTTGTGCATCGCCGCTTCCCTCCTGCCGGGAGCCCGGCGGCCGGCCCCTCTCTCGGTCCTATCAGAGCTCAGTGCCCACTGTCCTCTCGCTCTCCCTCCTGACCTCACAGTGACGGCCCTGGGTCCTGCCCGTGGCTGCTCCCTGGCTGTCCCGCCGCCACGCTGCGTGCTCCCGTGGGCCGGCAGGCAGGGCGCGGGACACACTCACGCCCCAGGAATCTGTCAGGCAGCGACTGCAGTCAGGGTGCATGTAGGGTGCGCTGGCACCGGCCAGGCAGCGGGGTGCCTGCTGTGGCCCCTCGCCCCTCTCCGTGTACCCGCCACCCCCGCTTTGCCGGGCCCCCCTGCAGGCTACTCCCTCTGCCGCGATGCTCTTCTGGGTGATGACGGGTGAGCCCTGCACACCACAGGGTCCTCCCCAGCCTGCGCCTGTGGGACAGCCTCTGACCTGGTGGACTCTGCAGCCCCCACCCAGCCCTCCGACAGACCGCTCGTCCTCCTCGGCTTTGTCACCCGTCTCTCACGCTCAGCCAGTTCATTCGTCTTCGGGGTGTTCTTTACGGCCTGCCTCCCGCCAAGGCCGTCCCCCGACCCGCTGTACAGCCCGTGCGTTTGTGAAGAGTGAGCCTGATACTCAGAGGCGCTCTGTCCCGTCCCCTTGGAATCCAGGTTTCGCTCTGGTGCACCCTTTCCGACCTCTGGGGAGGAACTCGGAGCTGCTCGTGGTGTCTGACGAGGGGGACGCGGCCACGTGGCAAAGGAGAAGCCTGTCCCTCCACTGGGCAGGCGCACGGCACGCCCAGACCGAGACGGAGGCCAACCACACCAGGTACGTGCGGCCTCAGTGCCACCCAGGTCCCGGGCCTCAAGCGGGCCCGCGTCATCTCTGCAGGTGACAGGATCTTATGTGTGGAAAGCTATCAGCTCTAATAACTGAATTTAACAAAGTGCAAAAATCAGTGGCATTTTTGTCCTAACAATCACCTGTGTGAAAGGAAATTGCCAACAGTTCCCCGTACAGTAGCATCAGGAAGAAGAAAATACTCTGTTTTATTTAACCTTTAGAGCAGCGGTTCTCAACCTCCCTAATGCCGCGGCCCTTTAATACAGTTCCTCATGCTGTGGTGGCCCCCAGTCATAAAATTATTTTCGTTGCTACTTCATAACTGTAATGTTGCTACTGTTATGAATCATCATGTAAATATCTGATATGCAGGATGTATTTTCATTGTTACAAACTGAACATAATTAAAGCATAGTGATTAATCACAAAAACAATATGTAATTATATGTGTATTTTCTAATGGTCTTAGGTGACCCCTGTGAAAGGGTCGTTCGACCCCCAAAGGGGTCGCGGCCCACAGGTTGAGAACCGCTGCTCTAGAGGAACCTGCATGTTGGCGCAGTGGCCGCGCAGCCTGCGTTCCCAGCAGCAGTGCACGAGGACCCAGGTCCACTAGGGCCTGGCCGGCGCTGGCCTTGTTGCTGTTTGAGTAGCCGCTGCTGCCATCCTAACCGGTGGGAGGCGGTGCCTCGCGTGGCTTGGTTTGCGTTTCCCTGGTGGTGAGTGAGGCTGCGCGCCCTTCTCACGCCTGTTGGCCACCTGTATGTCCTCTTTAGAAAAATGTCTGTTCAAGTCCTGATGGCACTATTTCCATGAAAAAAACCTTCCCACAGCATTATTTTCCGAATATATCTGCTTGACCTTGTAAACAGTAATTCAAACCCTAAACCAGGGCCCGCGCCTGGTGGCCACGGCATTCCCCCGGCATGGCTGCTCCTAACCTCGTTGGCTGCGGCCCTGCTGGGTGTTTAGAGTTGAGTGTTGGCTTGAAGTCTTGCCCCAACCATTGCCTGTCGCCCTGAAGTTGGCTGTCGCCCCGCAGGCTGTCCTGCCTGGCCGTGTGTCTGGCTCTGGTGAAGCGCTGTGTGCTCCTGTACGGCGCGCTGCCCGCCTTCCACGACATCACGCGGCCCCTCAGAGCCCTCCTGGCGCAGCACCTGGCCGGCAGCAGCCACCCCCACGAGCTGCAGGTGAGGCTCCCCCATGAGGGCGCGGCCCAGCTCAGCCCGTCCTGTGACTGGGGCAGGTTAGCGGGCACTTTGGTCCTTGGCTGCACCCCTAGAAGTCAAGGGCACTGTGTTTGCAAATGAGAAACTTGAATGAGAAGCTGTCAGTGCTGAGAAACTCCGAGAAAAGTTTGACCAAACAGAGCGGCTGGTTTTAAGCTGCTGCACGGAGGCTGACCTGGGGTTTAAGCTGAGAACGGTCGCCGGGGTCCAGCCCCAGCAGGTCCAGGGGTCCCCAAAGGTGTGGACGGAGTCGGCGAAGAAGGAATGACACGGAGACAGCATTCAGTTGATCAGCAGCCTAGCCAGGATCTCTAGCCAGGATCTCCAGCCAAGTTCCGGTCTGGATCTCCAGCGAAGGTCTGGTTCGGATCTCCAGCCAGGTTCTGTGTCCATGTTCTCTTGCTAGGTTCTCCAGCCAGGTTCTCCAGGTTCTCCAGCCAGGTTCTGTAGCCAAGTTCCCTCGCTAGGTTCTCCAGCCAGGTTCTGTCCAGGTTCTCCAGCCAGGTTCAGTTACCAGGTTCTAGTCAGGTTCTCTTGCCAATTTCTGTAGTCAGGTTCAGTCCAGGATCTTTTGCCATGTTCTCTCGCTAGGTTCTGTCTCTAGGTTCTGAGGCCAGTTTCTGTCCAGGAACTTTTGCCATGTTCTCCAGCGAAGTTCTTCTGTCTCTAGAGAACGTTCTGTGTAGGTTCTGTGCCTAGGTTCTGTCTCTCAGTTCTGTGTTCTAAGTTCTGAGACTTGCTGTCTTGTTACAACTGTATTTATACCAGTTGATTCAATCCTATCAATCTCTATTACAAAGGTTAGGGCTTTTCTTATCTCCATTCCAGGGAGTAAAGATTATGTAGCTTAAGCATGATTGTTCGTAGTTAAAGTGATTAATTACCCGCCTGGCACTTAGTTAAGAGGTTTTATTCCCTCCCTAACTTCAGGGGAAAATCCCTACCTGGGGAAACAACCTTTCTCAGAGACCTTGGTTAAAACGCATAGTGCCAAGAAGGTGAGCAAACATATTAAGAACAGTATGCCATATATGCCAGGTCCCTTGAAACAGCAAGCATGGACCGGCTCCCGGCAAACGGTCATGTCAGGTCCCCTTCTGCCTGCCCACTGCCCACCGGGGCTTGGCACCCATCCCTCCCGGACCACACACTCTGGCCTCCTCACTCATGGCCACCCCCACACATGCTGTCATATCTCTGCCCTCAGGAAGTGACCTGAGAGGACATCCTGTCACCCTGCGGGAGGCAGATGCAGTGGCCCATCCCTTAGTTGAAGCGCACCCTGGCTCTGCCCTGCGGATTCGGGCTGGCCAGGGGGCCAGGGGGCAGGGGGGACCTGTGGGCTCGGGGGCACTGCACGTCGTACCTTGCACGTGGTCCCCACGGAGCCGGGGCATTTGGCCCTCAGAGGCGAACCTCCAGGCGGGCAGGGGTGGCTGTGCCTGCAGTGCAGGAAGCCTGAGTTTGGGGACACACCTGTGCGTGGGGAAGAGGAATAAACGCACATCAGCAGGCTGGCTTCTGGAAGCGCAGGCTGTAGGTTCTTCTGTTGGAATGAAAGTGACGTCGGATCACAAAGACTGGGTCCTGCTCGGTGCCTGCCGTGGCGCGGCGCTGCCAGGGAAAGAATAACCCGTCCTGGGCTCGGGGCTGGCAGCACAGGCTGCCTTCCTCCTAAGTGCCTGCCATGCCTGTCGGACGCCCTGCACTCGGTCTTCAGGTCTGCAGCCCCGCCCCCCACCAGCAAGGTGATGCTTCCATCAGGGCTCCCACCTGCCAAGGGCCATCTGGCCATCATTCCCGGGCCACACAACAATTTCAGCTTAAAACCAGCCGCTCTGTTTGGTCAAACGTTTCATTAATTCTCCCCGAATGCCTTGGCAGGGCCAGACCAGGTCATTTCTCGTATGATCCGCGGGCCGGACGTTCCCCACCCCTTTACTTAGCAGATGAGGGAAGGCCTGGGGGAGGGAGGAGGTCCCTCCCTGCCGCCTCTGAGGCCGCAGAGCCTCCTGGAGGAGCTGGAGAGGCCGCCGCGGCCATCACAGCGCGGTTCCTGTGCAGGAGCTGTGTCGGAGCGCGCTGGCCGATATGGAGGCCCAGGAGAGGCGCTACCAGCCCCTGGTCTGCGAGAGGAGCAAGCCTGTACCCCTGAAGCTGTTCACCCCCCGGCTAGTCAAAGTGTGAGTGCAGCTGCCTCCGCAGGGCCTTCCATGGAGGGCCCGGGTCAGGGTGTGGGTAGGGGCACCCCAGCCCCCAAGGGGCCAGGGTGGGGTGTGGGCCCAACTCGCTGCCTCTGCTCTTAGGCTGGAGTTTGGAAGGAAGCAGGGCAGCACCAAGGAGGAGCAGGAGCGGAAGAGGCTAATCCACAAGCACAGGCGGGAGTTCAAGGGTGCGGTGCGGGAGATCCGCAAGGACAACCAGTTCCTGGCCCGGATGCAGCTCTCGGAGATCATGGAACGGTGAGGCCGCTGCTGCGGGCGCTGGGAGCCTGCGGGCTGTGTCCCCTGCTCGCCCGGTGCACATACGTCCTCCAAAAACTAATCCCAAACTGGGCTTTTTCTCCTTAGGGATGCGGAAAGGAAGCGCAAAGTGAAGCAGCTTTTCAACAGCCTCGCTGAGCAGGAGGGTGAATGGAAGGCTCTGAAGAGGAAAAAGTTCAAAAAATAAACGGTTTTTATCTTGGCAGAGACACACTGATGTCTTTCCTGGACTTCAGCTCCCGTTTCAGCGTCTCCTGAACGCGCTGTGGACCTGGGGCAGCGCTCCCTGCGAGCACGTGCTGATGAACGAACTAGTTGGTCCGTCCAGTTCAGACGAACTGTCAGTCACGGTCTGGGACTGAAGGGATCTGGCCGGTCATTTTTGCCTTTGTGTTAGAGTGCAGTGTTATTTCACATTACAAGTTATATTTTCAATTATAAAGTAAACAAGTTTGCAAACAGTTTAGAGATCGGAGGAAAAAGTCACCCTCAACCCCAGCACCACGACGGGCAGTCCCTCACTCAGTCTGCCTGGCGCTCTCCAGGGCCGTCTCGGTTCTGGGCGCTGAGCCGCTGGGACGTCTGCACTGAGCTGGGAGGCTGAAGACATGGAGTTTGTGGTTAAGGTCACAAACTTGTAAGTTAAACAGCAAAGAGCAGCCCTCCCGTCCCCTGCACTAACCAGGAGCGTCTCAGGAATGCAGCACGCTGTGCTGTTGGCTGGCCCCACGGGCTGTGGCTGGGGAGCAGAGCACAGGCCCAGACGAGGGCTGTTCTTAGCCTTCTGATAGGAACACTGTAGCCCCAGCCCCCCGCCCTCTGACATGTGTGTGGAGGCAGGTGACCCGTCTCAGGTATGAAGGTCAGAGGCTACAAAAGGGGGAGCATGGCTCAGTGGGGAGATATCAGCCAAAGGTACCTAAGGGGTGACATCGAGTCTTTGGGGAAAGAGCTAATGGGTTTTCATTTGTTGCAGGTGGAACAGCTGTGTATTGGGCATAAGTGTAACTGCTATTTTCGTGATTTGGGTGTCCTATATAATAAAAGGCTAATAGGCCAATCGCCCAACCTGTGGCTATGTCACGTACTGACCATGAGGGCAGAGCGCTCCCACAGGGGGGCATTGCTCAGTGCCGGGGTCCAGCCCCAGCGGTCCAGGGGCTCCCAGAGGTGTGGACGAGTCGTCGCAGCATGATTTACACGGAGACAGCGTTCAGGTGATCAGCATAGCTCTCTTTAGTCTCCGTGGATCTGCCTGTGCCTGGCTGAGGCTACAGAGATCCAGAGGCAAGCTGAGCCTTTATTTTATAGTCAGAGGTAAACAAGGTGGTGGTCGCCATAGTTACAGTGTTCTTGTGAGGTTCACTTGTTTTGGCAGCACTTGCTGCACCTCCCTCAGCCCATTAACTTCCCAGATAAGATCTAGGGAGCAACCTAAGGTCCAGCCTAATTATGCTAAGTCGCTAAGAGGACTCTGCCCTCTAAGCTGGGACTTGTGACTTTGCCAACAGGTCAGTCAGAGGCTTAACCCTATAGCCGTGCCCCCCAGCTCAGCCAGAAGCCAGGCTCATGGCCCGGGGCGGGCGGGGCGAAGGATACCGACTGCCCTCAGGCAGACATCCCCGGGCTCCCGGACTTGGAGAGGGCTCCCCGGTGAGGGAGTCGCCCCCCAAGTGCACGCATCGTTCAGTACACGGGGGTGTGGCGGATGGCATGTGGGGCGGCATCACCTGTCAGCTGGGGAGGAAGACTTCAGGGCCTAGAATCCCCGCCCACGGGTTTACAGCGCGGGTCGGCCACGCGCGGGCGTGGCTGGGTGAGATGAAGGGCAGCGGCCGGCGACGTGCCAGGCGCCCGCGTCCACAGCGGCTCCAGCTACCCGGCCAGAGGCGCCCGTCAGGGCCCCCGCGCCCCGACCCCGCCGTCTGTCCGCACGTCCCTTTCCTCCTCACCGGCCGGCGCTGAGGCTTCCCGCTCCGCGCCCGGTGCAGGAGGAACCGTCCCGCCGAGAGCCAGGCGGCCACACCCACGGGCCGCGCACACGCGCCGCGCTGCCCGCCCAGGCCCGGCGCTGTCCGTGGAGACCGCCCCGCAGGCGGACCCAGAGCCCAGGCCCTGAGGGGAGAGGGTCGCCCTCCGGCAGCGCGTGGGGGCAGATGGGACCGTGGCTGGCGGCGCGCGGCTGGGAACCAGCCCCGCCAGCAAGCGCCGGGCAAGGACTCGGGCCGCGACCGGGGAGAGCCCCGCGGCCGGAGTGGGAGCCGTCGGGGCCAGGGGCCAGGGGTCGCCGCCCGCAGCGGAGCGCCCGGACCGCCAGCAGCCGGAACGCGGGAGGCAGGAGTCGGGCGGAGGCCACTCGGAGTTAGAGACCGACTGCGGCCGGGACCGCGCCGCCGGAAGGAGAAGAGCAACGGACCGTCACTTCCGGGGCGTGTCTAGTGGGAGGAGCCTGCGCCCGCCCCGCCCCCAGCAGCGTGCCTGGCGGTCCTTTCCGCATCCCTCTGGCCAGCGGTCCGTCGGTTCGTCTGCTCGGCCCCGGCGCGCGGCCGCGGCAGGTGCGGGCGGGGTACCCGGAGCCCCAGGAGGCGAGCCCGGGGCGGGGTCGGTGTGGGCGGGGGCTGTGTTCTCCGGGCGCAGGGACCCCTCCCCGAATCCGCCCCGGGCCACAGAGGACCCGCCCTCCTCCCGGCCTCAGTTTCCCTTCCCGCTCCACACGAGGACGCGGGGGTGGCTGCGTGGCACGGGGTGCGCCCGGGCCCGCGATGCCCCCACCCCGGCCCCTTGGGACGGTTGGCCTCGGTGGCTGCGGTTTCCTTGCGCAACCTCTGCCGCCGAGTTTGCTGCATCCCGGGGTCTGGGGAGGGCGCACCAGGGACCCCGTCTGTGGTGATGGGCGCCCCCCAGCAGGGTGGGCAGGCTCTCCCTTTAGGGTGCTCAGTAGGGTGTTGGGGGCCTGACAGGAGCAGGAGGACTCAGTTTCCCCCTCGGTAGGGTAGGCGTCTGTGCTGCCGTAACCAGAGGGGCTGTGCGGACCCGGCCCCTCCCCCACGGGCCAGGAAGGATCGGAGCGCCTCCATCATGGGCTGGGGAGCTGGTGGGAGCTGCACTCCGCACCCACCCATCCGCCAGCAGCCGGTGTCCGAGACCCGCGTGGTCACTGTGGTCTTCCTGGGCCTCCTGCTGGACCTCCTGGCCTTCACGCTGCTGCTGCCCCTGCTGCCCGGGCTGCTGGAGAGCCATGGCCGCGCACATGTGAGCCCTCCTCACCCTCCATCCAGAAGCCTGACCCCCACGGTGGGTGCCCACTCCCCCGCCTCTCATGCTTCCTGTCCCCCAGGACCCTCTCTATGGCTCCTGGCAGCGAGGGGTGGACTGGTTTGCTGCAGCCATCGGGGTGCCCGCAGAGAAGAGATACAACAGCGTCCTGTTCGGAGGTGTGGCCCTGAGCCCCATGCTGGGAGCCCCTGGTCCTATCTTCCTGGGCTCCACCCCCCCCACCCCCCACCCCCCCCCAATCTTCCCTCCCTGAGCTCCCATCACCCAGGTCCTCATTCACACCTCCTTACTCCTGGGCACCATCTGCTCCCTCTGTGTCCACTCTGTCATAGCCACCTTGGCTTTGAGACCCATGGCCTGGGAGTGCTGGGCCAGGTGAGCAGACCCTTGGGGACGGAGACTGAGGTGTGGTGACCCTGACTTCTGTCTCCTTCAGGTCTGATTGGCTCAATCTTCTCAGTCCTGCAGTTCCTCTGGGCACCGCTCACGGGGGCCGTCTCCGACTGCCTGGGGAGGCGCCCAGTGATGCTGCTGTCCCTGGTACGGGTGCCCCTGGGGTGGTACCTGAGGGGCCAGCAGCTCCTGTGTCTAAGCCAGGCTGTCCCAGAGCTGTTTCTGCCACCCTGCAGACGTTGGGGACACAAGGGCCCTTGGGTGCTGCAGAACAGGGCAGGGACCCAGGGGTGCTGGTGGCCCCAGTCACTCCTGGCTTGAAGTGACCACGCCTACCCCCGAGGCAGGCAGGTCTGGCCACCTCTTACGCTGTGTGGGCTGCCTCGGAGAGCTTCGCAGCCTTCCTGGCCTCCAGGGTGATTGGCGGCATCAGCAAGGGGAACGTCAGTCTCTCCACGGCCATCGTTGCCGACCTGGGCTCTCCGCCCGCCCGAAGCAGAGGCATGGTGAGTGCACGGGCTGGGGGTCGAGGGCCCGGAGGGGCTCCGGGGCCTGGTCGCCCTCCTGACTCAGGTGGCTTCTCCCCAGGCAGTCATCGGAGTGGCCTTCTCACTGGGCTTCACGCTGGGCCCCATGCTGGGCGCCTGCCTCCCTTTGCGGATGGCACCCTGGCTCGCCCTGCTCTTCGCTGTCTCGGACCTACTACTTCTCTTCTGCTTCCTGCCGGAGACACTGCCCCCAGAGAAGCGGGTACGGAGGAACCCAGAAACCACCTACAGGTCCCGGACCCGGGGGTTCGGTTCCCTGGGCATGTAGGGAGCCTGTCGCGGGTGCCGGTCCTGGGTGCCAGGGGAGGCCGGACAGTCCTCTCCTGGTGTCCAGAGGCTCTTGGGGACACAGTGCCTCCTGGGGTCTCTATGCGTCCCAGCCCCTGCCTCTAAGGCCTGGTAGGTGGGATGGAGGCCAGGCGGCTGGTCATGTCCCTCCCCGGGCTGCCCCCCAGGCCCCCAGTAGCCTCTCCAGTTCTGCCCCCTCCAGGCACCCTCCCTCACCCTGGGCTTCCGAGCTGCCTCCGACTTGCTCAGTCCCTTGGCCCTGCTGCGCTTCTCCGCTGTGGCCCATGGCCAGGACCCGCCCACTGGAGACAGTAAGGAGTGGCCCTTCATGAGGGTGGAGCTCCGCCAGCTACTGTTGGGCGGTGGACCCCTCATGCCCTTGCCCCGCTGCCCCCCAGGGCTCAGCCACCTGCGCCGCCTGGGCCTGGTCTACTTCCTCTACCTCTTCCTGTTCTCGGGCCTGGAGTACACGCTGAGCTTCCTCACCCACCAGCGCTTCCAGTTCAGCAGGTGGGAGTGCGGGCCCTACAGGGACCCGACTCAGGGATGCCCTGCCCTCTCCCCATCCCCCGGGCCCAGCCTAGGAACCTGGGGCGGCCAGGGGTTGTCAGCGAGTCCCCTGGCTCCGCTTGGCAGAGCAGGGGCGCAGCCGGCCAGCAGGGCTGGGGCACTAAGGTTCGCGCCCTCCCAGCCTGCAGCAGGGAAAGATGTTTTTCTTCATCGGCCTCACCATGGCCACCATCCAGGGCACCTATGCCCGGCGGATTAGCCCCGGCGGGGAAATTGCAGCTGTGAAACGGGTATGGGGCGCCCCTGGTGGGGGTGGGGAGTGGTCTCCTGAGCTCTGCTGGAAGCAGCAGGAGTGGGGCCTGAGGTCCATTGTGTCCTGCTGCAGGCCATCCTGCTGCTGGTCCCCGCCTTCCTCCTCATCGGCTGGGGGCGCTCGCTGCCTGTGCTGGGCCTGGGGCTGCTGCTCTACTCCTTCGGTGAGTGGGCCTGCAGGGCCAGAGGGGCGCGGCGGGGCTGGTGGCCAGATCCCTCCAGGTCACGAGCCCTCTCCCCTCTGGGGTGACGGTGCCTCGCTCATGTCCCCCATCAGCTGCCGCTGTCGTGGTGCCCTGTTTGTCCTCCGTGGTCGCTGGCTATGGTGAGAAGCCCTTCCTAACCAAGGCCACCGGGGAGGGGGGGCAGCAGCCAGCAGGCACCTGAGGGCCCCTTCTCTCCTCCAGGCTCGCCTGGGCAGAAGGGCACAGTCATGGGGACGCTGCGGAGCCTGGGTGCCCTGGCCAGGGCATTGGGGCCCATGGTGGCCGCCTCAGGTGAGGCTGTGGGACAGCACGTGATGTGCCCTGGGGAGCCAGGCCTCGAGGGCTGCTGGGCCCTGATGGGGCCTTCCTCAGCGGCCTGCATCTGCTCCTGCCTCCTCCGTTCTGGCACTTGGGGCGGGGGGCCCACGTCATCGCTTGGCTCTCTCCCTCCAGTGTACTGGCTGACGGGCGCCCCGGCCTGCTTCACCGTGTGCTCGGGGCTCTTCCTGCTCCCCGTCCTCCTCCTGCGGCCCCTGCGACCTCCAGCACGGACACTCAAGGAGGAGTAGCAGAGCCAGCCCAGCCCAGGCGGAAGGAGCCGAGGCAGGAAGTCAGAGGCCACCCCGCCTGCTCCCTTCCTCCTGGGGCCCAGGCAGGAATCCCGGGGCCTGCAGCCCAGGGGGCGCTCGCAGCCCTCCTCCCGCTGGACTGGACGGCCCTGCCTGGTGCTCACAGAGCAGGGTCAGGGACTCCAGATCTTTCCAGGCTTCCGGCTTGTTTTTCACTCTGTGGAGAACAGGCTATCAGCCAGGCGTCTGGATGACAAAATAAAGCAGCTGTTTTATACTAAGTGCCTCCTCCCAGTACACTGCGTCCCTCAGCCTCCACCACACCCTGGGGCCCCAGGCCCCGCAGCAGCAGCTCCACTGACCACACGCGGTTCCCTCCTGCACGGGGGTAGGGAAGGGGAGGGGGGGTGGAGTCAGGTGCAGGACCCTCCCAGACGGTCAGCACTGGCAGGTGACACCTGGCAGATGGAGGAGGAGGGAGCCTTCTGCTGGGCTGTCCCTGTCACAGAACGTAGCCCCACCTGCCTGCTCAGCCCCAGCCAGGCTGACTCCAGGGTCCACTGACTGGAGAGGACACGGGACTCAGCGGTCCGAGGGCCGTGCTCAGCAGCCCCAGGGAGGAACAGGCTGAAGGGGCAGGGCAGCTCTGGGTTAGAACGTCCTCCCAGTCCAAAATGGCAAATGGTGTCTCAAGAAATAAGACACTTTGGGGAAGAGACAAACTCCTGGAAGTCCTATTTTAAAGAAAAAGAAAAGGGATTAAAATGTAAAACCGCTCCCCAGGTTCAGACAGGATACAGCTTGAAGAACTTTATTTGTGAGTAAAACATGTTACAATGAAGAAAGGACACGGCCTGCCCTCCTGAGCCTGTGTCCCTGTCTGTGGCTAGACTTCATGTTGTGATACAAAGAGTTAAAAGAAACTACAAAAGTGAATTAGTCATTGCGTGTGTGGGGTAGAGGGAGGGTCAGGGAAGAGTCTGTTAACGCAAGGAGGGTGGTGGGCGGAACACACTTGGCAACAAATTGACACAGAAGCAGCTGCTCGCCTGTTAGCTCCAAGCGGAGGTCAGCGCCATGCAGCTGGCCTCCGTCCTACGCGGGTGCTCGGTTTTGGGGACCTGAGCCCACGTCCAGCTCCAGATCCACTGCGGCCCTCCCGCCTTCCCAGGGGCCTGTCTGGGGTGGGCAGGCTGGCACCCAGCAGCTCCTGGAACAGGCACCCTCGAGGAGCCCGCGTGGCCAGCTGCCAGCCATCAGCTCCCTGCTGCCTCCCAGGGGGTGGAGGTGAGTGCAGGTGAGCGAGGGCAAGTAGCTCCATGAGTGCCGGCTCGGGCTCGGGAGCAGCGGGGCCACCAGGGCCGACTTCCGGGAAGAGCAGACCCTGCTCTGAAACCTGCCCCCACCCCGGTGCGCGGGGCTCCGCCGCAGGCCTAGAGAAACGAACGCGAGCATCGCTGTTCCCGTTCACAGCAACGCAGAACTGCCAATACACTGAAGAGACTTCTCACTGAGGGGCCCTCCCGAGGACAGGCCTGGAGAGACCCCAGTGATAAGACTGAGCCCTGGACCGGGTGCTGCCAGGGGGTGACCGGGTAACCATGCATAGGTTGCAAGGGTGTACAGGCCAGGCTGCTGCGGGGTCCCCACGCCGCCTGAGGCCACCACAGCGCCCTCGCCACTGGCAGGCACAGGGTGTTGGCACAGGACCAAGGCTGTGTGTTTATGGACAGAGTGAGATCGCTGAGCAGGTAAGGCCAGCAGGAAGCTAGGAGTCTGAGTCAGTCACCTGAGACCTGGGGGGAGGGGAGCCTAGCAGGGACAGAGCGTGGGTTACTGGATGACAGAAGGAGAGCAAGAGAGGTCAGGGCCAGAGCCGGCAGGGCCTCTGACTGTTCAGCCAGACCCTGCCTGGACGCCCCAGGGAAGGACCCGAGGAGCAGACAGACGGGCACAGAGGTGGACACAGGGCCAAGCCTCCCTGGACCTGAGGTGAGGCCCGGGCGCCAGGGGAGGCCATGCGAGCACAGGAGGTGAGCTCTGGTCTGCACGGGCTTGGGCGGCGGGGAGCGCTAGCTACGCGGAGGGGGCTTTGCATTCCATGACACAGGGAGACAACGCGAGACAGCGGTGTGTGCAGGACAGGCCTTCAGGAGTCGCTCTTCTTCTTGCTCTTCTTCAGGAAGGAGGGGGTGCGGAACTTCTTCTTCTTTTTGGAAGGGGACTTGCCGGGAGACCCATCGCTGCCTGGGTCTGCGGCAGCCCCCTCAGCAGCCGGGGAGGGGGCTTCTTCAGCCGCCGGGGCCGGGGCCGGCTCAGGACTGGCCACCGTGGAGGGCCTGGCGGGGCTGGAAGGGCCACAGGCTTCGCCCAGCCCCTCGTCCTCCTCCTTGTCCAATGTCGGGAAGCCAGGCGCTTCTGAAGGCTCATCGGGGGACAGGTCAGGGAGAGTGGGCTTAAAGGTGGCAGCATCACTGTCGTCTCCAAAAACAGCATCTTCCAGGTCTAGTGGGCAGGTAGGAGAGACGGGGTTAAAGGGCAACTGCCCAGCCCTCAGAGAGGGACATCAAGGTGGGCTGCGTCCTGCACAGAAACTGCTCTGTAAGGACACCAGGGCCTTCTACCAAGACAAGGATAAGGAACTTTAAATCGTGTCACTACTTCAAGGCTGGATGGAGCCCACTGTACCAAACACAGACTCCATCTTAAGGAGGGGTGTGTGGGGGGGGTTGGGGGGGGGGGGCGGCCCGGCTCCCTCTCCTGGAAGCGTGCCCTGCGAGCAGGGGACATTTTCAGTGCAGTGTCCTCCTGACACCCTTGAGACGAGGTTTGCTCTAGGCCCCTAGGGCACCTCAGTAGCCCTGAAATTAAGCCTACATTTGGGTCCACACACCTGGTTTCCCCCAAGGGAGCCACAGAAAACATGGCAGCTCATGGACGCACAAGTTAATAACTCTCGACCTTGTGCATCAGCATCAAATAAACAGCCTAGTTTAGAGGAAGACATGAACCATCAGGCTAGGGAGAGGGGCCAAAGCAAGCCGTTTCACCATCGGGAAACAAAGCACACTTGTCTTCAGGAGCCTAAGGGCCGGTCTGTGGGGAAGATTCCCATCTCCAGGTTGGGGTGGGGGAGACCAGGTGAGCACATTTTCTAAAAACAGCCTACGAGGTTACGAGCGACTGGCAGGTTAGGAGCACCAAACCTGTTCATACATCAACAGTCAGCCGAACCTCGGGAGGCGACGAGAGGCGAGCTGAGTGCAGGGGACAAACACTGAGGGCTGGGCCCTGGGAGATGCCTGCCCGGGATCACGGCCGGGGCAGGGGGAAGTGAGGCATGTCTGCACAGCGGGCAGAGGTGGCCTGTGGGTGCCCAGGGGAACCTTTATCATTGGACCAAATGTCCTACTAAAAAACAGCACTGCCCTGGCCGAGGTGGCTCAGTGGACAGAGAGTCAGCCTGCAGACTGAAGGGTCCCCGGTTTGATTCAAGTCAAGGGCACATGCCCAGGTTGTAGGCTCGATCGCCAGTGGGGGGTGTGCAGGAGGCAGCCGATCCATGATTCTCTCTCATCACTGATGTTTCTATCGCTCTCTCCCTCTCCCTTCCTCTCTGACATCAATAAAAATATACATATTTTAAAAATAGCCCAAATGTCGCTCTTCTGCCCCCGTCACGTTAAGCTTAAGCACAAAGCTTAAGCAGGGGTTCAAACACATGCAACCACATACAGCAGGTGGCAGCCCCACCTGTCTGAGCCTCGTCTAGACTGTCTGCCCTCCTGGCACTCACGAGACCCAGAGCTCTGAGCACCGCTGTGTGGCCCCTGGGAGCCCCGAGGGCAGGCTGCCCACTGCAGCTCGCAGGTGACCAAACCCCTTCCGGGAAGGCCACTGCCCAGAATGAAGGACTGGGTACAAAAGGGGGGGCGGGGGGAAAGACAATGTTTTTATTTTGATTGAACAGAAAACAAAACGCAGTAAGCAACAAAGCAGAATGAGGAAGCGCAGGGAAGCCGGCAGTACTTACTATGGTAACAGGTACTCCTTAGCACATCCTCCTGCTTGCCACGCAGCCACAAGAAGAGAAAAGCACAGGGAGAGAATCTACGCATTCAGTCACAGCACCAGGTACAGGAGGAGAATGGCCGAGCCATTCTTGTGGACACAGAGGCACAGGCTCCCGACAGACATGGGAAGCATGATGTGTAAGACCGAGGGACAGACACGCAAGCCACGCCACAGACATGCGGTGGGTGGTCTGAGAGGCCGACGGAGGCCAGTGCTCTGCATGGACTGATAACATGGCAGTCAAATGACATCCTGTAGCTCAGACACCACAGAGGACGTTTCCGGAGGTGGAATCGAGCACAGGAAGGTTTAGGGAGTGTGCAAAGAGGGCAAAACTGACATCATCAGTGAAGTGCATGCCCATCCCTGAAGGCTTTCCTCCCACCCGTGACATCTCACTAACAAGCCTGTTTGGCCTCAGGTTTCCCAGGACAAGGCCAAACAGGAGCGCAAGAGGCTGGGCCCAGCAGCCCCCAGCACGTGCTGTGCTGGTTCCCACGCAAAGGCACACGTCCTCACTAGTGTCAGCTGCCACTCCTTCCATTGGACAGAACACGCAGCCCACTCCCCCAGCCCCGCTGTGGACACCCATCCACACAGTGCCAATCGCCCTCCCGCCCTGGGGCAGCCTCGCCCGCCCCGCCCAGGACTCACCTTCCTCCAGCTTGACGGGGGAGCAGGGGGCAGCAGGGGGCTCTGGAGGACTGTCTTTCTGCTCTCCAGTCTCGTCCAGACTCTCTGCAGGTGGCAGAAGGTGAGAGGGCGTGGTGAGATGCCGCCATGAGCCTGCACCAGAGCCCTCCCAGGGGAGTCCGACCCCCTCTGGGACCAGCCTGAGTGAGGAGGGAGGAAGCGTGTGCTGAGGAGCACTCTGCCCAAAGGCCTGGAGGACAGAGGCGCTCACCTGCGGACCTGCCCACGCAGAACCTGCCCTGGCGCCTGGGCCTCGCCGTGAGCACTCACCTGGGGGGCCCCTGTGCTTGCGCTCCACCTCCCTGCGGTACTCCTCCAGCTCGCGGTCAGTGAGCGTGTTGAAGGGGTTGGGGCCTGTGGTGCTCACGATGACGTGGGGCTGGTACTCCTTCTCAATGATGGCCTTGGAGGCTGTCACCAGCTCCCCCTGCGGACAGAAGGGGTGCTGGGTCTGCAGAAGCCCTGCCCCAGGACCTCCTCCTCCCCGGCCAGGCTGCAGGCAGGGTGTGGCGGGCAGCTCTCCAGGGGCACAAAGACATCCCTGAGGGTTAGGCTGAGCTACAGCCTTCAGGGGCAGAAGACAGAGACACGATTTTGATGCAACAAAATAAATGTAACAGGAGAAAAGAACCCTAGAAAGCCCTCAGGTTTCAGAAGCAAAGGCAGCAAAGTGCAGATGGAGCACACAGAGCACCTCGAGGACAAGCCCATGTCCTCACTGACAGGCAGGAAGAGGAAATGCACAGATCACAACACTCAGGTCAGGCAGGAGAGACCTGCTTCCATTCTAGGAGCACAGGCAGGTTCTGTTCTTTTGACCTTAAGAAGAAAATGTCCCCAGGCACCAGTATTTGGGGAATTTGGAAAACAGAATTTGTAGGAGAGAAAAGAAAGCAAAGCCTATGAAGCACTGAGTGGCCACAGACCAGCCCCATCTGCCAGGAGGCGGCGGGCAGGCCCCGGAGGGTGGGCAGCCAGCGGGCTGAGTATGATGCCACCGCACATTCCCTTGCCCGGCACAGCTCTGTGCCCCGCTCAGCCTGGTCGGCCCCAAATGCTCCCCAATGTTCACCTTGGAGAAAGCTAACCGGAACTCATGCATATGCCCAGTACTTAATGAGAGCTTCCAAAAGTAACTGAAAACAGGAGAATCCAACGTCACTTTCACGCCTGCCGGTCCACCTGCGCTCTCCTCAGCGAGGGGCGAGCGTCAGAGGAGTCAGCGTCCCTGTAGTGGGCACTGGACACAGAGCCAGACCGAGGCCGGGGGACCTGGGCTGAGCGGCCCGGTCCCATGAGCTGGGTAGAGTGCCTGGAGTACTCCGTGACTGACCGCTGACAGTGACACAGGCCCCAGGACAGAAGAAAGGGCCTGCTGGGATCAGTAGCCTGTTATCAACTTGTCATCAGGTTCAGGATGACCTGGTTGTCAGTTAGCCCTCTTTCCGACTAGCCTGACCCAACGCCGCCGGCTTTTCCTCCAGAAGCAGCCCTGCCTGGCCAAGACGGGGACTCACGTCCTCCTCTGCCCCTCGGACCCTTGGCCCGAGACACGCCCTTTCCTGTCCACAGGCCTGTTACCATCTTCAAGAGGAGCCTGCTGGGCGGGCCCCTGAGGCCCACAGAGCACGGACGCTATCATCTACGCAACCTGGCTGGTGCCTGTGCGTCCTGGTAGCACTGCAGTGAGACAGGAAGGTGATGTGAGCTTTGAGAGAAACACTGTCACTCATTTCAGTCCAATGTTCAAAATCAGTAAAGGGAAAACAAAACCAGAAACTGCCACGGAGATGCTTCCTGTCCAGACCCCCTGCCCTCAGGTGCCGCACAGCTGGTTCCCGCCCGCTGGCAAGGGCTCCCTCCTCAGTGAGGCCAAGCTGGAGCTAGGAAAAGGGCGATGCCTGAGCCGCAGAGACAGGCCCTGTGGGGAGCAGCCCGAGAAGTCGGGGCTGAAGGGGCAGCTCCCTCCAGCAGCCCATGTGGGGGCACTTGCTGTGCTCCTCCCATTTGGCCCCACCAGGGCTCTAAGCCTGTTCCTCCTGGCACTGGGCTGAGGCATCAGGTTTTCATCTGAAAAATCTACACAGATTTGAATTTATATTCCTTTTTTTGTTTGTTAATCCTCACCCAAGGATACTTTTCCCACTGATTTTCAGAGAGAGTGGAAGGGAGGGAGGGGAAGAGAGAGAGAGAAACATTGATGTGAGAGAGGTGCCCTGACCAAGGCTGAGAATCGAACCTGCAATCCAGGGAATTGAACCCGCACGTGCAAGCAGGTGCACCAGCTACTGAGCCACCAGGCCAGGGCTAAATGTACATCTTAGTGCTGGGCCTGCACACACTAGGTGCTTAGCACCAAGTGCGCACAGGTGCGGCAGAGCAGCAAGTCTGGGCTGCACACCAGAGGGCAGAAGACAGGACTAAGTGCAAATCTTCACACCCGTCTCTACCGATTCAGTTCCCTGGGAATCACATCCAGGTGGCAGAGTGGCTTCCAGCCGCACACTGGCGGCAGTGCTGAGTCCAGAGAGCCCTGGCCGGGCTTCCTGTCCCTTTGGGCACCGGAGCACGGGGTGTGGCTGGCGACTCGCTGCCCCTTCTTCTGCCAGAAGACAAAGGAGAGATGGAAGCAAAAGAAAGTCCTTCCAGAAAAGCCCCAACTTCCTTAGTCCCAAACGCCCGTTCCTCAAGCTCTCGACCAGGAAGCGAGTCTGCACGCTTGCCTTACGGGGAAGAGGACGTGTTTAGGACAGTGACACACAGTCCTTTTCACTTGCTCAAGAGGGTCAACCTGCCAGTGAGCAGCGCCACCTCTGGGAGCACCGTGGTCTGTGCTTTGTGGTCCGCACACAAAGACAGGGCCACCACCCCAGTCAAGGACAGAGGAGGCAAAGCACATTCTCACCATCAAAACGAAACATGCTGTCACGGGAAAAAGAGCAAGGCTGCAAATGTGAGTGCCCGGAAGAGGGGGCGAGGAAAACAAGCTGGCCAGGAACCTGCACAGGGCACCACCTCACTGGGCTTGGAGCCGAGTGGCTTTCTCTGCCGATCCTGCCTGGACACGGAGCTCACAGGGTCTAGTCTGGTGCTCGCACAGCCAGCTGGAGGGGCCCGCGGCTACGCTCCATGAAACATCCTCACAGGGAACGGGGTGCACCCCCAAGTCTGCGCACTGCTGGACAGAGCCAAACAGAACTGCGACGGATGAGGAACTGCCAGAGCAGCAGCCTTACACAGCGGACGGTCTCCCTTCCAGGCAGGCAGCCCTAACGACACAAATAGGAGCCACTAAATGCAACCTAAGCCAGAGAGCTTGTCCAAACCTGCTCTGCTCCACAAGCCCCCGGGGCTCATGGACTTCACACACCTACACACACCTGAGAGAAAAGAATGAGAAACTAAGGTCACATGGGATGGAAGCACGAAAAACAAGCCAGTGGGGCAGGAGGCGATCTCTCCCATGCTCTGCGAGGCTCCTCCAAGAATGGTCGCTGGACAAGGGAAAACAGGACCCGCTGAAACAATACATAAATATGCAAAATAATGCCGTTAGCGAGGGTTCCAGACAGGAATACAGAGCCCTTGGTGCAAGCCTCCTTCTCTCCGGCTCCTGGGGCGTGGCCAGATGACACCTGCACTCACTGGAGGAGTATAACTGAGGCACATTTCCTCTGGACACAGGGCAAACACCTGAGGCCTCACCCTCTGCCCTCAGCGCCTCAAAGCTTAGAACAGGCGAGCCTCCACCTGGCACGGGACATAGGGTGGATTTCCACTTGCTGAGCACTTTAGGTATGCAGGTACACGGAGAACGGTAATTTGGGGTTTCACATTTTCACAAGTCTTTGCCCCCTTGCAACATTAAAAAAATCTAGGATTTTTAAGGTCAAAATAAATACATTTCCTCAACCGGGCTGATCAGAGACAGCCTTGCTTTACTTCCTGCTCCCCTGAAAGGATGTCTTTCAATCGCACCCCCCATTGCACGTTCCTTACGTTTTCGGTCACAGCTGAGCAGGCAAAGGGAGCAGGTCGCACGGAAGCATCCGGCACTAACAGAGTCACATGCAGAACCTCTGAAAAGCACCGTCATGATGCGGAGACGCACCCACTCCTCCCAGCCGGGGCTTCCCTACAGCCCACGGCAGGCAGGACGGCACCCTCTGTCCTCTCACCAAGGAGCTAGAGCCCGTGTGCGGCTCCGTCGTAACCGGGACAATGCCGGCAGGAGCAGGCAGGTGGGGACAGGCAGGCAGGAGGCAGCGCGAGCCGACAGTAACTACGGGCAGGAGGAGTACCTTTCTAACAGGGAGAGATTTAGCTGGACTAAAGGTCTGCTCTGTGAGCCCGAGCCCTTCGATTGTCTCCGTGCAGTCAGACAGGGGTGCATCCTGCAACAGTAAACTGAGTCAGCAGAGCCCCAGGCCCAGCCTGAAGTACCGAGCGCACAGGATGGTGCCGCTGAGAGCATGCAGCAGGGACGGCGGCGGCGCCAGGAAGGTGGTGGGGGTGGCGCTGCCACGTGCAAGCCCAGTCCCCAGGACCAGGGCCACACCTGACCAGTCAGAAGAGGCGGTGACAGTCACCTACCCTGCAGTTACGTGCGCGGTTTCAGAGGCAACTACGGACACAATTACCTTCAAGGGGCCCGGCACTGTCCCTTTACAGAAACGCGGGTCACCATGGCCACAGACAGGCACCAGGCAGCGCCCTGCGCAGGCAGCAACGTGGATGGGAATAAGCCCGCCGAACCCCGGAGCCCAGCACTTTACACGGTGTGCAGCACTCAGACCGGGCGGGCGGGTCCCCGGGCACCGTGCCACCCTCACAGGCATGCACTGCACCGAGCGCTGGAGGGGACACGCCCCGGGCATGCTCGTGCTTGGCCTACGACTCAGGGAAAAGTGCCTGTGATTGCTCATCATGAAGGTTTTTTACAGACTGCGGAAGAATAACAAGACTAATTCCCAGTTCTCACCTGGACGAGGCTTCTGTCCATCACTACACCACACAACACCTGTGACTGGGGGCCAGCCGTCTTAATGTCCTGCAGGTTCTGCTCTCGGATCTGAGGGCGGCAACAGGAGGAACACATCAGCAGCATGCCCACACCTCGCCCACTCGGTACTGCCTGGGTCTGAAGGGAGGAAGGGCCCATTCCTACGTCCTTCCCCTTCTGGTGACGTGGGCAAGTGCTCACTCACTCGAGGGCACACTCCCTACATGTCCCTCTTACCGGGGCACTGAACAGTCCAGGGTGAAGGCTGCTCACGGGCCACAAGTGCACAGCACAGGCGCACAGAGGGGCCGCAGCTGCAGTCATGGGGCAGCAGAAGTCCTCAACGCGCGCACGCGCTCTCTGCCCTGCAGCAGCCAGCACCCCGTCCACCCACTGCAGCCTCCGCCTCCCGCACACGAGTACGCACCTTGTTCCTCATCTCCTGGACCTCTTTCGGGTTTGTGTTCAATGGAACAAACAGGTTAGGGACAGCAGAGGTGGAAGTTCTATGTCCATCCTCTTTAGTCCACTGTAATATCAAGAAGAGTTAAAATGTCAGAATTGGGACGGCAACAGGTGGCACCAAGCACCCAATCTGTCCAACTGATCTCACATCTGGTCATGCACTGAGCATCACAGAGGATGAACCAATGACCATACCCTGTGCCACCGCAGCGGCTGGAGGGGGCAGGAGCATGTCCAGACCGAAACCAGGAATGGCGGAGGCCAGAGTCGTGACGACCGGCCAGAGCCACTGAGAAAGCCCCGCTGAAACGTGGGGTCTCACATGGACTGACGAGAGCTGAGCCCCTAACTCCCGCAGACTAGCCAGTGGGGCCCTTCAGAGCACATTGGTTCACCGCTCTGAGCATCGTCAACACCAAAGCCAGCGGGAAGCATGAGATGACAGGGTCATGGAAAGCAATGTGATGTGCTACCCAGAGGGAGGGAAGACTCGCATTGGAAGGCAAGAGTGGGCATCACCAAAGTGTTGCATTAAAATAAACTATAGCGTCAGAATGCACTGTTTGCATAGCTATTCCAACCCAAGAAAATCGTGGAATGAACGCTTAGGCACCTGGGGAAGATTTGGTGATGTCGAATATTTTATATAACTTCATACTCTGAGTGTTACAAAAATATCCCACAGGAGCTCGGAGCGCTGGGATCCTTACTAGAAGGCCGTCTTAGGCAGCGGGCACACTGCCAGCACCCTGCGCCTTTCACTTTTTTTTTAAATTTCCAATCAGATATGACCATTTTCATCACATTGTAATTGGGAGGATGAGGAGGCGCTGAGTGTTAAAACAAGCCCACCTCCGAGAGCAAATGTTATTCTTTTCGGGGTGTTTTCAAGAGGCACTAAGAGAGCCATAACCGTAAGACGTGGAGAAGCCACGGAGCGATGCTCAGCCACTGCGGGGGCGCGATGGGCGTGCGCTGGGAGGTACTCACTGACGGCATCTTCAGATTAAACAACGCCAGCCTTTCATTAAAGATAATTTCCATCAAAACGGGAAAACGGCAACCTCAGGAGCGTGACACTATCACTGTAAGTGAACATACCCACCTGGGCGCAGGCACGGGCGTGTCAATCCAGAACAAGAAACACATCGCAATGCTGCCCAGGGCCTCCCTCCACGCACACTGACTAACACGCCCGACTCGCTTCACACTTTTTCACGCTAAGAGTACACGTAGCTCAAAGCTGCTGCCACACACACACTTCGGGAAAACTCGGCACAGCCTCCGGCACATGTACTGACAGCAGCAGAGTCGTTCGGGCCCACTCCCCTGAACAAGCAACATCAGTAAAAACGAAACAAAGGCCACGAGAAAAGAAAAAAAGGGAGAGAGGGGCAGAGGGGAAGGAGGGGGGACCGGGGGAGAGAAGGAGAGGAGGCCGGGCTCAGCACTGGGCCTCTGCCCGTGTGGGCGGCATGTCGGCTCAGGGGCACAGAGGCTCTCACCAACTGTGCGCCAGGAAAACGTCAGCCACCTGGAGACAGGCCTCTCTTTCGACACGTCTACGAAGTAAGAGCGTTATGAGGGGAGCCGTTTGCTGCCTGGGGGCCACCGAGTCTGGGCCCGTCTCGCCTGCGCTACACACCACCGTGCAGCGGTGAGTCTGTGCCCGCTTCCGTGTGCGCGCAGGACTCCACCGCAGGAGCACGGCTGTCCCGGGCTCGGTGAGGGGCCGTGAAGACCGTCTTCACAGAGGCGGCTGAGGGCCGGGACCTGAGGGCGGCTCAGGGCTGGTGAACACGGGCGTGAAGCACGTTGGCAGCAACCCTCTGTCGCTGGTGCCCGCGGTGGCCTGCGCTGCACTGGGGTCATGCCGCCCCCGGCAGGAGTCAGAAGACTCCGCGATGGCGGTCTACTCACATGCACAGTCCATGCAGGAGGCAGCTGCTGAGAGCGTTCGGAGGCTTTGGGACAGAGCAGGGGAGGCTAACGAGGAGGACCTGGCCGGCCGAGAGCAGGCCGGGACCCAGAGGAGAAACTGCTTAAGAAAACACTCGAGACGTTAAAGAACAGTTAGTGACTTACTGAAACCACCGGCATTCACAACACTGAACAACAGGCTGTGACTGAACTGCCTTTTGGTGCGTGAAGTAGTAAGATTCCTTGAGGACAGTGTGAGCTCGCCGGCAGCTCCTGGGTTTAGGTTAATACACACGTTAGTCGGACCTTTGGCTACGGACGCACTAGGTAAAGAGGCAGTCGCTGGGGGGGTCAGTATCTTAAGCAGTTTCGAGCAGATAGTAGCACTGGTTCAGATACAGAAGGTGAAAGGGAAGGCTCGCCTTCAGTCAGGGTCGCAGGGCTGGTTCCCAAAGCCTCCGAAGCCCCAGCTGCCCCACTTGCTCTACATCATCTAACTAGGAACAGTAAGGTAGGCACAGACCAAGCAGTTGGTAATACAGCTTGGCACGCAGACACCGGACGAGAGAGACTGCAGCAAGGGTTTCACGTGATCGTGTGTAATGTTCGTCCACACCTTAGTCTTCGACTTGGGGCTGCTTCCATTCTGCCCTTCCTCAGAGGCATCGTCACCCCGGCCAGAGTTCAGCCATCTTGTCTTCTCTCGTTGCTGCTTCTGAAAACTGTGTCTGAGAGGAGAGCAAGTGCCCGAATCACCGTCACTAGCAAAGGAGTAGCCTGTGACGCTAGCGGGAGCCTCCACGTCGCTGTATTTCTTAGACTTCTCTCTCAGAGCCGGGTATCGGTAAGGGTAGCCAGTTCTGTAACCCTAGAGACCAAGAGAGTGAAAGACAGTCACTAGTCCACGTCTCAACACAGAGCTCCTCAGGGAACGCTGTGTGGGATCCCCCAGAGGCTGCACGCAGGCAACCTCCAACTCAACGACTGCACCCCAAGTACAAGCCCAACCTAAAGGTGAAGACGTTCACCAAAACAAAGGCCCTGCAAGCCAGCAGCAGCCCCACTGCTAACAGCCCCCACTGGAACCAACCAGAAGTCCGTCGGCAGGGGCGTGAGGCATGCCACCATGGACTGGGAAGCGGCACGAGAAGAACTCTGCCCCAGTGAACCTGAGGATGGTGCCGAGTGAGACACCAACGGGAAAGGGGGTGCTGCCTAATCCCATTATGAGGCTGGATGGTGTCACCCTTGGGCGGAGTAAGTGGCTCTCAGAGGGGACGGGCCTTCTGAGGTGCTGGTGCTGGTTTCTGATTGGGTGTTGATTCCACCCAGTTTTTTAAACTAATAAACTGAATACTTAAATAGGTATACTCTCCTGTTTACTGTATTTCAATAAGTTTAAAATTTTTAAAAACCTGGCTTACTTGCTGTTGGCGACAATACAGACTTTACTCATCAACCTACCGAATGCTGAGGTCACAGTTTAGACGCCATGATAAACTCCAGGGAGGACCAAACAAGCAAGCCTCGTGGCAACTGGTTCTGACAAGATGACTGTCCCACTGACACTAACTTCACATTCAGTTCAACCCTGACTCTGCCTCGTAGCCATTCAATCTGCTCTGCCGCCCGCCCCGCCCCCCCACCCCCCCCCCACCCCCCCGCCCCCGTGCAGGACCAGCCTATTTGCTGGTCCCACAGGCAGCATCCCCAAGGCAAGGGTGGGTATCAGCCCTCCTGTCTGTGCGTAGCTTGGTGATGCGCATGGCCCGCCTCCTGAAGTGCCCTCCCTGCTGCACTGTGGACGGGCCCTGTGCCTGGCTCCTCACCAGTGGAACTGGCAGTGACAGGATGCGGTAGATGAGTGTGGTGCCCATCCTGAGTCTCTGTGCACTACGGTCTGAGGAAGCAGGCTGCCATGGCCACTACAGATGGAAGAAAATGGACTCTGACCACCACCTGAGAGCCTGGTAGTGAGGCCTCCCCACTCTGAGCCTGCCAAGAACCCGGCCCAGCTGACCCCGACTGCTGGCAGCCTGTGAGCTCAGCTGCCCCTGCACTGTGGACCCACAGCCTCGCATCTGGACCAAGTCCTTCCCGGCCGCTTCACGGGGAGCCAGAGGTTGGGGCTGCAAGGAGTGCAGGGCGGTCACGAGGCGGGCCGGCGCCACTGGCCGATACGCCAGAAACATGCACTTCCTCAGTCCGGGGATTCCCCTCCCTGTGGGTGCTGCTTCCCTGTGCGGGGCCACCTTCATGACCAACCATCCTTTAACACGTTAAGGAAAGGACGGCAGTAGTCCCTGCGCTGCTGCTGCCTCCTCCTCAGTCCTTGGGAAGAGGCGATGCTGCCATTTCCCGCTCGGAGATGCTCACACTCGGCCGAGGCTAACACGATGACTCAGCCAGGAAGACTGTCCTCGGAAAACACCGGCTTACTCATCACACGTCCTCTTGCTCGGACGGCCAGGACGGAGGCATCTCCAGGCCTCAGGATAGACCACCGGGCCTCCACACAATTCTACCCTCCCAGCGTGTGGGTTTGGTCTGTATTCTTCCCTTTAAATGCCGTGAAACCAAAATTAGAGGCAATACACAGACCTCAGACCTATTATATGGCTAAGTTAAAAATATGGATTCCTGCCTGGCTGGTGTGGCTCAGTGACTGAGTATTGACCCACGCACCAGGAGGTCACCAGTTCGATTCCCAGTCAGGACACATGCCTGGGTTGTGGGCTCCATCCCTAGTCGGGGGCGTGCAGAAGCAGCTGATCGATGTTGATGCTTCTCCCTCATCGATGTTTCTACCTCTCTCCCTAAAGTCAATAAAAACATTTAAGAAGAAAAAAATGGATTCCTTTCTTCCTTGAGAAACTGGCACTGTATCTTGCTTTTGTGGGATTTAGCATTTCTTCTGTGTGTGCTGAAATGGACTCTCACAGTGTGAGGCTCTCTAACCTATTCAATGACTAGCAAACATATGACTGATGAGGACGCTAACTGAATCCTGGACTGTGATCAGTGGTCACTGTCCAGTTTATTTCTTATAAAGCACGGGGCCTGCTACTATCAGAAACAGTCACAGATCCGCCCATAAGAAGGCACTGAAAGCCTTGCGGTGCTGAATGGTCCACAGCTCAGCCTCTCATCCTCTAGCTTCCTCCCCTATCAAATCAGAGTTACTGCCCAATTTAGATTTTCTTCTCCATTTTCCAGAATGTACTGAGTGCACAAGATGGGTGGCTGCTGTTCTTCATTCTTGTCCTCTCTCCTGTTCTCTACTTACTTTTAGGCACAAACGAGTGAAACGTCCAAGTGTTTGCCAGGAGGAGAGAAGGGCTATAGGACTGGGCCACCGCTGCCCCGCGCTCAAGCCCTCTCCAGCTGCCTTTCCTGAGGCTGCACACCCCTGGTCTGCCGCCTGACTCCAACGTCCTTCCATCTCCTCGGTGAGCGGTTCCCTGTCCTGCTTCCCTGACCAACCCTGGCCCATGAGTCTCTGCCTGCAGCTCTCGGCGTGCTGCCAGGACGCAGAGCGCAGTGCTGGGCTGCATCTCCCTGACTAGGCCAAGAGCCATGTCCTGTTCATGGCTACAGGCTCAAGAGCAGATGGTCAGTTAGTGCAAACCATCTTCACCGAGCACTGAATTCAGAAGTTAAGGAAGACTCTGCCCACTGCTCCCTCACTGACCAAACCCACTCTTGTGGACACAGCCCCTGGGCACACCCTGAATCAGATCCATGAATTCTTTGTTTTCCACAATCTTCAGGAAAGGTAACCCTCTTGCAGCCACCCGTCCCATGTGCGGCCTCTTCCAAAGGTCAGACCGTCTTAAGTGAGGCTGGACGGTGTCCCAGTGGGGCTGGGACACACCCACACAAGGACTGCAGCCCTTCCCAGCATCCCTTGTCCCACACGGCAGGACAGGTCCTCACGCCTACCAGTAGGAAGGGCATCTGAGAGGTGACAGCGCAGCATGAAAGGGCCCCTCACAGAGCCATCTGCCTTACAATGTGGCGGCTCCGACCCTACAGACTTGTTCTGAGTAATTAAAGACCATGTCAAAGGCAGAGGCGGACCTGGAGGCACGTTCCCATCCCCACCGCTCTCTTCAGTGCTGCTGCAGCCTCTGCTGTGATGCCCACCTTCGCCCAGCTCAGCCTGTCGCGTTTCTACCTGTCCTATGAGGTCATTTCCAAGTGCCATCTTCTACCTAAAGTGTTCTCCCTGATCTGTGAAAAAGGATGAAGGCCTTCACTGAAACCCCACATACTAGTGGACCACATCCTGCCATGTCCACGCAGAACCCCTATCACACCAGAGCACCCCCCATCCCCGCCCCATTGTGTCTGGGCTCAGGCCCCTGCAGTCAGGGCGAGGCACACAGGGAATCAGCAGCAAATGTCTGTGGAACAGTAATTGGCCTCCAAACACCTAGAACTTCCTGTTAACACCAACAACAAAAATCCTTGCCGGCTGCTTTCAAAGCCCCCTGCAGCGCGTGAGTGTGGGAGGAAGGCGCTGAGCCACCCTCCGCCCAGAGCTGGTTACCCAGCGGCCTGCAGTAGAGCAGGGCGAGTCCGTGCTTCTGTCCCCACAGGGCCCCAACAAGATTATCTTTAAAAAACAAAGAAGTTCTCACTCTACTTTATGGTGATTTAGCTTAGAAGTGCTGCTGGGTGATTCTTCAGGAGCAAGTGCTCAGATGCTGCATGAGGACAGCAACTCCACAACACTACCTCACTGGTGCCCAATCACCCACACACCTGAGCTTTAGAAGGACACCATTATCACGCAGTGGTAGCCACGTCCTTACCAGGTTATCAAGCATCCGCATGAGGGCTTCAAACTCCTGCTCACCGATCAGCCACTTGGGAGGCGAGGCGGTGCTCTCCCCTGACGGGGCCCCCAGGGAACGGGATTTGGCTTTGTACTTCCCCGGATCCAGGAGGACTAAGTTGTCTGGCCCTCCTGCACTGGCCAGAGTTCGAACCTTTTCAAAACAAGCAAACATTACAGTCTGAGCTCCTTACTGAGAGCACAGGTGACTGTGGGAAATCACGTACACAGAGATGTCAAACCCCTAAGTGTAAGCATGAGAAATGTAGAATGGACAGTGATAGACTAATCACAAGGTTATGTTCAGCCCTGGCCAGGTAGCTCAGTAGGTTAGAGCATCACCTCGATACACCAAGGTGGTGGGTTCTATTCCCAGTCAGGGCACATACAAGAATCAGCCAACATGCCGAAACCGGTTTGGCTCAGTGGATAGAGCGTCGGCCTGCGGACTGAAAGGTCCCAGGTTCGATTCCGGTCAAGGGCATGTGCCTGGGTTGCGGGCACATCCCCAGTGGGAGATGTGCAGGAGGCAACTGATCGATGTTTCTCTCTCATCGATGTTTCTAACTCTCTATCTCTCTCCCTTCCTCTCTGTGAAAAATCAATAAAATATATTTAAAAAAATAAAAAAAGAATCAGCCAACGAATACATAGGTAGAACAACAAGTCCATCTCTCTCTCTCTCTATCAATCAATCAATAAATATTTTAAATGAATACATAAACCCATAATAAATTTTTAAAAACAAGGTTATTTTCAGAAGTTTTTCTTTAGCCTGACAAAAACACTGGGCCCACCTACTTGGGGGAGAAATGTAAACTACTTCTCAAGAGCGTAAGAAGCAGAACGGGGAGGAAGGCATGGCTGCACAGGCGCAGGTCAGGAGAACAAACCCGGGGCTGGGCAGCACTTGCCACCAAGTGGCTTAAGTGGCACTTACGGCCGTGAGACTATGGCAAGTTTCTAGCTCTCTGCACCTGTTTTTTCAGAAGGAATGCCACGAAGGTCAAATGAACCCCATGTAATGACATATGTAACGCACCTGATACAGGGGTTGGCACACACTGTATCCACAGTACTCCATAAATAAAAACTACCATTTGCCAAACTAAATCAGTGAAATGGCATCTGCCCTGTTCGATTTCCAAATCCATGAGCTCAGAGTTGGCAGAGACTGCTCCAAGACTCCCCCTGCCAACCAGCATCAGAGGTTCTGGGAACCTGCAAACCCGAGACCCCCGCAGACGGCACGCAGCACCGACCTGGATCTCACATGCAACCACGAGGTTGTGGATGTAGTAGAAGGCCTCCTCGACGCTCTCTCCGACGGACACCAGCCCGTGGTTCCGGAGAATGAGGACCTGAGGGGAACACGAGAGCTCCATGGAGCTAAAGACACTGATGCTTTCTCTCTCTCCTCTTCCCTCCATAATTTAAAGGCCAGGTTACATGCCTACTGACCTTGCTTTTAGGACCCAAATTTTTCTGGATTAAAACCTTTTCCTCTTCATCAACCAAAATCCCATGGTAATCATGATAAGCCACCTCTCCAAGGGAAAGTGCCTCCGGGGAGATGGGCAAGAGCCCACATTTCATCGCAGAGACCTGGAGAACAAGCAGTCACACTGAGCGAAAGCCTCGCTGACTGATGACAGGGTAAGTCTTTCCTCGAAGAAATACAAAAGTGGAACAGAGTTAACTTTGTTCTCTTCTCAGAAATAAATGAACCCATGAGCTTAAAAAAATTACTCTGGGGCTTAGTGCAATGCACAGTTAGAAATGCAGACTCTCACTCAGCTGGGAGAGCCCAAGAGGAAGCCCACATCTTTCTGGATTTCTCCACACTGATGCTAATGCTCTGTGAGCTCAGACTGGATGACAAGGGAGCCCAGGATCTGTGAGGACAGGCAACGGCCTCCTCTGAATGCACCAGAGAGCATGGCAAGTGCTCTACGGCTGTGTGCACAGGTTAGACTGCAGGTGGGACCAAAACACCTGAAAATCAGATCAAAGCAAATTTGTAAAAGTTGAGGATAATTATACTGTACAATTTCTTTTACATTTATTCAGGTAAAAAACAACAACATCTAAACCCTGCAGGTGTTGCCCTGCAGGTGTTGCTCAGTGATTGAGCATCAACCTATGAATCAGGAGGTGGTTGTTCAATTCCTGGTTAGCACATGGCTGGGTTGTGGGCTCAATGCCCAGCAGGGGGCGTGCAGGAGGCAGCTGATCAATGATTCTCTCTCATCATTGATGTTTCTATCTCTCCCTCTCCCTTCCTCTCTAAAATCAATAAAAATATATAAAAAGACAATACCACAAAAAAGGCAATATAATATTTAATTCCTTTCACAGTATCAGCTTTAAGAAATTTCCTTACCTACAAGAAGAAATTTCCTTACAAAGTAAACTTTTGATAGTTTTTGAAACAAATTACATGCTAGCTGCTTATAGCCATATTCTCAAAGATACCTCTCCGATGGTTCTTAGGTTTTAAGAAAAAATCACATCCTTCAGAGAATGCGATACTTAATAAAACTGATGTTGACATCAAGAACCACATATTCGAAGTAAAATAAACCAGGTCACTCACTCACCTAAACAAACCAACATGCATGACATTAAAACATCAAGAGATTAAAAATCAAGCCCTAGCCAGTCTGGCTCAGCATCAGCCCTCGGACTGAAGGGTCCCAGGTTCGGTTCTGGTCAAGGGCATGGACCTCAGTTGCAGGCTGGATCCTCCTGCGCCAAGGGGGAGGAGGGGGGAGGAAGGGGCGTGCAGGAGGCAACTAATCGATATTTCTCTCTCTGCGTCTCTCCCCCTCCCTTCCACTCTCTCTAAAAATCAATGGAAAAATATCCTCAGGTGAGGATGAACAAAAATAAAAAATAAATTTAAAAAAGATATTAAAATTCAGCATTATTGAATCAATCAGATCATCTATTGTACAAACAGGCCCATGAAGTCACTAAAGTATGAGACTGGTGATAAAAAGCCAATTCTAGACAGTGTTTCGTTTTCACATGACTGTCCCTGCAACTGGAATGCTCATTTTCAATCCGAGAGGCCTGGGCTTTGTCAGGGTAACCCGTGCACACAGCAGGATGCAGCTGGGTGATGGGCTGGGCAGGCCTCTGGGGGGCTGTGGGCTTGGAGGCCTACTCTCCACAGCCGGCACTACTGTGCCCTCCTGCCCCAAATGCCTGCCTTCTTCTGACTTCCCCAGTCATGATGCAGCCTGGGTTCCGGGGGCTCCTCCCCAACAGCCCATCAGCACCCTCCAGGCCCTCGAGTCCCACTAACCCTTTCCTGAGCCCACAGCACCCTTACTTACCACCCATCCTGCCTTCCCTCTTCTCAAAGGCTCTGTAAGTTCACTGCTGTCCTGCACTTCCCAGCAGTGTTCAGCACACTGACACCTGACCTCCACTGCCAACACGCTCTAACTCTCTAATATGGAAGTCTAATGGGCATTTCAGACCCCTTAAAAGAAAAAAGTATTTTAAGAAAGTCAAACTTAGTGAGTAAAAAAATATTTTAATCCAACTAAGTTAGGTCTAAGGACTTATTTGCAACAAGAGGCACTTCCAGGGAAATGTGCAGAGCCTCTCACTGAACAACTACAAGCTGCAGGGGGAGTGCGAGGCCACTCACCGCGGCCCCTGCCGGCGTGTGAATATGGACCACACACTTCACGTCCGGCCGCGCAGCGTAGATCGCCGAGTGCAGCGTGAAGCCAGCCTGATTGACTCCTAGGTTAGTGCTTCCACGGTCTACAACATCTCCTTGCAGATTGATTTTCACCTGAAGATGAGGAAACAAAAATTATCAATGTCAAAAGGACTTCCAATTACCCTAACTAAAAATTATTTAAACCAAATGTTAGTGTTTATAACTACTTTTAAAGGTTTTTCTTTGAGTTAATCACGCAAAACACTAGTTTCTCTTCTTCCTTAGGTTTTCTGTGTCTAACAGGATTAGAAGGGGTTTATAATTCAGTAACATGACCTACACAGTCAGGACGCCCGAGAGAGAAAGGACATTCTTACCAAACTGGATGCAGTCACTTCACTGTAGAGAAGCCCAAAAGGTACAATGAGGAAGTGTTCCTGCTCGGAGCTCACTCTGGTCTGTGGGGACATGACAGGGTTAGAGCAAAAGTCAACTGAAATGACTTGTATCTCTTCGAGGCCACAAACTCACAGGCTTAGCGAACATCTACACAATGTAGAGCTGTTACTGCAGTCATGTGCCACGTACATGAAGTGCCGCTTGGTCACATTCGTGGTAACTGACCAATGGCATGCACAAAGACGGTCACTCCTCAGGTAATGATAATGAAAACCAAAGCTCACTTTCTAAAAGTCAAACAGATTTGTCTTTAGAACGCAAAACCTGCAGGACAACAATCACAAAACCGCACGTAGGAGAGCGCTGCACTGCTGCCTGAGCATGCTCAGAGCCCCTGTTGGTGTACAACATTCCCTCAGATCGGTGTTGGATGACTGAGCCATTTCCCACCTACTGTTTGACTCTAAAAATGTTTCATTATTGTCCTACCTGGCTTGGCTCAGTGGATAGAGCATCGGCCTGTTAACTGAAAGGTACCAGGTTTGATTCTGGTCAAGAGCACGTACCTCGGTTGCAGGCTCCTCGCCGGCCTAGGCCCTGACTGGGACACGTGCAGGAGGCAACAAATCAATGTGTTTCTCTCACATCGATATTTCTCTCTGTCTTTCCCTCTCTCTTCTACTCTCTCTAAAAGTCAATGGAAAAATATCCTCGAATGAGGATTAAAATAAAAAAGAGAGAGAAAAACAAATTAAAATTAAAAAAATATATATATATTATTATAGACAAGGCTATAGTAAATATATTTGTGTATCGTGTTTTCTTCTTTCACTTAGCTCCTTAACATTATTTCTAAGAGTGTGCTTAACAGATCTACATATTTTAGTGGGAAAATCTTATAATATACAATTTTCTGAGTCTGAAGCAAAGAGAAAGTGCTAAATACAGATGCAGAGTAACAATGGGAAAAGAACATTTCAGTCACTTTTCTGGTCCCCGGTGGACAAGGGCCGGCTTTCCTGCATGTCCTCCCACACGACGAATGCCCCTTCTGTGTACAAGGAACAAGCTCTAAGGTCACACATCTTCAGGTCACTCACTGGAAATCAGTATCTCTGGCAAAGACAGGCATTCCGCCCCAGAAGCACAGTGCCCTGGTCACAAAGTGGGCTCCACACCATCTTGGAGCTGAGCCAAGATGAATTAAGGGATGGAAAAACCCTGCATCAGCCAACTGCCACCAAGAGAGGAAACCCAGCCCATATGCCAATTGGGCCACCCTGTCTCTTGACACCAACGCTTCTTTAAATCCAATTCGATCTTAAAACAGATCTAACCCTCTAACACCTGTTAGCATTTCTCAGTCTCTTTAGCAGAAAATCCCATGGTACTTGTTCAAAGAAAGGGCACAATGACCTGTTAGCACCTTTGATTACACTGATAAATACTGCTAATAGTTCTTTTCTGTTAAGTGTCTATATGAAAAAACCTAGATTGTAACAAAAAAGGATGCCATAAATAATTTAAAAACACAAACTTTCCTCCTCAAAGATTCTCTAGTTGACAAGATAAAGGAAATGTTCTGGTAACTTCAATTTAATTTTTACTCAGTATTTAGTCCCAAAGTCCCAAATAATTAAGGGGGGAGGGGAGACACAAGCAATTGAAACAATTCAACCTTCTTTACATAGCATTCATAACAAGACTAGTGATAAACATTTTTAAACTTCCAAAGAATGAGACGATGTTATTTTTTTTTTTAAATATATTTTATTGATTTTTTACAGAGAGGAAGGGAGAGGGATAGAGAGTTAGAAACATCGATGAGAGAGAAACATCGATCAGCTGCCTCCTGCACACCCCCTACTGGAGATGTGCCCGCAACCAAGGTACATGCCCTTGACCGGAATCGAACCCGGGACCCTTGAATCTGCAGGCCGACGCTCTATCCACTGAGCCAAACCGGTTAGGGCAAGACGATGTTATTAAAGCTAAGGATTACATTTCCTCTTATAGCTGTACCATTTCACATTACATCTCTACACGATGCCAGCCACTGTCACGCAGACACAGGAACAGAGCTGGCAGCTGTGGAGGGCTAACTGGACACACTGACCAACCATCAAAAGGCCCATGGAGTTCTGTGGGACAGTCTAACTGGGATAGACTTTCAGCTCAGCTGGGGGTTTCACGCAGTCATTCATCAGAGAGTTCGTGTGCGTCTACTCGGTGCCCAGCACAATTCCTGCCCCAGGGCACACACAGCACAAGACACACAGGGACTCCCTTCAAGAGGCTCATACAGACCGAGGGCAGGTGTGGACGACGGACACAAATGTAAAGTATGGCTGAGGTCACTGCTACGGGGAGAAACGAAGAGGACGAGTTGGGAGGGGTGACATTCTACAAACATGACAGTGTGGACACGACAGGGTCAGGTTTGCATTTGGAAAGTTCACTTTAGGGCCACATGGAGAACAGGCGGGAGGGTAATTGGTATCTCTGGCAAAGACCCATATCCCATCCCCGAAGCGCAGTGCACTGGTGACAAAGGTGGGCTCCAGGCCACCACCTCCAAGATTCAGCGTTCCTTAAGTCCAGATTGGAGCTGAACTAAACACCACAGGTCCAGTCCACATGTAAAAAACATCTCCGTGTGTGTGTGTGTGTGTGTGTGTGTGTGTGCGCGCGCGCGTGTTGAGTAGGAAAAAAGGGCAAAACAATCTAAATGGCTGCTAACACTGTTGTCTCAGGGGAGAGGAGAGTAGTGGCAGTTACAACTCTTCTTTAGACATCTGTGTAAGGAACACTTGTTAGTATAAGCAGGAACTGTATTAGTAATTTAAAATATCCAATAAAAAAATAAATGAAAAAACGAAGATTGGAACAAGTTTAAAAATCAAAGGAAGGAAACAATTAAAGAGGCTACCTCCACAGAAGAGAAAAACAACAAACCAACCCCCGACAGTGCACTGGGAAGCGAACGCGGCAAGAAGGGAATGCAATTCCAAGGCAGGCGGTTGTGTCTGGGCAGAGACAGAGACTCTGAAGCAGGGGTGAGGAGTAGAGAGTGGGTTCAGCAAGGAGTTCCCATCTTCTCTGTGACACCACAGGGTCACCTGCTGGGTGAAGGAGGTCAGGAATTTCAGAGAGGAAAGCACAGGAAACGTAAGTGAGCTTATGAGAGATGGCCGCCTACAGCTGCCAGGCAGTGGGGGGTCCCCTGGAGACGCGGTTGCAAATGTATGGAGATGGCCAGGGGCTCTGCTGTGAAGCTCTCTGCAGGCAGACCTGGCTGCTCAGGTCCAGGGAGGGAGAGGACGGTGTTGACAAAGGGCTCCTGAAACGATGGACCCTGAACCCCTGCTTGACAGCACGGGGAGCAAATATGGGCAGACGGACTGGCTGTAGAAGGGAAGACCCACAGAGGCAGGGCTTGTTTCATTCAGTGATGGAACCCAAAGTGAGAACAACGCTTCGGACAGAACAGTAAATGCTTACAGCAGACGCCCAGTAAATAATGATTGTCAGAATGAAGTGAAGAAAATAAAGGTCCTGATAATGTCGAAAAATGGCTAAAACTAGAGTAGCTAAATTAGTAAAATAAGAGATGGGAAGAAAATAGCTCCAGTCTTAGGTTTTTAAGCATAAAAAGATTTTTAAAACTGCCTGCATTTGGCAAACACTCATTTATGAAGTCAGCACGCCAAGAGAGGAGTTCTAAAGAATCACTGTTCTCATCATTTTCATTCAAACTGGCGAGTCCTCAGATTACTGGCTCTGCCATCAGGACCAGAGGAAGCTCTTCCAAGCTTTACTTGAGCTCAGTGGCTCCCCCTCCTCCCAAACAGAAGAGGTGGGAGCAGACCCACGCCAGTCATTCACCAGCCAGTGACTATCTCCCCCAGTACTCACGGTGATATGATTGTAGATCAGCTGAGACCACCCGAAGAGATCGGCCAGTCTGTAAAATGCCGCCAGCTTACATCGCAGTAACTTCTCCCCTTTGTCATAGGCAATAGAATCAGATCCTCTAAGGTCGTTCACAGGAGTTACCATACCAAGACCTGAAATAAAGAAATACGAAGTGCAAAGATTTAATATGTCTTACCAAAAGGAAATCAAATAATAACAGTTCCGAGATGTTAATCTTCCATACTACACCATGAGGTCAGTCTCAAAAACTCAAAGACAATTTCATAAAGACCGTATTCCCCAACATTAATACAATCAAGTTGAAATCAATTAACAAAAAGGTAGCAAAATAGGTAGGATGCAATAAAGCAAAGCTCAGAAGGAAAGTTATAGTATTAAACATTTATTTTTAAAAACGGGTTTTTTTAATAATCTAGGTTTCTACCTTATGAAACTAGAAAGAGTAAATTAAATCCAAGATGAAAAGAAAATAGGAATAATAAAAGTAAAAGCAGATCTCAAACAGAAAAATAATAGAGTAAATCATTGTCTTGAGATTAAAAATGAAATAAAATAATGAAAACAAAATAAAATACGCCTCCAGGCTCATCAACAAAACACAGCCACGATATCAATTACCAGTGTAAGGAAGTGGAGAGGGGCCATCACTACACATCTTTCAGACACTGAAAGAATAAAGGCCCTGGTTGGTGTGGTTCCGTTGGATGGGTGTCGTTCGGTGAACCAAAGGGTTACCGGTTGATTTCCAATCGAGGCGCATGCCTGGGTTTCAGGCTCAATCTCCAGCAGGGGCGTGTAGGAGGCAGCCGATTGATGTTTCTCCCTCATCAATGTTTCTATCTCTATTTCCCTCTCCCTTCCTTTTTCTAAAATCAAAAACATTTTTAAAAAATAAAAGTAAAAAAGGATAAAGGGGTAATATGAACAACTATGCTTGCAAATTTTTTAACTTAGATAAAATAGACAAATTGCTTACGAGACACAAGCTACCAAAGCTCACTCAGTAAGAAACAGATATTCTGAGTAGCCCTATTTCCAGGCCAAATGACTTCACTGTGAATTCTATCACACGTTTAAGAAATAATAATACTAGTTCTACACAAACTCTTCCAGAGCACTTTCCAACTGATTCTGCCTGGCCCAGCATTACCTTGACACCAAACACATCCCTACAGACAACGAAAGCACACAAGAAGACACGTCCACAAAACAGGTGTAAATGATAACCTATTATTTCATAACAAGGTAGAGAAAGGCATTAATAACGAAAGTGAAAAAAACAACATTTAATACAATTAGGAAAATAAATAAAATAATAATTTTTAAAATAATTTGCTAAACAAAAAGTTGGAGAAAAATTAAAAATAATTTTTTTTAAATCAAGGAAATGAAAGGGATAAAAAGGATTTGAGGAAAAGGACAATTATAAAAGACAAACCAAGAAAATCCACTATGCACATAACAAAAGCAAAGCAACAAAATACATACTAAACACCAATTCAAGAAAATATAGCTAAAATAGTGCTGGCCAGTATAGCTCAGAGATTAGAGCATCAGCCCTTGCACTGAAGGGTCATGGATTCGATTCCTGGTCAAGGGCAAGTACCTGGGTTCAGGTCTGACCCCTGTTTCAGCCAGGGCTTGTGCAGGAGGTAACCAATCCTGTGGGTTGTGGGCTCGATCCCCAGCAGGGGGCATGCAGGAGGCAGCTGATCGCTGTGGATGAATTGATGTTTCTCTTTCCCTCTCCCACCCCCTCTCTCTAAAAATCAATAAAAACAGCCCTACCCAGTTTGGCTCGGTGGACAGAGCATCGGCCTGCGGACTGAGAGGTCCCAGGTTCGATTCCGGTCAAGGGCACATGCCCGAGTTGCGACTCGATCTCCAGTGGGGGGGTATTTGGGGGGGCAGCCAATTAATGATGCTCTCTCATCGTTTATGTTTCTATCTCTTTCTCCCTCTTCCTTCCTCTCTTAAATCAATAAAAATATTTTTTAAATAAATAAATAAAAATCAATAAAAACATATTTTTTTAAAAAGAGGTTAATAGTGAAGAGGGTGGCTGACTGGTAAATCTCTGTTTATACCTATGTTGTGGTTATAAAGGTGTTCATCTTAAAGTCATGTGTGAGTTATACATCATTTGTTCTATGCCATCTATATATGTTATACTTTACAAAAACGGTTAAAATTTGTTTCTAAGTTTAGATTTTTTTCTCCCTTTCTTTTTGTGGTATGACATTCTCAAAATAAAATTTCCTTTACCTCTGATTAGAAGACAATATGCAAGTAACTATGTAACATTATTCTTTTCTTATTGAATTCATATGAAATGTCACTGGACTCCATTAAGAATCCCTATGAAAACCTTACTTAATACTATTTGACCTCAAGAGGGAGGTTTGAGTTAGTAAATTAAATGTCTCTAGAAATTAGTGAGCTATGACTCTGGTGAATGTCAGTCCACCTCTAAGAACACCATGGAACAGACAGGTAACAGCAAATGCCAGGCGACCTAACGGAAACCAAGCCCTGGTGCTGGTCACTCAGAAGCAGACCATCCACGGACCCACCAGAGCCTGGCCCAGGCCCAGTACACAGGGGTCACATCAGCTGATGCTCCAGTGACCCTGGGCTCCACCTTTGACAACTAATCATTCTTTGCTCACATTCTCACATGTACCCAATAAATCCAACATTTTCCCTCTGGCTTTCTGTTGGAATTCTTCTGTTTCTCACTTATTTGCAAGCAGCAGTGAGGAATGGTGGGTAAGAAACGTTGGCCTGACTGAAATGAGTTCAGGCAAAATCAATGTGCTACCTACAACCATTATTTCTGCTCAGTTTAATTCACACAGGGTCTGAAAAGCCACATAAAAAATCATGTGGCCCAGCTGGTGTGGGTCACTGGTTAAGTGTTGATCTATGAACCAGGAGGTTACTGTTCGATTCCCGGTCAGGGCACATGCCCAGGTTGCAGGCTCGATCCCCAGTAGGGGGCGTACAAGAGACAGTCAGTCAATGATTCTCTCTCATCATTGATGTTTCCATCTCTCTCCCTCTCCCTTCCTCTCTGAAATCTATCTATCAATCTATGTATATATAAAAGTCACCTGCCTGAAAAATAAGTCTCACTGGCTCATAAAAGAGGGAGCCCTCTACATTCAAGACATTTTCAGGCTTATAGCCTATTTTTTACTAAAACACATTAATTTTCAAAAAACTCGATTCTATATATTACATGTATTTCAGGAAATTTTTCCTGGGAAATGACAGCACGTACAGTCAGGAGGTACTCACTCATGTTCAAGGCAGCCATTCCTCCTTGGGGGGCCGCCGGGTAGACACTCGGAGCGTTTGTGGTCATAAAGTCTGCAATCTGCTGTAACGCCAGCAGGCCGGTGGGGTTTTTCCCCTTCTTAAACTGTTCCTGTATCATTGACTCCAACTCTTCACAGAAAGCCTAGGAAACGGTAAATTCCAACAGTGAGACACCATTTCCTTTGTGTTTCTGGACAAGGCAAGGGTAACTTTCACGCAGACTGAGTTGCTGTTTGTTTTCATCCAGTCCTAGGGAGGTGGGTGGACACTCTCATATATAACTACTTGAAGCACAAATTGGTACATTCTTTCTGGAAGGAATTTAACAATATAAAAGCTTAAACATTCGGGCAGGCATCCTATTCCCAGGAGTCCTTTCTAAGGAAAACCTAGGGATGTGCTCAAGGTTTATCTGTAAGGATGTTCACCGCAGCAGGACTGACAGAAGGCAAAACAGGTGCGTCCACAGGTGAAAGTGCAGAAGAATAATGAGATGCACGGCCCCACCTCACCAGCAGCCGCCAGCCTTTCGGACCTCACGGACCACAGCTGGCAACTGCTGCACCTGACAATGGAATGCTATGCACTTTCAACATGAAAGACCAAGTAAATGGCATAAATGTACTCTTGACATATATTTGAGTTAAAAGGTTATAAAGCAACACAACCAGTTCGTTTAAGAGCAGATGCATATGGAAACGGAGAAAGACTAAAATACATCAAAATGCTCACTGTAATTCTGTGACAGAATCACTAATACATCAAAATGCTCACTGTAATTCTGTGACAGAATCACTACTAATTTTCATGTTCTACTTTACGCTTCGCAGTATTTTCTTCATAATACAGTTTTTAAATTACTTTAAAGTTAAAAAAGAAACCCTAATATATTCACCCTTCATAAATAATCCTAAATTAGGCAGAAAGGTTAATAAGTTGGGTTGATGGAAATTTTAACATGAAGTCACTACTGAAATACACATAATTTATAATTTCCTCAAAAATTATTAAAATAATTTTCACATATCCTATAAAGAAATAAATATTGTCAAATAATTATAAATAATATTTAATGTGAAAGTGTGAGTTCACTGATTATCCAGACCAGAGTATAAGCACTCCAAGGGCTGCTGTATGGCTGGTTCTATGTTAACCTTACTTCTAGTCTCTCACTGCTTGAGCTGAAAAGATAGATTGCAAAGGGACAGACTAAGTACACCTGTCACTTGAGGGAAGCAAACAAAAGCAAATGCAGTGGCATTAATTCAATGGCATAAAAGAATGCCAAGAGTCAGGAGCCCCTGCCTACCACACCATGCTACCTAATGCCATCCATCATACTCTGTGGTAGTCGAGGGAGGGAAAAGCTGGTAGGGCCTTGGACTGCAAGGAAAAATGTATCACTGACACATGGTTCTGGGGCCACCTTTGATGGCAATGCAGACTGCAAGGATACAGATAGACATGCACAGCTGTAGGTAAAGAGAGACACAGACAGATGCCCTACTAAACCTCACCGAGTGTGCTGGGCACAGGGCATACAAAAGCTCAGTTCAACAGCTCCCTGCCCTCATGGGCCCTCAATCTGAAAAACCAATCTATTTCCATGGTTTTCGAATCCATATACAGCTCTAAGGGAAGCTCAATTCAACATACACTACAACACGTGCCCCACACACTACACTCTGCACTAGTCCTCTCTCTGCTCCAGGATCCCATGCTGCCCTTAAGACGGGACTGTAAAGGGACTTGGCTGTCTGCACAGTGCCTGACATACGAGGTGCTGGAAGTCTATTTTCTCCACCCTATCCATAGTGATTTGTTGCTTTTATGTAGGAAAACTGTTCAAGCCAAAAGTCTAGATGTTAAACTGATTCTTTTTTTCTTCTCATATCTTCCTCTTATTTATCCCACATTCAAAATAAGACTCAGATGAGCCTACCCTCTCCACCTCTACAGCAGCGCCCTGACCCAAGCCACCGTCACCTCTTGCCTGGAAGACGGCTTTCTCCCTTGCCCCAAAGGATGCTTCCTTCTCTACCCCGAAAGCAGACTGAGTTTTGTAGAACTGAATCGTGTTCTTTCCTGTCTGCAGCCCTCCAGTAGCGGCTGTGCTCTGAGTGCAAAACGAACCCCTGACCTGAGCTTCCCCAGCCTTCCAGGACCTGCTCCCTCCTCCCTCTCCCATCCTATCCCTCCTAAGCTCACACACACTGGAGCCCATCAAGCTCGCCCAGGTCCTGGGAATGCACGTTTGCCCCTCCCTCAACCTGGAATGGTCCTCCCCATGCCCCCGCACAGCAGCCAGCTCCTTCTCCTCTCCGAGTCAGATTCACCTTCCTCCCTCAGACAGGCCTGAAGAGGAAGAGGAAGAGGAGGGGGAAGAGGAAGGAAAAAGATAAAAAGTATGAACAATAAAATGGCAATAAATATGTCAACAACTGAACCTAAATATCAAAATAAATGAACAAGGAATCCAATGAACAAAATAAACTGAATAAAATAGAATCAGCCAGAGGCATGGCAACATGGAACAGACTGACGGATCTCAGAGGGAAGCGGGGAGGGGACGAGGAGGGATTACATGCATTACCTACGGACACAGACAATAGGGTGGTAAAGGCCTGGGGCAGGACGGAACCAGGTGGAGGGGGACCATGGGGAGAGTGGGTAAAAGGGGGGACATCTGTAATACTCTCAACAATAATGATTTTAAAAAAGAAAAAAAAAGGCCCATCCTAACCAAGTCATACACAACCTAGTCATCCAACTGTTCTGTTGGTTCCTTACTGCATATCTCCAACTAGAATGCAAAGTTTGAGACTTCATCCAGGTGCTTACACAGGTGTTACATGTATGTCAAAACTCATCAAGCCGGACTTAAGACCTGTGTACTTTACATTACACCTCAGTAATATGTGAATAACAACAACCAAACAAATAAATCAAGTTAGGGGCTAATTCCTTGAACAGCACATAAGAAATAATAAACATTAATAAAAAAGTCAGTGACTATCTGCCAATGGCATCCCACAACATGAAGATAGTAAAGTAAGAATAGATGAGCAGAATGCGGTCCACAGAGCAGCAGCGTCCCCATGAGGGAAGATAAAGACAGCTCCTCTACCTAGAGATGCAAACAGAAGACACTTTGTTGGGGTGACTGTCGTTCAAAAGCTGATCAATCAGTAAATCAGGCACTGCCGAGGCCTACCATGGGCCCGGCCCCCAGCTAGGTATTGTGGAGGAAACAGTAATTTTTAAAAGGTGCCATAAATAAAGACTGAGAAGCAGTGAGAGTAAAAAGGAGAAATAAACACCTGCTACCCTTTATGACACTGAAGATTTTCCCCTGTTGTCTGATAACTTGAACTAAACGGAGTTCTCTTAACAACAACACATACACGGAGGCGCCGATTTCCTGTGTTAAGACAACCTGACTATGACACACACAACCGCGCGCCAGAGGGGCAGCACTGGAGAAGCAGCGGCTCTTACCGGACTCTGCAGAATCATGGACACTCTCTTCTTCTGCTCCATCATGTTGAAGTCCTGGCGAAGGTCAGGTGCCATGTTCCTCTCTCGCAGGTATTCTGGATTATTCTCATCCACCCTGTCGAAGTACCTCTCTTTGTGAGGGGCTGTGGTCGGGGGTGGTGAGGTCACCACTGCAGCCTGAGTATCACCATTCATTGCACAATCTTTCTAGGTTCCTACAGAATAAAAATGAAAGAAAGTATTGTTTCTGAATCAATGTGCAACAGCATTTCACAGTGAGCACACCAGCCTGATAAACACATCTGCAGCGTGAGGACCTCTGACAGCCTGACCATCAGAGCCATGATGTGGGAGGCTTCTTTGTGGCCCTGGCCGAGCAGCCATCTCCACCCTTGCACCAGCCAATGGCATTTCTTGTCCTTGCCATTGTTCTTCAGCAGACAACAGAACAATCTAACAAAGCTACTATGTCTTCTCACAACCTGAAGGACCAGATAGCAAAAATTTGACAAGACAGTTTAAAGTCAGGACATTATCCCACAAGTTCATTTCTGGAGAAATTTGATTTACGTTATTTTTCTAAAAAAGTTTCAGTAGTGATTTTTCAAAAGATTCCCTAAATAGATCAATAAGGGAGAAGGCTGCTCACACATCTATGCACACAAGTAAGAAATGACCCTCTTCAGCATCACCTTTTTGGTTCAATAGCAGGTACCGAAAATGTCAACATGCCCTACTTTGTGAATAAAACCTAAAAAATGCCCCAAAGGCACAAATTTAAGTCTGCTAATATGTGCCCAGCACCAAGAAGGTACTTACTTTACATTCTTTTTAACCCCAATCTTTTATTTGCAACTAGAGGCGCAGTGCATGAAATTCATGCATGTACAGGGTCCCTAGCAGCTGCCAGCTGTCCGCCGGGGCCTTCCTTCATTCTGCGCCGCCCCCTGGTGGTCAGCACCCATCATTGTGAGCGATTGAACTCCCAATGGGTTGAACTCCCGAGGGGACACTTTGCATATTAGGCTTTTATATACAGATAATGTTCAAAGGTACTAAATTATGTTCATCTTTAATAACTACTAAACCTCTAAACCAAGCATGTCAAACTAAAAGGTTAACAAGGGCCAAATAAACAAGGTTTAAGTTTATGTGGGCCACAAAAACACAAAAGCTTCAATTTTCATAGAAATGTAGGTTTATTTTGATAGAGACATACTGAATTCAAAGAGCTGAAATAAATGAGTCATCGTTAAAATATAGAACAATTTAATAAATATTAATATTTTTCTTGAATATTAACTTACCAGACACTAAAAAACTGCACAAATTAATAAGCATAACACAAATAAAGAAAAAAAATAGTTTGTGGTACCAACAGCCAAAGAATCAATTTAAGAAAACTTTTTTTTTTTAAGAAAAAAAATCAATTTGGACATTGCCCTTCTAAACCTAAAGATATGATAGAAATAACAGCAAGCTTAACCTGGCAGTATTTCAAGGACTGAAAGACAAAGCATGAAAATAACAGGGGACTAAAAGTCAACACAAAATAAAAGAACCGATGACCTAAAATGTAGTCTTTAAAAGTACTGTTCTCTAAATGCTTCCTTTAAAATTTTACTGTTGCCCTGACTGGTTTGGCTCAGTGGATAGAGCGTCGGCCTGCAGACTGAAGGGTCCCAGGTTCAATTCCAGTCAAGGGCATGTACCCTGGTTGCGGGCACATCCCCAGTAGGAGTTGTGCAGGAGGCAGCTGATCGATGTTTTTCTCTCTCATCGATGTTTCTAACTCTATCCCTTTCCCTTCCTCTCTGTAAAAAAAGATCAATAAAACATATATTTAAAAAATAATAATAAAATTTTACTGTTTACTTTAACCTAGTTTGCTCTAAAACAATAACCAAAGAACAAAACAATAATGGCTGTCTGACATTTCTCTAGAGGTAAGTGAAGCTGAACATTCTGAGCCAATGATAAAATGTTCTATTTCAGTTTTTTTTAAAGACAAAAGGATATACAGTATTTTAACTTCTCCATTACTAAATGAGTCCTGCACACCGCCCACTGGGGACTGAGCTTTCGAAGCCCAGGCATTGCTGTGACCAGGACATTTTAAGACATTTCATCAGTAAACAGGAGGAACACGGAAACACTTAAGAAGCAACCAGAGCCGGTTCCTGGTTCCCAGAGCTGACCGTAAGAAAAGGAACTTTGTAAAACCAACATGCTACAGATAAGGCAGACTGCTCCGTTTTTATTACAAATTGCTGTGTGAATGGGATAAGATAGACTGCAAACCAGATATACATGTATTTCAATCCTTTAATAAGGAAGTCTATAAACTTAAAATACACTAATTCTGAGCCCAATAATTAAAAATAAACATTCCCTGGCCAGGTGGCTCGGTTGATTGGAGCATCTTCCCGTACACCAGAAGGTGTTGGGTTTGAGTCCCAGTCAGAGCACATACCCAGGTTGTAGGTTCCATCCCCGGTCGGGAGGCAACTGATCAATGTTTCTCTTTCGCTCTTTCTCCCTCTCCCTCTCCCTCTCTCTCTCAAATCAATTTTTTTTAGTTTTTAAAAAAAATCCTCGGGCCCCAGCTGGTGTGGCTCAGTGGATAGAGCATCAGCCTGTGGACTGACAGGTCCCGGGTTCAATTCCGGTCAAGGGCACATGCCCAGTTTGCAGACTCGATCCCAGGAGGAAGCCTGCAGGAGGCGGCCAATCAATGGTTCTCTCTCATCATGGATGTTCCTACCTCTTCCTCTCCCTTCCTCTCTGACATCAATAAAAAAATATGTATTTTTTAAATCCTCAGGTGAGGATTTTAAAAAAGAGGTTATCTCTGATAATCTCCTTTAGAAAAGTAAATGAATAAATAAGTAAACAAAGAATTCCAGTTTTAAAGTACAAAATCTATAGTACTTGGTTTTCTGTCAGTTATGGCTTCAGGTTTCACTAACTTAATTTTAAGAGTGTGTTAAGACAGCAAATTTTTCCTAGGAAGAACTCTACAAAAAATTATTACTTAATCCAATATTTTTTTATGGAAAAATACAGATAAAAAAAAATTCTCTACATATGGGGCCAGGTGGGTACTTGAAATATGGGGGGACTTACTCTGTATAGTACATGATAGTCTAACCACTGTGTTGTACACCTCAAGCTAATACAGAATAATTGCAAACTGTAACTAAAAAAAAAAGAAAGAAACCCAGATTCAGGCTTTCAAAATAGGGTGAGGCAAAAGTAGACTTACAGTTGTTTGTATGGAAAATAATACAATTAATAAATAAAACAAAAATAAACTGTTTTGAGTAATCACAACTCTAAACCTACATTTGCCCCACCCTGTATTTTCCCCACTTTGGGGTTATTTTAATATCTGAGTAGGTTTATTTTTTAACTGAAAAAACAATGGATTCCATATCTGTCTTAGGAACACTCTAATTAATAAATCTCAAAGAGCAACAGTTTTACTTTGTGCCATGCCAAATAACAAGATGAAATCCATCTGGAAATAAATGTTAAAAGTAGCTTTTTGTTTTGTTAAGAAAAAAAATAATTCTGGAAACTTAATTTTTAAAATAGAAACAATCAATGTCTAATACACATATGACTTAACATAAATATTAAAATCTCAATACCATATTATAAAACTAAAGATTCTTCATTACAATACATATGAGATTATATAACATGTTTAAGTGAAAAGTATAAGATTCCCTATTCTGTAATCTTATCGACATTATAATTATCACACAGACAAGATTATATCATGGAAAGTAAGCTGTATTAAAGTTAAATAAATTGACTCAAGAAGCATATAAATTGCTATGATTTTACCTGTGTAAAATTTTAAGATGTCACAAATCTTAACGTGTTGATACCTAAATCAATGAAATCTCTGGGAACAACACTTTCAGACATACACATCCAACATAACCCTAAAGTCTGGGTGAACCACGTCAACCAAGCCTGGCCTGGCCTGCACATGTAACGCCTCACGTTCAGCCACCTGTCTCATCCTGCCCACCCCATTCTGACTAGCTACTTACCACCCACCTCCTGGAGGCGCAGCAGCCTCCGCACCAGTTTCTCTGCCTCTAGTCTCCTGACAACCCCACACCAATCCACTCTCCACAGCTAGCCAGAGGGAGGTTCAAAATCATGTCATTCACTCCCTGCTTAACCCGACAGCTAATTAAAGGACTTTAGCTGGATCGTGATTCAAACAAACTGTAAAATGAAAGATAAAGAATGACATTTGGGCTCTGGACAGTATGGCTCCGTTGGTTGGAGCGGTGTTACCAACCAACCGAGGATATACTAACAAATATACCAAAGACTCTTGGGGCCACAACAGAAATCGACACACCAGCAGGGAGAACACATCCAGCGGTGGGGGCAGAAAGAGCAGACAGAGGGTGTTATGGGCTGAATTGTGTCTCCAAAAGTTGATGCTGAAGCTCAAACCCCCAGTACCTCAGAATGTGACCTTATCTGGAAATAGTCTTTGCTGATGGATTAGCTGAGATGAGGCGGGACGCACGGGATATTAGGACACAGATACAAACACAGGGAGAAGGCCACATGAAGATCAGCGGAGGTGATGCTCCGCAAGCCAAGGAACCCAAAGATGCCAGCAAATCAGCAGCAGCTGGGGCAAAGCCCTGGAACAGACTAGAGTCTACCAGGGGTGGGCAAACTTTTTGACTCGAGGGCCACAATGGGTTCTTAAACTGGACTGGAGGGCCGGAACAAAAGCGTGGATGGAGTGTTTGTGTGAACTAATATAAATTCAAAGTAAACATCATTACATAAAAGGGTACGGTCTTTTTTTTTTTTTTTTTTTTTTAGTTTTAGTCATTTCAAAAGGGCCGGATTGGGCCCGCGGGCCGTAGTCTGCCCACGGCTGGCTAGACCCATGGTGGGCAAACTGCGGCTCGAGAGCCACATGCGGCTTTTTGGCCCCTTGAGTGTGGCTCTTCCTAAGCCTTAGGGGGACCCTAATTAAGTTAATAACAATGTACCTACCTATATAGTTTAAGTTTAAAAAACTTGGCTCTCAAAGGAAATTTCAATCGTCGTACTGTTGATATTTGGCTCTGCTGACTAATGAGTTTGCCGACCGCTGGCCTAGACCCTCCCTTAGCCTCAGAAGGAACCAACCTGGAGACCTTGATCTTGACTCTGGGCTCCAGAACTG